AGTTAAATAATTTATTAAAATTTCTATATGCCACTATACCGTTCTGTATATATACCATTATATACCATTGTATAGAGAATATTATTGTGAGTAATTTTAAACCACAATACATAAACGCCAAAAATTATAAATGATATACTATATTATATATATGTATGTATATGTATATGTATATAGAGTTTATATATAGAGTGGATCATTTATTATATTCTCTCTTTAAATTATCCATAATTTGAAAATTATTTTAAAATTTATTAATTTTATTTTTGATTATTTATAAAAAATTATTTGTAATAAAATTATTTTTAAAATAAAATGTCTGCCCCAAAACAAAAAAGCTTGTTATATAATATTGGAAAAGTCAAATTTTTAAGAAATTAAACAATATGTTAAAATAATTTGATTTTTCTTTCAAATAAGACATTTCATGTCATAATATTAAAAATGGCCTTATTTCTTCTTTACATAAATGGTAGGCAATTACTTTTAAAATTCGATTCGCAATTCTAATTTTGTGTAATATTGTATTGGAACTGTAACTGAAATTGCAATAATAATTTATTCGAAATAATAATTTGATATATAATCGATCATTGTTTTATTGTTATATTTTTACATCTTCATATTAATGTACGAGTATAGGTTTATTCTTATGTAAGGACCCATTTTTTTTTAACATATTTTTCATATTAATTAATTTTTTGTTATTTAATTACTTTTTAATTTAATTTTAATAATATTTAATGTAAATACTTTCGCTTATACTCTATAGGCAAGACATTTCTATATTCATTATTCATTTCCGTACAATCATTACTAAATAATATTAATGAATAAGTAGAAAATGGCTATTCTAAAATAATTTACATATTTTAAATAAAAATAAACCATTTGATTTAATTTAAATTCATTAAATAAATTTTTAATTCATTCAAATATAAAAATAGTTCTTTAAAAGTCGGCCACTCAATACTATGTACCGAGATATATATATTATTTTTATAATTAAATGGCGTTTTTATTTTGAATGTCATGCATATTTCTAATCGAATTTTCCAACACAAAATATATAACAAAATTATAATTAAAATTGTCATAAAATTTATCTATTCACGGAATATAATACATATTCAATAAAAATATTATTCATTGAGTATAATACATTACATATAAATTTTGTTTTATATATGTATGTAGAATAAAATTTATTTATTTTAGATTCATTTTATTTTATTGAATAATTATTCTTATACTACATAATTTATATATAATATTCATCAATCTTTTATTATAATTACCATGATTCATAATAATTTAGTAATTTTAATCAAACAGTATTCATTATGAATATATACTATAATAAAATCCTTGCATTCTTATGTATGTATATTAATTTTTCTATTATATTAATTATCAATAATTTTTCCTGATTTATTTATTTATTTAAAAAATTTAAGAAATAATAATTAACACGTAATCAGAATGAATTATACTTCAATAAATAAAAAATTGGCTAGACTAAAAATATACTAGTAGATGTATAACATAAAATATAGTTATAGTGTATACAAGATGTTTCGAATAAAGTTGCAAATAATTTCAGGATGATTCTTTGATCATTTATCGAGAAGCTTCAAGTTTTCTTAAAAAAAATGTCAAAAAAAAAAATACCCTCTACCCTGTTTCATTGTTAAATAATTTTTTATATTGCATGAGTTCATTTGATTTTAGAATAATTATATTTTTCAAATTGTAAACGCCTGTAAATATGCAATTTTTTGTAAATTTCAATGTATTATTTAACAAAATAGAAATTTCAAATTTAAACTTCAAATTTCATCAGAAGTTCATGTTTTAATTCCAATAACAATTCAAAATTATTAATTACCTTCACTCACCATCGAGTACTCTCATCATCATGCTTGTTAAAAAAACCCAATTCCATTAAAAGATGCCACAAAGAAGGATAAAAACGTTAAAGTATGGATGAAAACGTTATTGAATATAAAATCAAGCTTGCAATTGAAAGTAAGAGTTTATTTCCAGTTTAACGTGTGATAGAATATAGTCGAACACATTACCATTTGTTGTAATAATTTATTTTACCAAAGTGAATAATACAACATGGACAGTTGTAATGAAAACAATGTCCTTTTTATAATAAATGTGAAAAATATTAACTATATACGAATATGCCATAAATCTAATTTTTTTTATAAAGATTTTTTCTCCTTTTTTTTTGCTTTTTTAAACAATTTGTTTTTATGATATGGACACATTTTACATTATTATTACTTTTTGTAAATATTATAAAAGCCATATTTGCAATATCGGAGTTTGGATGTCAGAATAAAATATAATAGGATAAAATATTAAAAAAATCAAAAAATAATAATATTATATTATAATATTAATTATAATATCGTTCCATTGATAATTCTATAAATCAACTATATATACATACTTATATAAGAACATTATATAGGCATACTTAAAACAATTTATCTTTTTATCAATATAATCATTAATTTATAAAAAAAAATTTACTTTATAAGTAATTTAAGTGACGTCAACAAAAATGAATGTCTCATGTCTTATTTAACTGGTATGCGCTCATAGTACAAAGCGGTATATAGGATGTGCAAGGTGAAACAAACATGTAAGCAATTATACATATGAAACCTCTTTAAAATGACAATAATTCTATAATTAAAAAAGTACATGAAAGTTTAAAAAATTTTCAAGCTTCAATATTATATCCAATTTATTGTACGATTTTCTTGATTTATATTAAATTATCGTTTCTAAAATATTAATAATATACTAAATTTTATTTACCCGGGGTGCTTGCACTGCAAGTTTACGCAACGCCTTACATATAAACATCTACATACATACATATGGGACTTGAGAATAACTTTGCTGACTTTGTAGCGAAAGCAAGCAAAGATTAATCGATATTCTCGGGTAAAAATGGAATTTCATTCGCAGAGAAAGGGAAATTCTGGAATTTACACATACATTCGCGGCAGAAATCGGGTGAAACTCATAAAACTTTTGAATTCATCAGAGTGAAATTATACAGGTACATATGCATCCACTTAAAAACCATTTTAAAATTTATTTGGCATTTACTTGCATATTAAAATTTTCTACAAATACACCTATAAAAGCTTTCATAAGCATATAAAATGATGCTAGAAAATTTTAACTCTCAAATTTTGATTGTATCTAAAAATGAAAAACATGTAAAAATATAGTGATACGAGTACTAACAAGCGAAGCATACCCAATTTGCTTTGTACACTTTATAACCTACATACATACTCATGTACATGTACATGAATATCACTCTATATAAGTTTTCATTTTGTTTTAAACATTTTTTCTGTTTATATAAAAGGAATTATGAAAAAAAGGAAAATTACAATTGATAGGGCCAATCGGACACTCTAAAGTCGAATATCGTTATGATGATTTTGCAGTATTGTCATAATAAAACCTTAAATTAATATGGAGAAAAAAAAAATAAAATTGCCAATAATAATGAAATTAATCGTCCGAATATGGTTTATTGATGTGGAAACAGCCAAAAATGTGTTTTTTTTTGTGTCGTTCTTTTTATAGAAAAAAAAAATCTATTATGTTATAATAACTTTTTTTTTTATTATAAAACATACAAATACACTGAATACACACAAACTCAAATACAATTATCTAAGGATGATTAGGAAGTTATGTCTACATACCTACATGAAATATATATTTTAAAAAGGCGATAAAGTTTTCTAATCTTTTATAACTACCTACAGACATATTTGCATATTGCAAATACTGTAATTGCCAATTAGGTGCATGTATTCGATAAACGCATTAATACATATCTTTTATATACTTAATGTCTGCCAGTATCTCTGAGATTTAGATATAATTTGAAAGTTACCTATAAGAATATATAAATCTTATGCAACAGATAATTATTTAGTGTCTTTGTTAATAGGACCCGTATACTTGCCTAAAAAATATAAAAAAATGGTCTCATCAGATTTTGTGCTTTTTGGTCACAAAATTCAAATTAAAAATTTTAGAATTTTTTTTCAACTTCGAAATCATAAAAGAATTGAAAACATTTTGGAAAATTCACTAATTGGACAAAAATTTATTCCGAATTAAAAACGAAACGGCCTTCATTAACAACTTTTATACTAAGTAGTAATATAATTTTTTTATTACATTTACTTCTAAGTCGTGTTTTGAATTTTTCATCTTAGTTTGTAAGAAGTTTAAAAATAATCAAATAAAGTGAAAATGATAGGAAATTTGACTGGTTCTGTTCAGGTTTTTCAAATATGTATTTTCCTTTTACAAAATATTATTATCAAAGTGATAAAAACTATTGTAATAAAATTTAATTACATGTACGTACATACATATCGCACATGTGCGAAAACAATGACATAAGTTAAAATACAGAGTCGCAAGCTTTCTTTTATATTACACTTTAATGTATAAAACTTTTAATACAGAAAATTTGTTCTGTATACTTGTAAAATAGCTCAATATCAACTTTTTTCAGTCTCCGATAACAATTTACATTCAGCTATAAATACTTTAAATTCCGGAAGTCGAAGTTATATTTTTGAATTGTGTCGTTATTCTTCCCAATGTGCGATATATCGTATTATATAGATCTATACATATTTATATGAGTGTGATTATTTTTAATAGATCAATATAAAAATTGACTTCCTTCAACTATTGTAAAAGCATAAAAGATAAAATTGAAGATTAAAAATAATTTTTACAAAGAAATTTTAAATATTTATTTTATTTATGTACATATACGAGTATATGTAATGTATGCATATAGATTCAATAGAAGAAAAATTTTTTTGATAAGATATTATCAATAAAGTTAAGGAACTAATAACAACAAGAAAAAACATTTTAAAGTATCTACTAATTTATATCAATTCATTATCACTGATATTACGATCAAAATTAAAAGGCTAGAATTTTACAATTAGATTTTAAATTAAAATACTTTTTCATATATTATTTTTTAAATTTTCCATAAAAATGAATTTATTTGAAAAAGTAATTTTTTTAGTAATTTTAACATTAAACAGAAATGTGACATCAGATGAAGGTAATCTTTAATAAGAATTCATAAAAACCTAATGAGAAACGTATTTAAATAATTTTACAATAAATTTCTTAAACACAAATAACTGTTAAGTATGTAAATCTCTCACAATTTTCTTGTAGAACTATCAAATACTACAAACAACATGTTACAAGTACCATATTGTTTTAGATTTACTTGGCTGGGACCACAAGCAACTAAAGAAAGTTTAGAAAATAATGCAACATGTGATGATTTAAATTTAAGGAAAACTGATCCATGCAGATTACCTTTAGTTGTGACAGGTATTTTTTCTATTTATATATATTTCAAGCAAAATTGATATTTTTATTTTACACATTGCAAATTTTCGTAACAATATTAAGTTACTAACCAAATATTTATAATAAATAATAAAATATCGTCTATAATAACTTTTAGACAATACAAATATTCCAAATACAACATGGCTATGGAAAAAATATGAAAATAATAAGATTGAAGAAATTGCATGTAGATTAGTAAAAAGTGATGTTTGTGCAAAAATTACATTTAGCTATAATCAACAAGGTATTTTTTATTTATTGAACATACTCATTTATGTATATGTATGTACATACATACATACTAGATATAAGAAAATTATTCAGTAATATTTTGGTCCTCATACTTGAAAAAAATTTTCAAAAATTTTTCAAAACAAGTCCATAAGTATTATATGCTTGTAAATTTATAAAAATTAAGTACTTAATTTTTTTCTACATCTTTTTTGCTACATACATAAATGCATACATACATACATATATGAAAAAATATTAGATATTTTGTTTTTGTTTTTTTTTTCAGTTGAAAACATCACATATTTATGTACAAAGGTTAGCATAGATGGAGAGGGTGCTGCTCCACTCGGATGCTATGTAACTGATCTTGGTAGTGGAAGGCAAACAGAAGTTTGTACATGTGAATCAAGCGCTGGAAAAGAACCGTGTAATGAGGCAAATTCTAGACAAATTAATGTATTTTGGAAATATTTTACTTTTACAATGACTATCTATTCATTATTTACTTTCACTTAAGTATACTATACACTCATATATATCTATATAAAATATATTTCCTCTGAAAGTTTTTTCTTCATATTTTTATATGCATGTACTCGTATGTATAATATCCGTGTTTAAAATATGAAGTTGTATCTACATGCGGATTTCGCGCTAAACTTCTCCATTAGAAAAAGTATGTATGTACACATGTTCATATATATACAAAAGATATTTTAAGCCTGATGATCGAAGTTAAATTTGATTTAATTTTAATTATTATAAAAAAAATAGTGAAATATTTAAAGAATATAAGAATATTTGTATTAAAATTTTGTACCAGGCCACATAATTGCAGATTTTAGCACTATAATGATGTAGTCTCAGAACAGGGTGATTACAAAATCGATATTGCAAAAAAATTTAACATATGAACAAATGAGCATCTTAAATACATGAATTCATAACTGCATAGAATATGCACAAACATTTATAGTAATTAAAATTGTGATTTTCTTCTGCGGACTTCTCTATTACATAATATTCTTAATCTTTAACACAGAAATAAATGAATTTACTCAAACTTTACTTTTATTTTGGATTAATTACAATAATATTCAATTTACTATATATATTAAAATACAGGATATATATATATAAATTGTATGAAAAGTATAAAATATTTATTGTATCCATATAACTTTCACTTTTGTTTAAGTGACTATATACTTACATATTTTATATATTTATATATAATTGAACTATTTTTATAGCGTATTAGAAGAAATTGCTAATATTATAAACTACATTACAAAACGCAAAAATTATTTAATTTAAAATACGTTAAAGATAACTCATTTAAATAAATGCTTAACCCAAAAAGATCTTGGAAGTTTCTTTTTATTATTGAATTCTGATTTTGATGCAACTTTGGTTATTCACCACGGCTTATTGCTTAAGGCATGCATATTGAAGTATCGTTTTGTAATTGGTATAAAAAGCAGTTATTATTGAGGTATTATTTATTTAGCTAACGTTCCCATAGGATCCCATGCTGGAAGCACAATAGGATCCATATCAAAAACTTTTAATACCTCTTCAGGAACAATTGATTTATCAACAACAATTTCAAATAAAAATTCTTTAAACCATTCATTCGTCATTACTAAGTATCCTTTTTCCCCACGTTCTTCACCCCAAGAGTTTTCAACACGAAATTTAACAGGCTTGCCATTTTCGTCTAAAGAAACTGCTGTAAAAACCATGGCATGCGTCATAGCTGATTCACCATATATCAACCTATCGGCTTTGCCAAGCCCGATTTGTATATCCACATCAAAAGCTAGTTTAAAATCATGTATAATTAAGTCTTCGATACCCTGTTTTGCTGCAAATCTTTTCGAAACTTCACATCCAAACCAAACTGGTTCTCCTTTCTTCAAACTTGCTGTAACCAAATCCATCAATAATTCAACTGGCTGATTATTATAAAGAACTGGTCTTCCACCGACAACGTTACCAAGACACTCCACCGTGTAAGCTTGTCCATAATGATTACTTGGTCTTGGATCAGTTACCAAACATATTTTATCTTGAACATTGAATATGGTTTTAACATAATTTTCGTAAAACTCTAATGGGGTAATTGGACCAATTACATTATAATTTTTGCTTTTATCATAATATTGCCATTTGAAAGTTTCTGATGGAATTCCTAAGCAAATACCAACCACTTTATATATTTCCCCCATCATATCAATTATTTTATTCTGCATTTTTGTATCATCTTTAGTTTCAGCATATGTGTCTCTTAAAATTTTTGAATATTCCCGCAGTTTACTTTTCAATATTTGGTTCATTCGCAAGCTTGCTTCACTACTAAAGCTTTCAGGAAAGCAATTCTTTGGCATCAATCCATGTTTTGTTATTAAATTTACTAACATATCCCACTGGCCACCATCGCAAGTTGGGTCATTTAATAAAAATGACAGAAGACGTCCTTCGACTTCTTCTTTTGAAGCCGTTTTTGCAATGTTATTTAAAAAGTAATTACAACGTTCTATTTTATCCCAAAAAAACAAATAAGACTGGGAGAATTCGAATTCATCTAAATTATATTTCTTCATGAATGGAATCCGAATACAATTAAGAGCAGCAAACAACCAACACCTTCCACTGCTCTTTTGATGTGTTATTGGTTTCCCTTCATTTTCGACTTTGTATTGGAAAACATGGTTTACGCATTGCAAATTTTTACGAGAAAGACATACATCAAATGGATCAAATCTAGAACAAACATTCTGTGCCAATACATTTTTTGGCTCGCTGTAAAACGCTTCTCTCCATTCTTTCGACTTTTCAGGTGTGATAACTGTTGAAACCATTCTCGTTTTATTTAAATTTTTGTATTGCTCCAATAAATTATTTTTTAAAAATGTTGAATTTGAGCTGCTACTGAAAGCAAAAAAACCAAAACCTAATTATTATTGACAAATATGAATTGACAAAAAACTGTACTTCTTAAATCTACAAAAAAGTGCTAACTTCATTCTCCACATTGTCGTCGTCTTAAATAGTGAAAGCGACAATGCGGCTATTCACAATAATCAAAATTATAAAGAAAATTAATTAAAACATAAATACTACTGCTAGTTACTAGTGCAATACTAGTACAGTTTTTATCTGATCATAATTTCAGTTTGATTTGTAAATAATTACCAGACTTTATCGTAGATTAGATTGGAATCAAATTATAGTTCACTGACAAAAATCTAATTATAACCAATGTAATTAATTTACAACACTATAATATTCTTCAAAAAGCTTATAAATAGAAGTCGTATTTGCTAATTAAACTTCTATACAAGGTGTCAGGAAAATGAAAATTCTCCTCTAAAAATTAAATTGAAAAACTTCTCTACTATAATTTATTTTTATCATTAATATTGGCAATAATTTACAACTTCCGATCTACAACTTTCTTTTAATCGAATGAAATTAACATCAATTGTGAATAGGTTCTAAAATATTTTTTTTCTCGATGTCATAGACAACGGTTATGTTTTTGACACATGAGGATTGGTGTCAGTGTCATCTGCCAGTCATTATATAGTCTTGATACTGGTATATATATATGTATGGAATGTTGCCAACCGATGTAGTCAAGTCGAATATTAAAATATTTTTTTGAGAATTTTTCCTTTTTAACTACATACACTCTGCATATAAATAAAATTTATAAATAATAAAAAGAAAATATTGGAAGCTTTCTTTTTTAAGCTGGGGGGCTAAAACTGATCTTATTTACAGCTGATAAGAACGTCCAAAAAAAGAAATAATGAGAAACAAAATATAAACTCTCCCAATTCCTTCATTTAATAATTTTACAAAGTGTCGAAAATCAAAATGTTAAAACAGCACAGCGAAATCTCCAGTCTTCGAAATCTTTATATATGAACTGTGCATTTTTCTTATGTTTTTGAAACAAGTTAGCGCGTTATACTGGCAAAATTATAAGTAATAGAGGAAAATGTTACATGGGTTAAGTTTTAGCTTCCATTGTAGCGCATCGAAAAAAACAAAAAAAATTAAAGTATTTTTTAAAAATTTAAAAAAACTTAATTCGACTTTGATCTAAATGACATAGATGTCATTCACTTTTAAAACATACGCCAAAATATCTTTCTAATAGATAATATCCTATCTGAGATTTATTCTAATTCCTATTAAACTTCTTTTAAAACACGGCAGCTTTAAAAATTTCAAATTGAAGTCAAAAAAATTAATTTTTTATGATACGAGGGTCACTATTTATATTTCGGGTCTAGCCAATAAAAAACAAACATTTATCATTGGAAATGAGACACTCTTGTCTCGATAATCCGCGCCGAAAATCGTAAAAAATCATCGCACGAAAATTTTCACGGGACAATTCCATTTTTTGACCGAGATGAATTTTTCAAGTCACTGTAAACAAAACAATTCGCGCTCGAATGACAAAACGTTCTGAGTGAAGTTGTCCTAAAAAATGTCAAACTTTCCAATGGAAGTGTCAGATTGCACCTGGCAGCACTAGTATTGCCAGGACCCGAAATATAAATAGTGATCCTCGTATTATCAACTGTAAAGAAAATGGAATAAAAAATTAATACGTAGTAAATTTCCAAAAACTTATAAAGTTGAAAAAACTTTATAAAATTTTTGCATGTCTGGGATAATACTTTTTGAAAAACTTAGCTGATTTTTCTTGGTTATGTCAAAAGGTTTTATTTTTCAAAAAAAATTTTCCATTAAGAATAATATTTTTCGAAAACTTTTTGATTAAAAATGAAATAAACAAAATTGATTCAGAATTTTTTTTGTCTAAGCTTTGCAGTTTTGTAATCCAAAATCAAGATTATTTGTTTATATTTGACAAATATTTTGAAATTTGACGTTTATCACTTACAAAGTATTTTCAATTTTTCCTTAATTTTTTTTAAGTTTTATACCAGACAAACCTATTAATTCTATTTCTTAAAAATCTGATCCAAATAAATCGAATCTACTGCATATTTAAATATCAGCTTGACTACTTTTATGTCATATTGCCTGTTACATATGTGACAGAGATAAATAATTTGTATTTCACATTTAATGCTTATTAAATTGGAATATGGTTTATTCTAAGTTGTACTAAATTCTTTTAGTTTGCGTTTTTAAAGAAACAACAATAAATAAGAAGTAAATAAAAGTGATGCTTTTTTGCAAAGCTTTATAATTAAATTATGAAACCTTACCACACTATTTATACTTATCTAAAAATCATTTAAAGTTTATGCATAAAATTAAGAAAGCATTGCTTGAACGAAAATATATGTATTACATATAATACAACTAAATAAATGTTAATGTACAAAAATTTGACTGATACCCACCAAGAAATAAATGATTTGCTCAATATGAAAACATGTAGAAACTTGCAAAAATGGTTTCTATTCGAATTTTAAACAGGTACATACATACATATATATGTAAATATAAATCTTGAAATAAAAATAAATTTAGTAAATGTTTATTAAAATTATAATTAAGGTTGTTAAAAAGAGGAGCCCTTCTGACGACGTTATTTGTTATACTTTTCAATGAATGTCTTATATATTCAATAACACCTGCATGGTGGAATTCTCTAAAATGTTATTCAGGTAGGTACTTACCAAAAAGCAAAGGAAATACACAAATCATTGAATTCTATTTACTTTTTAGATAATTGTACACGCATACTTTTTGTTGCAGATCCGCAACTTTTAGGATTCGAAAACGAGAACAAATTCTATAGCAGCTTAGCTAGAAAGGATTCTGATAGGTATGTAATATACAAATTTTTATTTATCGTCTTTATATAATAGATAATAGCTTAATTATAGTAATAAATTTATTTCTAACTTTCAGATATTTAAAAAAAACATTTGATAAGGCAGTGAAATTTACAAATCCTGATATTATATGTTTTTTAGGAGATTTATTGGACGAAGGAAATATAGCTTCACCTTATCATTTTAAAATATATGTCGATCGCTTCCAAACTACATTTAGTACACAAATAAATCCTAGAGTGAGTGAAGAACGTTATAATTAAATTATGTATATGTTATGTATAAAAATAATTTTCAATATATAGCGAATCCATGTACCAGGTGACAATGATATTGGTGGCGAAAATGGAGAATATATTTCAAATTCAAATATAAGGCGATTTGAAATTGAATTTATGCATGAAGATTTATTTGATTTTGATAATAGAATGCGATTTTTTAAAATTAATCGTATGTTGATGGATTTTTCAAACCCAGATCCTATGAATAATTACGATCGTATAAGAATTGGTGTAACGCATATGCCTTTATTAATGTCTGGTGGGCCATTGATGAGGAATGTTTTAAATGATTTAGATCCGCACGTTATTTTTTCAGCACATTGGCATGAATCTCGCATTTTTTTATTCCCATCTTCAAGTTCACAAGAACTTTATACTAATAAGGTTCTTGAATATGATTTAATAAAATTAAAAGACGACCATGAGTATTTGGAAATAATGATACCTACAGCTTCATATAGAATGGGTAAAATGAAAATTGGGTACGGATCTGCAATATTCGGTAATTTTATAAATATATTTCGGTAAATTTTTTTTTTAATATTTGTTTAAAACTTTGTTTTAGATAATAATGTTCTTCGCTACACAGTTCTTTGGAATTTTAGTAGATTTATTTCTTTGTTAATTTACCTATTGTGGGTCGCCACAATTGCAATTTTATGTCTTATTTTTATTGTTATTTGGAGATGTCCAATTAGATTGGGCAAACGAAAAAATATCAACAATAATTCATATATACCTCAGCTTTAGATATGAAATTTTTTTATTAAAATTTTTCATTTTTTACAACGAAACTCATATCTTTAACATATCTCAAACTGGAAAATCTGATGTTAATTAATATCTTCATGATGTTTATATAATATATAAAAGACTCATTATAATGTAAGGTTTGAATAATTATATTAAAAATTTGTAAACGTATTTTTTTTTTAGAAAGGTAGAATATTTTTAAATGTTAAATATGTTCCTTATGCTAAATAGGGTTCGTTAATTTTAAGTTAACTTCTATATATTGTCTTTTATTACTGCATAAAATCAATTTTTATCGTTGATATTTTGTAAAGTTGATTTCTATATTTTATTTTAGAAATCAATTAATAACTTAATGAAAAAAGTCTCAATATACACCAGTTTCAATGTAAAAAAAACTTGTTTTAAGGCAACAAAAATAAGATTAATTAAATGTATGCCAAATATATATTTATATTACCTAGTTCATATATAATTTAGCAATAAATAAATTTGTAGTTGAATTTATATTTAACAAGTAGTATTAAAATATTAGAGAGTTTAGTATTGTCTTAACATTTTTTTTAATAGTTGCATGTTGCAAATTAAACAAGATTTAAAATTTTTTTGTACAGAAGTTACATGACAATAGTAGATCGTTTTTTTTTCAAACTAAATTTACTTTATTTTAGCAAATAAGAAAAATCATAAAAGTTTTTCAAACCCGATTTTTGTATTTTTATTTCAAATATTACATTAAATTATATCAGTTAAAATAATTTCAAACAGCCAGTAGATACGAACTCAAAATTTTAAACATTGACAGTAGACTGACAACATAAAAACTAATTACAATACAAATTACTGCAATACAATACAAAAAATAAAGATAAAAAAATTTCACCTCAAATAAAAACTGAATAGTTCAAAAACTTTAATAAAAAAAAGTAATAAACGTCTAATGTCAAAATATTTACCAAACACAAAATCAATTTTTTAATTACACAAAAAAGCAAAAATTTTGATTTTGGATTATAAAAGTGTGAAATTTACTTTGTTTATTGTATTTTTCATTAAATTAAAAAAATATTAGTGTTTATGAAAAAATTTTTTGAAAAATAAAAAGTGACATAACGTAGAAGAACATACATATATTTTGACAGCTTTATGATTTTAAAATTTTTTAAAACGCTAATAGTTCCCGAATATTTGCCAAAATGTTATTATGGTTTACGAACAATTAAATTCGGTAGAACAATATTTTGTTATAATAAATAACTGTTTCCAGAAAATTGAAAAAGAAATTAAAAGTTTAATTGATATTTTAACGTTTTTTGTTTATGAAATAAATGAAAGCACGTATATTTTCATCGAGAGCCGATTTATTCCAGTACACTTTTCAAAAGGTCCATTGGAAATCCTAAAGCATTTAATTCCACACAAAAGTTCGCTCACATTTTCTTAATATGTATATATTTATTGAAGCCGCTTTAATTCCACCACAAGGTACTTTTGCATTGCTTCCATTAGTTCAATCAACTTTGCGAACTATTCCTGTTTTGTTTTTTTAAACTAAAAAGGTACAAATGCAGTAGTAAGTTGGGCAGTTCTTAAGGTTAGAATCGCAAAGTTTTTAACGCTTGATGTACAAATTAAATGCAGAGCTTTTAAAGCTTTGCAGTTCTGTCCATAAGAACTGCATTTTCAAAAACATTCTTACTCTTAACTTGAAAAAAATTAACTCATGAAGTAAAACGTCAACAAATTTACTAAAATCGCTAAAAATTACATCCGTTTAACATATTCAAGCCATAAATGAAAGCATATTAAAAAATATGAAAATTTTTATTGTAAAAAAAAAAACAGTTTTGTTATAAATCATAGACGTGCTACATTGATAGACTGACCATAGAAGAATCTTTTCCTTTTTTTCTTATCAACCTTTATTTAAAAAAAATTTTGGTTTGACATTAAAATAAGTGAAAATTTGAAATGTAACGACTAGAACAGATTCTTTAAAACAATATTATAATTTATGAGTGAAAATTTTGCCATCAGTAATCTGAGCAAGCGATTTGAGATATTGAACATATTAATAAAAGCAAAACGGCAAATAATTTTTTAATTTTTCACTGACTTGGAAAATTAATAACTTTTATAGTCGCTCGTTCTGTGTGTACGATATCCTGCATTTTCGTCAATCGAATTTACATATCTTATTTGGCAGCAAAATCTATTTTAACGCTCTTGTTTTATCTACATTCTTGTTTTATTTAACAAAACTTTAAAAGTTAAAATTTGATTTGGGTCTCATGAAGAGGTTTTTAAATATTTTATACTATCTTTCCAAACTTTGTTCTTTCTTGATTGCTATTTGCGCAACACTAAAACATATTTGTTGTAGAGACATCTGATGTTAAAAAACCTCACAATTAAATTAAAAAATCAGTAAAATATATCCTTATCCAAAAGAAACTAGTGGCATCTTCCGTTTATTTTGATGAACATATTGACATAAATTTGGATTAGATACAATTTTCGTATGGCGATTTGCAAAGCTAGAAAATAAAAGTTGATTTTTAGTAGTTTAGTGCATTTGGATATTTGCATTATTATTTATTTTTCTTTTTTAAATTTAATGAAAAAAAGAAATCGTTGTTGTATGAAAACAATTTGAAAAAACTATTGTATTACTGAATTGCGAAACTATTTACAAATACCTCTCACTGATTAGACAAGATACAGCGGGAAGAATAGAGTAAGAACGAAGCCGCCAGGTTTGTTTCAGTTTTTAAAAACTTTATTTAAAGTAAAATATTTTTACGTATTTGAAATGTGACCAAATGCAATAAACGAATTTATATAAAAAATTTAAGCAACTAAATATGTTTTTATTTATCGCCGGGATAATGGCTTCTCTTCATGTACATATACGTCAAAATTATTTATGCAAATTTAATATTTTTTTTGTTTTATATAAACAATTTTATTTGTTTTTAAAATATATTACTTTACTTTATTTACAGAAATAAGATTGCGAAAATGAGTGATATAATTTATCCTCAAGGCTGCAAGCCTTTAGTTGAAGACTTAGGAGCTGATGAATTAATACGACGCCTGAAGGTATTAGTGTAATAGAATTTAAATATGACAAAATAACTTTAATTTTTTAGACTTTGACACACACATTGCAAGCTATGGGCCAAGACGATGGACTGTATCAACAATATATACCTCTAGCATTACATTTGGTTGATGAACACTTTTTGCAACATCCTTCTAAAGATGTTCAGTTATTAGTAGCATGTTGCATAGCTGACGTTTTAAGAGTTTATGCACCTGAAGCACCTTACAAAGATCAAGAAAAAATAAAGGAAATATTTTTATTTCTAATCAAACAATTAAACGGGTTAAAGGATCCAAAAGATCCTGCCTTTAAACGATATTTCTATTTATTGGAAAATTTAGCATACGTAAAATCATTTAACATGTGTTTCGAATTAGAAGATTGCCAAGATATATTTTGTAAACTTTTTCAGTTAATGTTTAAAATAGTAAAGTGAGTTAAATTAATTTTATTTTAAAATAATTTTAAAATTTTACTATTTTTTTCTATTTTAGCGATGAACATAGTGGCAAAGTAAAAACTTTTATGTTGGATATATTAAGTCCATTAATAACAGAATCTGACAACGTATCATTTGAATTGCTTGATGTTATTTTAATCAATATTATAGACCCAAATACGGGACAAAAAAAAAATGCATATAATTTGGCAAAAGACTTAATTATAAAAACAAGTGATACGCTGGAAGCTTACATCAAACTTGTAAGTTAATGTGTGATCTATTTATAATTAGGGTTAATTTAAAACTTAACTTGAACACATTTTTTTCAGTTTTTTAATCAAGTTTTCATTTTGGACAAAGTTGATCGAAACCTACAAATCACTGCAAAAGTATATGATTTAATATATGAGTTAAATGTTATTAGTCCAAAAATCCTTTACTTCGTATTACCTCAACTAGAGTGCAAACTAAAATCTTCAGATGAAGCTGAAAGACTAAGTAAATAAACTACTTATATATTGTACTGGAAACATATTATTTTTTTTTTCTTAATTATTTTAGAGGCAGTATCGCTGTTGGCACGTATGTTTTCCGAAAAAAATTCTACATTGTCAAAAAGACACGGGCAACTATGGCGACAATTTGTAGGAAGATTTTGCGACATTGCTGTAGCTATTCGTATCAGATGCGTCCAAAGCTCAATGCATTTTCTTTTGAATCATCCAAATCTAAGGCGTGATATAATAGAAACTTTGAAAGCTCGTCAGCATGATTCAGATGAAATTGTAAGGCAAGAAGTTGTTATTTCAATTGTTGAAACTGCAAAAAGGGATTATCACATTGTGTCTGAATCGAAAGATTTATTAGAAATTGTCAAAGAACGTACTTTAGATAAAAAGTTCAAAATACGTAAAGATGCAATGTGTGGACTTGCCTTCATCTATAAGAATTTATTATCGGATACTAATATTTCGGAAGACACAAAACATGCAGTTAATTGGATTAAAAACAAAATATTACATGGATATTACATGACAGGAATAGAAGATCGGTTGTTGGTGGAACGTCTTCTCATTACAAGTTTGGTGCCATACCAATTGGCTCCTATGGATCGCATGAAAAAACTGTATAAATTATTAGGAACAATAGATGACAATGCGACAAAAGCTTTTATAGAGTTACAGAAAAATCAAATGAAAATGCGAAAATCTGTGGCAGATTGGGTGAAATTGCACAACGTTAAAGAACAATCACCGAAATTACACAAAGAAATGAACGTTAAATGTGCAGCCATTTCAAAGTATGTACAAAAATTTTGCAATTATATGCCAACCTTTGATACTTTAATATACATTTTTGTGCTTACAGACTGTTACCAGACCCGATCAAATCGTTAGAGTTTTTAACTAAATTTAGTGCACATATGAAAAAAGACCCTGAACTATTAAAAGGAATGGAAACTATTCTGCGAAGAGATGTTTCGTGCAAAGAATGTGCTGACACAATGCAAATTGTACTGAAAAAAATGGGACAGCCCATTATGACAAATTTGTATTACAATATAGTAAAAATGTTATTGGAGCGAATAGCTTCCGTTATGGTAGATAAAGATTCTATTGGGGTGTTAGTAGAGTAAGAATGTCACAAGAAAAAAATCACTTTCATTATATTTACTAAATTTTTTTAAAGATTGATAGAAGAATGTATGAAAGGTGGCGAGGTTATACAAGAAGTAGGAATACCATCTGAATCTGCCGGAGAACGTGGACTTAAGCTTCTTACGGTACTTAGAGTCTTATTTATTTTTATTCATTATTAAGATTTATTTATTAATAGGTTCTCTCGTATATTTTTTCCGCGCATTTTCTTCACGAATCGATACTAAAACACATGGTAAGCCTTCTAGGTTTGGAAATTGATTATGCTGCACCGTATATTCTAAAAGCTTTTACACATTTGGGAAGATTTAAACCCTTAATTGAAACGCACCCAAGCATACTTGAGGAATTAGTACCGGTTTGTAAAGAATTTGCCTTATCAGGAACACCAAAGCAAGCTAAGCATGCTGTTAGATGTGTTTATGTTAATACACAAAAATCAGATGAAGAAACTGTTAATGAAATATTTCCTGAAATTGTTGATTCTTTTAAACAAACTTTAACGCCAGAAAATACCAATTTCAGAACAGCTATTGTTTGCTTAGGTCACATAGCCTATAACATGCCTCAAAAATTTTTAACACAAATCAAAAATATAATAGCTCGTAAAATTGTAAAAGAATTATTAATACAAGATGTATCCGATGACCGAGAAAACATACCTAGTGGAGAATGGTGTGAAGAATCTGAACTACCCGAAGAAACTCATTGTAAAGTTGAAGCATTGAAAACTATGGCAAGATGGCTGCTTGGATTGAAAAATGATGTTCCATCAGCTCAAAAGACATTCCGTATGTTAAACGCTTTTATTAAACAAAATGGTGATTTGTTAGAACAAGGTAGATTAACAGCGGCTGAAATGTCCTGGCTAAGATTAACAGCTGGAAAAGCAATGTTAAAAGTATGCGAACAAAAAGGAGTTGGAGATCAATTTACTGCCGAACAATTTTATAATTTATCTAGATTAATGGTACTTAAATGTTTTCTTATAAATGCAATTTTTTATGTTAAATTTGTATATTTATTAGATTGACCCAGTTCCTGAAGTTAGAGAAATATTTGCCAAAAAACTGCACAAAGGTTTAAGTAAAGGTTTACCAAACAAGTGTTTACCTTTAGATTTTATGGGATATTATGCACTTGGTGGAAGAGAAACTGAAAAAAGGTACTATACTTTTACACTTTATTTCTTTTCCTTTTCAAACCCTGAAAAATTATGTACAGATTATCAAATTTAATGAAAGGCTACATAGAAGCTGATGTAAATAGAAGGAGAGAATACGTGAAATCTTTTGCTTCAGGTATAAACATTTATTTTTTTTATCTAATTTCAAAAATTTGAATAACTTGATTCATGCGCAATTTTTAGTTGAACGCGCCATGAGTAGTTTACCTCATATTTTGCCTGATTATATGCTCGTATTCGCCGTTCCCGTGTTAACACATGATCCAAATTACACCGACTATGAAGATCGTGCACAATTAAAAGCAATTGAAAAATGCCTTTGGTTTATTCTAGAACCCCTAATTTCAAATAAAGAGTTCTATTGCGCAGGATTTTATAGAAATATTTTAGATAGGATAAAACACCACAAAGATGCTTATAAACCTGAAGATGACAGTTACAACTTTGTAAGATTTGAACAAAAAACAATTATGAATCATCAAAATACAAAATTTTGTATTTTGTTTTTTTTTTTTTAGAAAATGTGGGCCATATGTGACGTCGCTATTCACATTATAAATAATAAGTCAACAAATTTTGGCACTAGAGAATTTTCAGCAGATGCAAGAATACCCACAATGTACTTCAAATCACAAGGTGATGATTTCGTAAATAACCGAATCTATATACCTATCGATGTATACACTATGGTAAATAAAAAACCACCAACATCAACTTCAGCGGCATTAGCAACTTTAAATTCTGCATCAGCTACTTCAAATAATAACATTAACAATAATAAAAAGAAAAGTTTAATAAGATTTTCAGATAGAAATAGTATTGATCACAAAGATGATTCAGTAAGATAACGTAAAATACGTATTTATTAAAAAAAAAAACAAAAATTCACTTTTTATAGGAGGATGAGAGCATGGACGAATTATTAGATGAACCACCTGCTAAACGGAGAAGTAGTCCGACATCAACTATTCTCGGTGATTAGCAAAAACAATTTGCTTGGTTACAATTATGTTAATTTAAAAACTAATTTTATTTTGTTCTTATTTTTTATAAGTGTTAAGTTAGTTTTTAATAAAAAAAAGTTTCAATTTTTTCTAGATGATAATACATTACATATTACAGTTTTCTTTTCTTCATGTATATTAGAGTCAATCTTTTTTAAGTACTCCTAACATATAAATATATAAAAAAGGTTGAAAATTTTATTTAACATTTTATTTTTATTAATGTTTAAGAAAAGTTTATGCAAATGTGTGTATTTATAAAAACAATTAAATGAAACTATTGCTAATGTGTAAACAAAGGAACAAAAGTAACCAAAAAAAAAAAAATTACAACATTTTATAGAAAAACTAAAAATTTGTATTTAAATACTTTTTCATATTATATTTTATGTATTTTTAATTATGCTCATATATGATTTATGTATAAATGTTACTTCAAAATCAAAAAACGATAAGATAACCATTCTCAAAATTTGTCAACAGCAATGTAACATACAACAAAAAATATTTTATTATTATTAATTATAAATACTAATTCATAAATAATTAATTTTCAATCAAACTATGATCTGGCTAAAATTTGGGCTTTGATTCCGAAAAATATATTTAAAAATTGTTATATTTTAGGAATATAATTTACTTATTAAAGAAATCATAAAAATATATAATTATATAAATTATGAATATTTCATTATTATTACATAATTAAAAATAATATAAATAATAGTTATCAATCAAAAAGAAACTATTTTTGCGATAAAAAAAATATTTAGTGGAGCCATCATAGTTGTTAAAAATAGAATAACCGCTCGATATGATTGCATATAACAAAAAACATAATAAAATAAAATAATTTATATTGTTCTATTATATAAAAAATAACATTCTACTATGTAAGAGGTAAGTTTATAAAACAAAAAAAAATATATAAAACTTAAGAATGAAAAAAAATAAATTTAATAATAATTTCAAAAAAAAATATTATTAATAAGTTAACTTTTTAAGTTTCTAAAATGATAAACTTTAAGATTGAAGAAAACAATTAAAAATTCAAGAAAAAATAAAGTACATACAACTACAAATCTTTCTCGAGATTTTGTTCAATAAAGAAAAAAAAGGAGAAAATAAAGTCTATTACAATTTACAAAAAATTATGTATGTGTTTAAAAAAAAAACTTGAAGGTCAATTAAATTTAGTTAAAAAAAAATATTTATAAAATGAGAAGTTTACTATAACGGGGGGAGTGAATCAAAATATTTTATTATAATAAAAAAGGAGAATTATTTTATTTCGAATTAATGAAATCTCTGAATATCTGTACTAAAATTTTCAGCTTTTAAATATGGGTATCTTCGGAATTGCATCCACGACGCATCAGAACTTTGTATCTTATTGTAAAATATCAACAAAAAAAATTGATGATGTGTTTGCGACGTTGTTAACACTGAAATATTCAAATTGTGTTTCCAAAAGTTTTTCAATACGTTGTTTTTTATATACGTATTTCAGTTGTAAGTAGAAAATTTTAAAATAAATTGAAACAAAAATTTTTTTTATTAAAGTTATAGTGGGATGAAATAATATAATGCACCAAGATTTTTGAGTTTTCAAATGTAAAATAATACAATGTGCTTAAAAAGGAAGAATACATTGTGTCAAAAATTAAATTGAAATTTAATTTTTTTTCGATTTTGACGAAATCGCATGACTTTTATTTGATGATTTTGTGTGCTATAAAAATAGTAAATTAATTTTCTCAGTCAAAGTAATTAGGAATATATAAATTTTGTAGCATAAAATATAAGTATTATCATCAATTAATAATATAAGTTTTTGAAAAATTATGGATGAAGAACATTGTATGAAAATTCTACCTCATATATGTACATACATACAATATATTATACAATATCAATGTTCTAATTTTAAATTTTTAATATTTTAGAATAGCAAATTTGAAATTAATATCTTACGTTAAAATTTTAAGACATGTCGTTTTTTTCTTTTGTTTTAAAGATTCCTTGAAACCGGATAGAAACATACATACATAGTATTTATTTGCTAGTTTAAATTTTTCGCAATTGATTTGTGCCTTCAATAACTTAAAACGGTAAATATTACTATCACTTAGTAATTCGATATTCAGAATAAACCCAAGTAAAAGATAAAAATACTTTTTCTTCATGGTTTTTATTTTAAAAAAATATAAAAATCAAACATTGCGATATTTTGTAAAATTCATCATAACTTAAAACATAAATCAAAACATGTTGAATATTAAAAAAACGCGGAGTATCATCCTTACCACATTCTTCTTCCATACTATGTAAGGCATCGCAGATAAGAAGGAACAATTTTTTTAGGAATTCTTAGGCACTCCACTTTCGTATTATATAAGATATTGATAGTGGTTAAATAATTTTTTATGCAAAAATTAAAACCAAAAATTTTCGATTTGAGTTTAATTCCATATTTTAAATCTAATTCGTCTTCTTGTTATTATTTTTAAACTATGTAATTTGTAATTTTTTTAATAATTTTTTCGTTAACATTTTTAAACATAACAAATATGTTCATATTACAGATATTCTCATTTGAAAATCATATTAAACGAATACATAATACTACTTAATTAATTTTTGAAATATTTTTTGCACTGGGATTTAAAATCAATAATTAATTTTTATGGCATAAAATAAAAATTCAAATCGTTTTGAAATTTCATACTCTAATTTATTATTTCAATTTCACTGATAATATATAGTATAACTTATAGGAAACAATATTTAAAAAGAAATTAATCAATTTTAACATTTCAAAACGAATATATTTAATTTAACTAACAAAAATTGACATATTTTTTTTTTTTTTTTTTATTTTTATAAATCATTAAATTTCTATTTTATCGAATCTTACTAAAAACATCAAAATATTTAATAAAACGTTGAATCATGAAAATATTTACAAAAAAAAAGGCAACCCCTTGAATTCCAATTAAATTAAAAGTGTTCATTGATTTGTATTCCAAAAGATATGCTGGTAATAACCATAAAGCTTGAGCTAATATCCATACGCTGAAATACAAAAAAGCCAATTTTATTGGCATACTCCTGAAATTTTTCACACAAATTGGTAATAAAGCCAAATACCATATAAAATATTGAGATGTTACCACTGTATTATACGTAACCATTACATATGTTTGCAAAAAAATACAAAATGATAACGTTTTTCGGCTTAACCCGAAAGTACAACTCAAATATATGAATATAGCTAATTGCGGCATTGTAATAAGAGCTTTTTCAAAACCTGCTATCAATAATGTCTCATCAGTTCCACTATTACTTCCACTTTGAATTTCATTATCGGCTGATAAATATAGCATTAAAAAGTATAACGAAAAATTATGCTTTACATCTCTACGCTTAAAATGATATAAATAAGTTTCATAAACAAATGGCCATCCATACAAATGGATAAATAAACCGGTGAAAAATGAAAATCCAATAATTGTTCCAATAACTAATAAAAACTGTCTATAATTTGGTATGAATAATTTATAACGAATATTTTTAATGTCGATGAAATTATAATTAGACAAGTTTAAAAAGTAAGCTAGACTGAAAATAACTGGATAAATTCGTAGATGAATTGATAAACCATGAAATATTCCTGCTAAAATGATATCGGAATCATTAACTTCAAATTTTTGAAAGTAATATAGCGTTAACAAAACAAATACGCTTGACAACGAGTCTCCATTTCCACGTGTTGATATAACCATTGCTAATGGATTATAAAGCCAAACCAATGAAGACAATTTCGCCCAATTTTCATAACGATCAGGCATTTTAAGCTTCTTCTTCAGTTCAGATGTTGCACAAGCAGTTTTTTTATGTTTAATGTTAAAATTTTTTTGATAAGCTACGTTAAATGCTTCAGCATTTTCATAAAAAATTGACTTCAATTCATTGTACACAATCTCCTTTATCAAATATCCAACAAAAATATCAAAAACTGAAAATAATATTTTTCCAAAACAATCGAAAAATAGAACATTTGGTACTAAAAGTAGTGCCATAAGTGGACTATATCGATAAGTATGTCTTTTATAAGGTGATTCATGCTTAATTATATAACGAGCTCCATCAGTAACAACTCTATAATCAATATCTGTGTACGAAAGTTCTGACGAACTATTATCATGAATCTCTCCATATATGATTAATATTATTCTAATAAATAAAGCTATTGCTAAATGTTTGGAAAATGAAATTTTTTCTAAAATTTTAATCATTTTGCTTTAAGAAATATTACCTATATATATGTATTATTAAGTTAAGTTTTATTTCTTTCTGTCCTTTTTTTTTGTTGATTACACAAATGTTTCTATCCACAATTATAAATAATATGTCGCTTATTTCTTTTATAATTACAACTTTGTTCTCATTTCTTTACTAGCTTTAACAAGACAATTTTTGAACTCTGTAAATTCCTTGTTACATATATGTTTACTTACATTTAGATCTCGTGCTACGCAAGCCGCATATAATGCCGCTGCTTTACTACATTTTGCTAACAATATTGGATACAATTTCATACGTGATTTTGCTTTTTCAACTGCTTCCATTCCTTTTGATCAGTAAAACATAAAAATTGGCTTTTTATTTCTTATAATATCTATTTGTTAACGATTGTGGTGGAGGTGGTAATTGCTGCACTATGAAGCTATCGTAAATTGGTTTTGAAAAAAATGTAAGCAGTGATGTTGTTATAAATATTATGGAAAACAAGCGAGGATTCCTTTGTACCCAAGAACGTTTTGGTAAAACTGCGGTTTTTCTTCGTTGAAGAGGTTGGTTATTTTGATTATTTATTCCCTGATTCGACTGTGTAAGAATACTGGTTACTCTCATTCTTTAAAACTGAAGTTAAAAAAGAATAAATTAGTGTTCTCGAAATTTTTTGGTTGTTTATTTTCTGTGGGAAGAGTCTATTAATTGAAAAAAACTCAAAAATTATCAATAAATAATTGAAGTGAAACTATTTTAGCTGATGTAAATAAAGTAACCTTTTAGATATTACTTCCACAACAGAATTATTGTACCTTACATCCTAACCTATTTCGGCTAGGTACATACCTAACTTGCTTTTTAATATTCCAACTAGTTTTTTAAATTTATTGTGATTTAGCTTTTAAATTTTCAGATCTGTCTAAATAATCTTTGTCCAAAATTATTCCTGAACAGCAAAGTGATTCCTTATGCCACTTAAGACAACATTGTCTCATGTCTTCTAACTCCTCTAAACATCTGCTTTCTTGATATTTGTGTTCTACACATGATATACATATGTACATATATTTTAAGGTAAGTTAGATTTTAAATGGTTATATAATTAATTTTGGACTTACTTTCCAGACACGATTGTATTCTGCACGCAAATTTTTTACAAGGATCTTTTTTACTTGAAGGCATACGATTTTTAAATACGAATAATTTCAGCTTAACTTCCTCAATATAACATTTGAACAAAATACAAATTTTCAAGAAGCTTGCTACAATAATAGAAAATATGCCTACTACTTACTATATTAATATACTGACAGGAAGAGTGGATTTCCTATTTCTAAGTTCCTATCTATTCATGTATCAAATGCTTTTGACATTTAGTTATTTTCATAAAATAAGTCAAGACTTTGTATGAAACTACTATAATAGATTCATTTAGGAAATATTATTTGAAATTTCAAGCTGAAATAAAACTTTGGTTTTTAAACGAAATTTGAAATAAAATTGAATCGAATAAATTTTGTAATAAATTAAATGAGTATTGAACTGTATTGAATTGTATTTTGTATTGAACATTTTCAATTTCGCGATATGCAGCGTGAATTTTAATTACTGACTTGCCTTAAACTATTACGGGCTATTACAAAATTTAAAGCATTCTCATTAAAACTAAAATTTATAACTTCGTTATAAACTTTAAAAGTTTGTTAAACTCTATTCGTTTTCAACATCGTACAACATTTTAAGTTGTACGATTTTGAATACGACAATTGCATTTATCGGAATTTATATTTTAGTTTTAAAATAATTTTTTTACAAAATGAAATTTTGTTAACGCATCTTCATATTCCAAATGTTTCATATGCATATGTAAAATTTTACTTTTTAATTATCTAAATTTATCAATTTTAAGTTTTTCTTTTACTATAATTTTTACTTCCACAAAATAAAAAACAGATACAAAAAATACTGCTTATATTTCTTTTTCATCTTTTTCAATATCTCTTTGCTTATACTTCTACGTGTATTGCTTACATGAGGATTCTTGCTTCAAAGTTTGACATACGTAATATTCTCTTGCCCGAAAATTATTTTTTGATAGTGGGCGGGAAGATAAGAACTTTTTATATACATAAGTTTTAAAAACGTCCCCAAAAAGGTTGGGAATGGTCAATAAAATAAAATTTTTCTAAATATTTTTCTATAAAAATTGCAGATTTACCTAAATACAGAAATCTATACTATAAATGTAAACAGTGATGTTGCTACAATAATTAAGTCTCTCTGCTACTATAATTAAGTCCTGACGGTCACATTGTATTTCGATATATTTGCAAATCTTTTGAAGTAAAGAACAAACAATAAAGAAAAGAGTTTTGTAAAAAAAATTAATTTAATTATTTATCAAACAAACTGTATAATGCTCCAAAAAGATTGGAAAAAATGGTGTCGTCTATGTGGGAAGAAAGGAGGTTCGGAAGTAGATTTTACTTTCAAATTTGAAAGTACTGAAACTTTGGCTGAAATTGCAATGAAGTATTTCGGAATACTGGTATATCATATTTTTTAAAGTAATTTTGTTACATATCTTGCTTAGTTGTAAATAATTGTTTTAGATTTCGAAGGAAAATTATTCTTTTACAAAAATATGCGTGATGTGTCATGAAACTATCAGTTCAATAATAAAATATAATGCTCATGTCGTTAAAGTAAATGAGATGTTTCAAGAATTAGAAAATTTTCATATGAATCAGAATACAAACTTCGAAACCCTAAGAGAAAAGTATGGTCTTGATAATGAGATTGGGAATTCTGATATATATGCAGTTCAAACCAAAATTGATTTAGAATCAGAGAGTGACAAGAAATCAACATCGCCTTTACAGATTTTTCTGAAAACTGAAATTATGAATGTAGATGAAGACTGTTTTTTAGAAGAGACAAATAATTCTAACAATGTAGAAGAAGATAGTTTTTCAAATGTATGTAGCACTGATCAAAAAGCAGAAGAAACTTTAAAAATTAAAAAAGAAAAAGATAAAGGAAACTCTAATAATTCAAATGTAGATGTGCTTTCAACTGAGTTGGATCTGTTGGACGAAAAATACTTTCAATGCAACATTTGTGAAAAATACTTTTCTTCAAAACGGGCACGTGCAAGACATATAAGACAGAAGCATTCCGAAAATTTGGACCTACCATCCCACAAGTGCAGCACTTGTGGAAGATTCTTCAAAAATCTTTGGAATCTTAATGCGCATGAGGTTACACATTTATCGAAAACTGATAGAAAATTGTATGATTGTCCCCAATGCAGCAAGCAGTTTACTTCTGAAGCACACATGCAGGATCATATCCGCGTTATACACAAAAAAGAGAAATCTTTTATTTGTGAATTGTGTGGAGCGGCATTTGGGAGAAGTGGGAATTTATTTGATCATCGCTTAACACATAGCACAGAGAAAAAATTTAAGTGTTCGAAATGTGAAAAAACTTTTAAGTGCAAACGTTCTTTGAAGGTAAAATTCATAAGAATGTGAAAAAGTTTATATTTTTGTTGATTTCTGCTTTAAATACACAATTTATATAGTTTTCAGTATTACTAACACTTAATATGTATTCTGTGCACATATACTCATTTGAAATTAAAACATATATTTTTAATTTCAGATTCATTTCGATACACACGAAGGTACAGAATATTCTTGTCAAATTTGTGGAATTAAACTTAACACAAAAAGGATACTTCGACGTCATATGATTGTGCATTCTGATCTAAACAAATACAAATGCAATTTCTGTTCAAAACAATTTAAAAGGGCTGATGCTTTTAAGAATCATATTATTTTGCACACTGGATTGAAGCCATATCAGTGTCCATTTTGTGGATTAGCATTCGCCAATGGTTCTAACTGCCGAAAACATCAAGTAACAGTGCATCCTACCGAATTATCTGATGCAAAATTAGCAGGTACTCCAAAAATTGTACAGAATATTCCTAGTATAAAACAATTAAAAGCAGTAAATGAAGAGGCACTTATTGGTTAAGTCGATAATCTTATAACCTTACGAAGTGTTGAATAACGTTGAAAACTTACTATAAAAATGAGTTTGGTGTAACAACTGCGCTAAATTTTAAAAATATGTAGGTACTATAATCAAACTTAATTATATTAAGCTTCTTGGGGAATATAAAACTAGCACGATATTATTTCAGTATATTATTTCATATTGAAAATATTTATTTGATACGATATTATTACAATTTCATCAATTTATACTTCTTCATTTAAAAGCTAGTCATTGTATGTATGTACTCATAATATTGTTTTTCATATTTTACAATGATAGTTTCAAATAATATTCCAGTCATAATAAAAGTAGTAATCAAATCATTCTTTCTTTACTACGAGAATAATATGTAAGTCAACTACTTGCTTTGTTACATTGTGGAAAAGCTAATAGGATTTAGAACTATATTGTTAAGCCTAATGTACATACATATTAACATACACGTTAGCAGGAAAATGACGTAAATTTGAACAAAAACAAATATACCCTTCGATCATTAAAATATGCAGAATAAATGAAGGAAAAATATGTGTTGTATGGGGGCCGGGATTTTTTTGTATGACCTAACATAATATGTATAACGTCTACAGATTTTTCATTCAAAGCGCTTTGATGCAAATGAATCCTTCAGCTAAAAAAAAATTTTGTTATAGAACAGATGTTGTAGAAGCAGTTGATTAAATGGAGGTAATATAAATTTAAGAATATGTATTCAATATTGTTTCATGTTTTCAAAATTTTCATTCAATTATTGATGAGCTCCGATTTCAAAGTTAAACATCTTTGAAGATGAAACTTAATGTGAAAATTCTTATATTATCTGCAATATTCGTTTGCATTAATATTTTTATCATAAAAATATTATTTTGGCACTCCTATCCTTATACATATCTTAATGATCGAAGCCCATAATAAAATACTTGATACGTTTTAGAATATGTAGAAATATTTTTTTAGTTTAAATTTTAAAAATACATATGGAAATCACATCAAAATCACGATGTTTTATTTCGTAAATAAGGTTTTCTTTATAATCGCTCATATTCTATTCTGTATTCATGCGAATTTAAAATGAATGGAATTAAAAATTTGACATTCGCACGGAATGTAAAAGTGATGTTCTAGCACTAAAGGTGGATTCACCAGTTTCTAATTTCTATAGTTTGCGTCAGATAAAATTTGATGTTACATAAAGTTTACATATACATATACGATTTCCACCAGACTCAAATTAAGTTGTAAATTTTTATGCTTCCCAATAGGTTAATTAAAATACATAAATAAATATAAATGTCAAAAAATCAATTCAAATATAGAAAATAAGGTGAATTCATAGGTCGTCTTACGTGCAACAAAGAAAAACGTGCGCATATGGTTTATATGAAAATTTCTTTCATTTTTTATATTTTTTTGCAAAGCTCTTTTTTCCTCTAAAAAGGTTGAATCAATATCATTTTTAGAACGGAGGTTTTTAGAAATGTTATTACTCATTTTATACTTCTAAAAAGTTAAGCTAAATTTCATTTAAAATTTGGAAATAAAATGAAATTAAATAAAAACAATTCAGTTCTTTCAGTTAAACTAGCAGTTAACTGAGGATTTTGAATTCTTCATTCAGAATTGAGACTATGTATCGTAATTAAAAAAAAACATATGTATATGTTTAAAAGAATTGTTAAACAAAATCGTATAATAAAAAGTTTTATAAAAAGTAAACGGTTTTTTTTCATATCGTGTAATTTCAAATTCTACAGAATGTCAAAATTTATTACATATTAGGTCTTTAAAAATTTTAAGGAACTTTAAGGACAATACTTTGAAACAAAATGAGATAAAATGATGACATTCTCATTTTGTCAATGTTTATACCTACTTTTTTCAAGTTTTATAAAGTAAAATTTAGTGTTTTAAAAAACTTTTTTTAAAATCTTACAGCTGTCGAAACATATGTTTTTCTTGGTTATGTTAAAATAAAATATAGTTAATTAAAAATAAAAATTAATTAAAATAAAAAAATTATAAAATAACCAAAACGGGTTCACAAATGGTTTTTTCCAAGTTTCACGCTTTTATAATCCAAAATCAAATTTTCGACTTTTGGTATAATCAATATTTGTTTATGTTTGATAAATACTTTGAAATTTAAAATTTTTCAAGTTTTCCGTCTGGTTTATTTTTTTCTTCTTGCGAGAAATTCACCATTGTTTCTTTTTAAAATTTTTTTCGAGCTTTATCCCAGACAGACCTTGTTTTAAGTAATACCATTTAATTAGCGTCTACTTAAATTTGACTTATTTAGAAGTTATTTTATTTTAACAACATATGTAAACAAATGATTCAAAAAAAATTACATATTAGTGTTGAATACCGCATATCGTACAGGGGTCCTTTGAGTTACCGCTAGCGATAAATATGACATATACTGTCACTAAACTGTCAAAAGGTAAAATATTCTCATTAATTCAATAATATATTGTTTTAAAACAAAATAAAAATAAATCTCTATCAGGATTATATTTTAAAGTTTGTGTAAAAATATTTTACTGTTCAAAATGCAACAAAAAGATTGGAAAAAGTGGTGCAGACTTTGCGGGAAAAAGGATGGCTCAGATATTGATATTACACTGAAGTTTGAAAGCACTGAAACTCTATCTGAGGCTATAATAAAGTATTTTGGAATAATGGTATCAATTAAAAGGAATTATAAATGAAAAGTTCATTATTAAAATTTTGCTTTTTAGATACCAATTGAAAATAATTGTTGCACGAAAATATGTATAATGTGTCATGATACAATTAATTCGATTATTAAATACAACGCCCATGCTATTAAAGTAAATGAAATGTTTACAGAGTTAGAGAATAATCATTTAAACCAAACTTTTGATGTAGAACCTTTACGAGAAAAATATGGATTAAATAACGAAACTCACGTTTTATTTGAAAATGAAATGAGACCCGCAGACTTTTGTGCAGTTCAAGTAAAAGTTGATTCAAAATCAAAAGCTGATAGTAAAATGAGTAGTTCTCCCTCGAAATGCCCTTTAAAAACTGAGGTGGTAGATGTAGATGAGTTGAATTTTTTGGAGGAAACAAATGCATTCGACGAAGGGCCAAATGATATTTTATCTAGTGACTGTAATCCTGGACAAAATTTGGTAGAAGAATTCTTTAACGTAAATTTAGGTAAATCAGACGAAATGAATACCTTAAGTAAAAAAGGGGAAGAATCTATTTCGATAGCTTCGAAAAGCAATGAAGAAAAATGTGTGGAGTGCAATATTTGTCAAAAACGGTTTGTTACAGCTAGGGGGAGAACAATACACATGAAGCAAAAGCATGCAGTGAAAATAGGTCCCCCTCCATATAAGTGTAACGTCTGTGGAAGGTTATTTAAAAGAATTCAGCATCTAAATGCTCATGAAGTAGTACACTTATCAGAAAATGATAGAAAATTGTACGCTTGCCCACAATGCAATAAAAAATTTACGAACGAATGGTACGTACAAGATCATATTCGTATAGTTCATAAGAGAGACAGGCCCTTTATATGTGAACTATGTGGTGCAGCTTTTGGAAGTAATCGTAATCTAGTTGACCATCATTTGACTCATTCCGAGGAAAAGAAATTTAAATGCCCCAAATGTGAAAAGACTTTTAAATGCAAACGAGCGTTGAAGGTATGGTATTATACTTTTTTACTTATTAATGACAAAAATACAATTTTAGCTTCACGTTGATATCCATGATGATACCGAATATATTTGTCAAGTGTGTGGTCTTAAACTTAATACAAGACGAATATTACGTCGTCATATGATTGTACATTCCGATTTGAACAAGTACAGATGTAATTTCTGTTCAAAACAATTTAAAAGACCAGATGCATTCAAAAATCATTTAATTCTGCATACTGGCTTAAAACCGTATGAGTGTTCGTTCTGCGATCTAACGTTTGCTAATGGGTCCAATTGTCGAAAACATCAACGAACAACTCATCCTGTTGAACTAGCAGCTGCAGAATTAAAGGGCAAACAGAAACTTGCTAAAAATGTTCCTAGTATAAAGCAATTAAAAGCTGTAAATGAAGAAGCGTTGCTTAATGAAAAAAAAATAAACTTAAATTTCGATACAAATCTCAATACAGTTCAGATGTAAAAAGCAATATTTGCATGTTTGTATAATTTTAAGGACTTAAGCGTATGTCACCACAAATTAAATAGCAATTGTGATTTATAGGTTTAGTTGAACATTTTATTTTAAATATAACACGAACATATAATTTTTTTTCTAATAAAATTTTTTTTAGTATTGATAATTATTGTCACTTTACAGTTTTTTGAATCTGCTTTGTGCCAATAAGGCAAACATTTTCAAGCGTTGTTTCTTCTGGGACATAAAATTTTAGGTTGCATTCATAATTTTTTCCTTGCAAATACGAAAAACGCGCATAATCTAGTATTCTTTTACACATTTGCCCAATTTCTTTTTTCTTATCTTTTGAAATACCTAAATTGCTTCCTTCTACTTGATTCTGGTCCTCTTTAGTAACTTCTAATTGTTGCCTTTTCTCCCGACTCATACCGTTTCCACAAACAGCCCAACTTACCATCTTTGTCATTAAAATGAATTGTTGGTAACCAATACCATTGAATTTTAAAAAATCTTTTCCAATAAATGATTGCCAGGTACATTTGTGATGACAGCACAATGACACGATGAAAAATATGTTTTGATCTGTCTTGTGATGCAGGAGACATCTTAGCATCAAATCCGTTGCAGAGCCACATAAATGTTTTCCAATAGCCACTATATGTTTCATATCCCTCAAAGTTTCAATTTTCTCTAATACAACATCACTAATATCAGCTCTAATTCTATGGATATTTGAACGATCCTCTATTTTATTATCCTTCTTATGTCGTAAAGAAGCGCGATCTATTAAAATTACATTAGTTTTGTTCAAACTATCCCTACTTGCAAGCAGTTTCGCTAACCAATATGAAACTTGCCCTTTTCCTGCACCAAATTCAACGAAACATGTGTCATTTTTTATTAATCCAAATTCTTCTAAATATCCTAATAATGATGCAGTTTGAGCAAGATGCTTGATGGTTTGTTTTCCATATGTAGTTTCGTTTAATTCCTCTGATAAGATGTCATGCTTAAGAATTTGCTTCTCTACTTTACCATCAATATACGTCTTGTAAATATCTTCAATTTTATTAATAAGCAACAAAACATCTTCAGAACTCTCTGACAGTTTTGTTGATTTTGAAAAATTTTTTAATAAAACATCACTATCTTCAGTATCCGAAGATCCATTATTCACTCCTAATTGAATATAAGTGGGATAGTCATCTTTCATTCTGGAATTGCAAATTTTCAAGTGTTTTTGCAAATTTCTTTTGTAAACCTACAACATAGTTTTATACAACAAAATTATAAAATTAAAACACATTAATTACCGTGTGTTTTGGATCCAGTGGGCATACTACTCTGCAATCTTCATTTGTAGTTTTACCATCTCCTTTTACTGGCTCATGTTCACCTACACCGTGAAAAAAAAGACAAATATCAGTAGGTATCTTACGACAATTTGCACATTTTTCTCATACCGCAAAAGTTTTTTCCTTTCGCTACAACCATTTTGCAAAACCTTTTTTTCCTGCTGACATAATGATTGCAAGTTTGTACTGAATTTTCTTCTTTTAAATCTAATCTTATTTTCTTTGGAATTAAAGCAGATTCAATTGATTTCATTGTTGTCATATATTTTAAACCTGTTCCTTCATACGTAAAATAAATTATTAATTATAAATTAATGATACATAGTACAATACATGTATAAGTTAAAGGCTCATTCAATGGCGAACTATAAACTGCCAACTGTGATTAATTATTTGAAAACCTTTTTTGCTTTTGAATAAACAGATATCCAAATTTGATTCTTACATTAAAATAATAAAATACAATATTTTTATAAAATAAACAAAAATTAATAAAAATATTAGTAAAAATTGATAATTTTTATTTTGCTAATATTTCGAGAAGTTTGTTGCTTATTTAATTAATATTTCACCAATTAATCGAGAAATGACCACGTCTTGAACGTGGAATATCATCGAGCAATATATCGAACAGACCTAACGTCATAACAGAGTTATCATTTTACGTCAGTGTTACATACATTTGTAAACAAATCTTAAGAATTTAAAGAAATTTATATATTTATCTATATAATCAATTTTTTATCAAATGACTAAAGGAATATTCCCTTATTTTGCTGCGGGTGAGATCGTCAAAGGATTTGGTAGAGGCTCAAAAGATTTAGGAATTCCGACGGCAAATTTCCCTCTAAATGTAGTACAAAATCTTCCACCTAATATTGAGACTGGAATCTATTACGGTTTTGCGAACGTAGACAATGGTCCTGTTCATGAAATGGTGATGAGCATCGGTTGGAACCCATTTTTCCATAATAAAGAAAAGAGTATGGAGACCCATATATTACATGATTATAATCAAGATCTGTATGGTTGCATTCTTAAAGTTTGTATTCTGGGATATATACGACCCGAAAAAAATTTCGATTCCTTGGATTTATTAATAAATGCTATAAAAGACGATATTCAACAAGCAAAAAAATTATGTAATCTACCAAGTAATAAGGGGTATATAACTTCCAACTTTTTTAAAAAAGGAAACAGTAGCGATGGAGGAAATTCAGTGATATAAAATATAAGTTAATTAATTTAATTATTTTTGTTGAGTTTGGAAAATAGACAAATTATAAACAGGTATATTTTTAAGTTCTTTGGGGGTAATCAAATTATTAGTATTTGTTGTTAAAGTAAACTATGAGTTTTTTAAAACTAAAACTGGATTAACTTTTTTCTCATTTTACAAAAGACGATTTAAAAAATGATTTACATTTTCGAAGGAAAGACTAAGCCAACGAATATGAGGAAATTCATATAATCTACACCTTTCTACATCTAAAAAAAAACTTCTGAATCTGAAAATTTATTATTTCTCACAAAGATCTGCAGTGCTGTTACAAGTGGTAAAAGTCACTGTTAAGTTCCTGTTTTGTCATTATAAATCGTACTATAAAATACAATTTATTTATTTTTAAGTGCAACTAACTATTGAATCTTCATTAATAAAGCGGACTTCCAAATGACGGTGACATTGTAAAAAGTTCTGTGTCATTATATACAGAGTAAATAATTAAACAAGTTAGGTGCGGATAAATCAATTGTATTAATTAAAACATCCTATAATAGCTAAGTTCGGTTAAAATGTAATGAAATAATTTCCGCTTATGACTCAAAAAAAAAAATCTATCAGTTTTAATCCAATTTTTCTGGTGTAATAGAAAAAGATAATAAATCTTTAATAGCGCCAGATTTTTTTTCTGACAGATCCTCAAGAAAAAACTTATAAATCAGGATCATACTTTTCTTTGGCGACAAATAATAGAAATTACTTATGTACATAATATGCAGTTTATTCTCATCAGATATTTTAAGATTAAAGTGGCGTTCATCTTTTGACTTGACATAACAAAATTATCTATATTTCTGTCAACCATGGGTTTTGTAAATGATACAATTATTGAACTTTGATGTCAAATTTGATGTTCATCCCCCAATTTCAGTCTAATATGTAAAGGGTATTCATTATTTGTCCCACATTTAGTCTTAAATTTTGCTGTTTATGTAAACAGTACTTAATAAAAATCTCTACCACATATCGAAATGTCAGAGATTAAATCTGGTGGAAAAAATGGAAAACTGTAAAATTATCATCAAGTTTTCTGTCAGATTTTAAAAAACTCTGTGCCAGCTAAGTTTTTTAAAATCAAAAGTTTTGACATTAGCATATAAAATGAATCTAGTGTGAAAAAAGATTACATGAAATGCGTTTTCATGAATTCAAAGTCAACCACTGACGCAAAAGTCAGAATAAACTATGGAACTACTTAAGTAACAGACTGTGGAAATATTTTTATAATTAAGTAAAAAACCATGAGACTTTGTAAAGAACAAATTGTTCTTATTGTTGTTTTCCCCATTGTATGTATGTATTTTCTCTATAAATCCTTTTAGATGTCAAAAATTAAAAAGTAACTCGATTAAATTTTAATCATGTTATTTTCGTGACAATCTACTGGTTCTTTATTCTGTTCGTTTATCAGCTTGTGTATACACTCTCAACAATATAATAAGCTTTGAGACTATGTATCTTCATATATTTTTTACAAGAATTAAAAAATAAATCAGTTAAATTTTAATATACGAAATTTGTTTCGAAATAAATTGATTAAAACATGAGCCCTCAAAGTATTTGTACTTTTACAAAATCTAGCAATTAATCTAATGAGATAAAGTAATATCTATTATTTGCAGTCATTGCGCTTATATAAAGCTTGAAGTCGAAGACTTGACTTGCTAAAGATTTCACTACCAATTTTATATAAAATGTTAGCTTTATAAAACGAAATCTAATGTTAAATTTGATTTAAAAAATCTCAAATTTGAGGTAAATATGAAATTAGACTACAATGTAGCTAAAATTATGCGTATTATCAATTTTGGCCCTTTTTGCTTAAATTTGGCTAATTCTTTTTTTTTTAAATTTGGCAGCCCTGGTCACATCAACGAATAAAAAGTATTTGCTATCTTTATTTTTGTCATAGGCTCTTGGATAATAGGTAGACAAGACACTACTATTTTAGTATGTAATGTACTACCATATCCATAGGTAAGGTATCAGGTAGTATTTGACAAAAATGACAAAGAATTTAAAATTCTTTAATTTTAAAGTTTTTGTGTACTATAATATTTAAAATTTAACTACATCCAAGATTATAATTTTAAAATAACTGCATATTTTTCGGAAAAAAAACGATTCAGTTTTATTATTTAAATAAATATATCGCAAAATAAAGAAATTAAAAAAAATAAAATGGCGTCTGGAAAAGAAAATAGTGGCATGGTGAGGTTAAAAAAAATTAAAACTAAATAGTAAAAATTTGTTAAATTCTCTTTGAAATTTAAAAATTTAACTAAAACAATAAAAAAATTTTTTTAGGAAAGTGGTAAATTAGAAAAATGGCGTGAAGCTATGAGTCAAATGTCATTAAAAGACCTTCTGAAAATTAAATATTGCTATAACAAACATGAAAAATGGCAATTAATGTACTCGCCTTATGATGAAACAAAAAAGAAGTGGTTCTGCACAATTTGCAGAAAGGTGTTAATGGACAGTAACGCGGTTTTAGCTCATAATGGGCTTAATAAACATAAGAGCAGTCTTGAAACTAAAGTTTATGACATTTTTCACGACAATATTAATCCTTTTAAATCTAAGAAAGAGGAAAACCCAACCGAAAACGCTGAAGCTCCTGAGGAAGTGGTAATAAAAATATTAAAAACTAATTCAAAAATATATTGAATTTAATTTTGTAGTTCCATTTCATAAAAAAAAATGTATTTTCTAAAAGATTTGTTTTTAAAATAAAATAACATGAAAAATTAAAGTATATAGGTAGGTACCTTGATACAGTTATAAAAAAAAAAATTAAACACATAATTTATTTACTTACATATATGTAAACATTTTGCTTACATTCAACGATTGTTTGTGACTTTTAACTTATATAGTAGTTATAATTATTTATATATAATTTACTTATACATATATTCATGTTAAATATATTTAATTAACATATAATATCATAATTTTACTAGGTACCTCCTATAATTTTTATCAAACAATGTTAAAATTTCAACTAATAATCGAAATTACGAACTTATACCAATATTTTGAAAATCTGTGATTATCAAGATAAGGGTAGACATCATTTTTTAAAAAAAATTTATTCATTTTAACTAAGATGAATCGAAAGCAATCAAATCATTCGCGCTTTGTTATAATGGTTATAATATAAACATGCTCTCTAAATAATTATATGTTTGTGTTCTTTGCAGGATTTTAAAGCTCAATTACTTGCAATGTCGTTGGAGGAAATTTTAGAAGTTCGTTATAAAATTAATGAACTCTGGAAAAAATTGATTATTCCTTTGCAAAAAGGGTATAACTGCACGATATGCAAATCAAATTTGTTAACAAATATACAAGGGATTCGAAATCATATGTCTAACCGTCAACATAAATCTAATATGGAATTGATAGCAGGAATACATCATCCAAAAATTTTTCCCACAAAAGATCCAAGTAATTTAATTTTGATATTTATTGCGTTAGGAAGATTAACATACTTTTTGAAGGTTTACAGGATGGTGAGATATTAACAAACAAACAACAAAGAGAAATTCCTAAGGATATTTCAAAAGAAATTGTAATAGATGATGTACAAGATTTAAAATCTATTAAGGATACAAATTTACCAAAAGCTGTTCCGATTCAAGTATCGATCAAAAGCATTGAAAAAAAACCAAATGAAATTACAAATCAAAATTTACATAAGAATGAGAAATTAGATCAATGTTCCACATCCGATGAGAAAACGCAAATGTCAGAGTTAGAAACAATAAGTCAATCGAAAGAGAGTCAACCACAAACTCAACTAACAAAAGTATGTATTATGGTTAAAATATAGTCGAAATGCCAAAAAGTAAATTAATTGATTTTCAGAATACTATCAATGAATTTTTATCTGAAATGACATCTATGAGGAAGGAAGATCTCATAAAAGTAGAATACAAAGGTAATGATAGGAAATGGAAACACATTATAACATATGATGGAATACATTATTCTTGTGGAATTTGCAATCTTAGACACTTGAAAGACATTCCATTAAGTGATCATATAAAAGGCAGAAAACATAAAGAAAAGGCCCTTATAAGTGTTGTCAGATTTTTTCATCCTGTATTTACAGAACCAAAAGACTTGAATAAAAAGTCCCAAGATGCAACATTTGCTCAGTCTGAAAATAAAGCTTTACCAAAAAATAAAATTTCAAATGAAAATTTAGTTCAAATTCCTACCAGCAAGCCTTCACCTCAAACCAATACACAAAAAGAGTCAGAAGTTATTATTTTAAACAATGAAACTGAGGTATTTACCGTTGAAGATTCTCCAGAAAAAGAATTAGTGCCTCCGGGGACAGAAATCACCTCAAAGAATATTGTAGTTAATCCAGTAGCAATCTCCGCTGCAAGGAAGAGTAATGAAATAAATGATACACAAAAAGATTCTTTAATTAACAAAACTAAACAAAAAACAGATACCACAGGCAAAAATATTACAGGAAACATTAATTTAAATGTAGAAAATAACAAACAAAGTTTTGAAAAAAAAGAATTTTCAGCGAAAAAGAATGATGATGTAGAAGGGTTTGTTGGCGTCGAATATGTTATAAAAGTGATAAAACATGCAACTGACAATGATCCCCGGTTTGAATGTTGCCTATGCGAAACTGAATTGAACAGTGGTGCAATGCAGCATCATTTAAAAGGACTTATTCATCGGACTAAATACTTGGTAAGTATACATATATACATAATTTGAGTATTTTATGATTTATGAAAATCAGTTAATAACAGTAAGTACGTGCTTAAATTAATAATTATAATATTTATCAAGGAACGTCATTTTCCAACCTGCATGAAGCAGTTTAAAGAATATAAGGAAAACTCAGCTGCAATGTATCAAATAATTGAAAGAATTTGTAAAGCTATTGAAAAATATCATGGTCGTGATTTGCCATTAGAATGTGTTCAAAACGATTTTAGGGCGAATCGCTGTGAATACATGGAGAAAGTTTTTTCTTTTAGACATGCTTCTGAAATGTCTGGTCCATCATTTACCAATATTGTTGACAAAAAGGAATTGCAAAATATTATCAATAACAGTAAGCATTAACCTAAGTAATATTATTTTTTTTTCAATTGATTATTCCATTAATGGAAATACATTTTTAAAAATTGTGTTGGTATGTCTATTTTCATAAAGATTATTTGAATACCAAAATGGTAGTATTTTAATTTTTACGTTTTTATAGTTGAATATTAGTTTTTTGCTTTTATTACCTTTCCTCATAAAATTAATTTAAAAATTAATTTTAAATTTAAAAATTTTTAATGGTTTTTTTTCTGTTCCAGAAACTTTTAAAATACCTGAGAAAAAGGACGAGAAAATAACTTTCACGGTGCGTGATAATGAAAGCAAAGCAAATTATCCTTTTACTACAGAATCAGATAATAGGCCAACTGCGAAGGTATCTAACATTCCAACCACCCGATTGTCGAAAAATCCGTCACGAAATTTTCCAACCCATCCTAATATAATTCATCAGCATCATCACACACCTTATAGACCGATTTTTGATCCCTCAATTCCAAATAACATCTTGCCATTTGAAACAATGGGTTCAGGGTATCAAAATACATATACTCCTACATTTTACCCTGAAGTTCAACTAAGACCAAATATACAATATCAACCAGTTGTCGATCAATCTTTGGATGATGAAGAGCATAGACGGCTTGCCGAAAATTTTATCAAAAATACAAAAATGAATGATAAATCTGACAGGTACAGGCAAAAATCTCGTTCACCTAGAAGATATAAAAAACAAAGATCTAGATCAGGATCTAGATCAAGGTATAGACGTGAAACTCGAAGTTTATCTAGATCACCACTTCGAGAAGGTGATGTTTGGCAGGCGTATAGGTAAATAGGTTAAAATATTTTATTTAAAGATATTATTTTATTCAATATTTAACTGTGGAAGGTTTACAAGTTTTATTATGAAATCACTAATTGGAAAACCTATTGAATTTTAAAATTTTTTAGGCGCAAATATGATATGGATGTTAAAATTATTGACATGGATTTTAAACATTACCAAAAGGTACTTCTGACAATTTTTCTTTTGTGTAAATAATTCATGTATATAATATTAACAATTTTTTATTTTAGGATCCACAATCATATCCTCTATACAATGATGAATGGCAGTCGTTTTGGGCGAACCGCGTTAATGAGTTGAAACAAGGTAAATGCTTATTATAGAAAAATCAATTCTTGCATTTGTAATATTAAAAATATTCATATTCATATATATATATATATATACATATACATATTCAAATGAAATTATAAGTTTAAAAATTTCGATTAATCCGTTAAAGTTCAAAAAGGAGTCCATTACTAAACAGTATATGGTATTTTTTTTATATATAGTTTTAACGCAGGTTTGATTTTTTTAGCAGTCATAATTTTGTATAATTATGTTTTGTAAAGAATGAAGTTTTCTTTATATACAAATATTCATTCTTAATGATATTAAACAAAATTAAAACAAAAAAAAATTTAACAAAAGTCTAGGCGATGAAAAGGTTTTATTTCCCTTTTGTATGGCAAGTAAAAAAGGACAAATTAGGAAAAACTAATTATACAATTTTTATGTATAAAAGAAGTTTTGTAGCAATTTTTTTTTTATTTTCTAATTAATACTGCAACTAAGTCAGAGTTATCTACCTAGCAATTTTTTTAACTTTTGTGATGGTGCGTACGCATTCTGTGATGTTTACCGGTTAGTAGATGCTAATCTATTTCTTCTTTGCTAAATCAGTAAATCGTGTGGTTTTTTTCTTTCCACTTTTCTGGCAGGTCAATGTCCTGAAAAATTCTTTTCATGTTTATGTTTTCGTGTAATAGTAACCTGTCATAGAGCTTGCGAGCAAATCTTCTAGCCTCTTCTACAACTGAGAGGACTCTCAAATCTCGGTTTATAACCTTGTTGTTGACGTAGTATGGGGCACCTAGTATAGATGATGTGTAGAATGATGTGTAGGTTGATTTTAAAGACTCACCCTTCAAAGTTATATTCTGTATATCTTTACATTCTAAAAGGGCTTATAACTTGGTTAAATATTACAATTTTGTTAAGCTCAAATTTGAATTTTTATCAATAAGCCAATTCAGTTTTCAAAATTTATGATTATGATAAGGGATCACCCTTTTGATTTTTACATGAGTTTTCCATCTGAGCCTTATATCTACGTTCATACCAAGTTATTTTGTGTTTTTTCAGACTTTCATTACCATTAATTTGAACAGGCATCGGGTTAAATCTGGAGTTTGTAAAGTACACTTGGACTGATTTCGCTTCATTTAATTGTATTTTCCACTTTTTTACCCACAAGCTGATTTCACAAGTGATTTCTGGAGTTTGGAGGCACATTCTTCAGCAGAGTTTCTTGTCACCATAACTACGGTGTCGCCTGCGAAAGTGGCTATAAATACTTCGCTTTTTAAAGGAATATCCTTAGTGTACAGAAGATACAGTACAGCTCTTAAGACACTTCCTTGCGGAACACCTGTCCTAATTTGTTTTAGTTTTGGGTATTCTCCATTTTGTTTAACTCTGAAGCATCTCTCAGTGAGATAAGAATTAAGTAGCTTACAAAACAGCTCTGGCGAATGCACTTATAAGTTTTTCTTCGAGCGATCTCTCTATAACGTCAATAATTCGATGCACCTAATCGATTGTAATTACTGGCGAATGATCAGAATTTAGATCATATTTGCCTTCAATGCTTATGTAATTTTCTGATATTCCTTTAGCTATGAAGGTATCTACGATGTCAGGCTGTTTTTTGGGGTCGGAGGGCCAATATGTTGGACTTCCAGAAGACAGCTTTTATTTAAATGGTGATTTTTTTTTTTTGTAATTCCAGTTTGAACTTTCAATTTCAAATCCGTTGTAAGTGTGAAGAATTATTTGTATTTGTAACTCAAGTTTACAATTTATTTGTAGGTATAATTAGAAATTTTTACAATGACACAAGCGCAATATTTCTTCAATTTTAGTTTTTAAGGAATTAATTTTTTACCGACCGCATTGTGTGTGCACGCGTTTGTCTCAAGTTCGGCTGAACCGATTTTGATTAAATTTTATATGTGAGGTTATTTTGGTACGAATTGATCATCTTTCGATTATATCAGACCTCTAGAGCTCGATCTTTTTGCGGGTCGATTTTATATTTTTGCGTATACAAAGAGAAATCAATTAATTTACATTTTTTACCATATGAATAATGGATTGATGGAATTTCTTGAAATTTCATATTTAAGTTTTGGTTGTTACCGAAACAAACTGGCAAGCTTTTCAGAGAGTTCGGGTAATACAAAGCGAAATTCTACTAAGAGCTAAATTTATATTTTTCTAGATTTGTTAACTAAAAGCTTGCTAGCTTCCTGGAAATTAAAAGGAACTGTTCAAAAGCATTTTCATAGTCTTCTGTAAAACTTTCACTAAACTAGGTTGTGAATACACGTTGTGGTCGATTATGTGCTAACTGCATCAAATTTTTTTCACTTATGTCGTTATTTCTCCACATTAGCGAATTATTTATTTGTATTTTATTAGAAAGAAGTGCACAAAAATTCAATTTTAATAAAACAATAGAACTTTCGAATATACTCTAAAAGATAAAGAGAGAAATAATGTGAAATAAAGGGTTAAACATTCAAAATACATACGTAAAAGTGTAAAAGAGTTAAGCAAGAAGAGAGTTCTAAATTTCTATTGAAAAAAAAATTTGATCGTAATATACTTTATATGAATAAGCCTTGAATTGCCTTGCCGCAACCGCACCGAGTTCGAATTTCCCCAATTTCGTCCGTTGTCAGAACTAAGAAAAATGATTTTCAAAATTATTGAAATTTTGTTGATCATAGTTTTTGTTAATCATAAATTTATAACAAAAATGGATACTTTTATGACGCGCGCTTCAATATCAGGTTTCCGGTGTTGTAAAACGGAACTTTAGTTGGTTGGTTGATGTGGTCTATACGACAGATCTGCCATACCTCAATTAACACAAAGCATGTCCTTTTGCTACCCACACTTCATTAAAGGTCCGATTATACGTGGTCTATATAAGTCACCCGGTTTGATAGAAATTTGTTGTGTTTGAATTATATCAAATTATATCAATCCTTCCCTTTTTAAGATCGTATTTTCTTTGCTGTTCTGTAGCAAAGAAAATAGGAGTTTTACATCTGTGCTAAGCCCACAGTTGATAATTCCTATATATATATATATATATATATACGTTCCTGTGTCATTCCCAGTTTTATTTTAGTGTCCCAAGACTCACAAAAGTGTGGCATTACGAGCATTGGTCCGAGTTAAATTTTGTGGATATTTTGGACGACTTTAGGGTCCGCCGGTTTGTTTGATAAAACAATTTAAATATAATCTTTTTTTAAGTTGTTGTATATCTGCTTGCAAATATACATATGTATATTTAAATGTGTTTGTTACATTAGCAGCAAAAGGCGATCGTGAATTCAATCGCGTTTTAAAAATTAAATAAAAGTCTTTAATGATTTTTTGTTGAATGAAATGTAATTGAAATGTAAAAATGATGTATAAATGTCATTTTTGTCGATTGAATTATTAAAAATGTATTTGTTGATATATTTGAACTGAAATTTGGAACACATTTGAGTTACCACATAGGAAAAAAACTGTTCTATTAAAAATTAGCGAAATACTGGTTTGATAAGTCTTGAATTGAAGGATTAATTCGGGTCAATTCGACGGTCTGATAATTTTGTTTTTAGAAAATTTAATTGCTGACTATTTTCACAATTTGGAAGGGTTATAACTTAGACGGGAAATTGAAATTTCATTTTGGATAAGTAATTCAAAAACTATGATCCTAGAGTAAAATTTCGTCTATTTATCTTGAATGCTGTATGACTTTTTCAAGACGACAGAAAAACAGAACAAAACTGATTGGCATATTTTTCCTATATTTTTAGAAGAGTATGAAATCATATATGGTTTTAAAGTTGATAGACTTTTTTATACCCTGCACTTCGTGAAGGGTATATTAACTTTGGTATGGAGTTTGTAACTACTTGAAGGAGTCACCTGCGGTATGGACATATATATATATTCTTGCTCAGCGTAAAATTCTGCGTCGATTTAGACATGTCCGTCCGTCCGTCCGTCCGATCGCATGATAACTCAAAAACGAATAATGCAATCGACACCAAACTTTCACAAGTTTTTTGTCAAGGACGAACCCTATTGTTATTGGACTAAGTCGGACAACGGGTTCGGGTAGCTGCCATACAACTCCAAGAGTTTATTTTAAATATTTCAAAAACTAATAAAGCTATAAATATAAAATTTTGTATACGCGTGTCCAATTATATTCTACACGTGCTTTAAAAATTATAATGGGATAGCTGCACCGGTTCGGGTGGCTGCCATACAACTCCAACGGCAAATTTTTTATTTTCGGCAAAATAATAAAGTCAGATTCATGAAACTTGGCAGTCATGTGTCCAATTACGGGTCAAATATATTTCTGAAGTTTTGATGGAATTGCTTGACAGGTTCAAGTAGCTCCCATACAAGTCTAAAAGCTTATTTTAAATATTTGGAAAAATAATAAAGTCAAATTCATGAGACTTGGCAGTCGTGTGTCCAATTATAGGTCACACATATTTCTAAAGTTTTGGTGGGATTGCTTGACAGGTTCGAGTAGCTCCCATACAAGTCTAAAAGCTTATTCTTAATATTTGGAAAAATAATAAAGTCAGATTCATGAAACTTGGCAGTTGTGTGTCCGATTATAGGTCAGATATATTTGTGAAGTTTTGATGGAATTGCTTGACAGGTTCGAGTAGCTCCCATACAAGTCTAAAAGCTTATTTTAAATATTTGGAAAAATAATAAAGTCAAATTCATGAGACTTGGCAGTCGTGTGTCCAATTATAGGTCAAACATATTTCTAAAGTTTTGGTGGGATTGCTTGACAGGTTCGAGTAGCTCCCATACAAGTCTAAAAGCTTATTCTTAATATTTGGAAAAATAATAAAGTCAAATTCATGAAACTTGGCAGTTGTGTGTCCGATTATAGATCAGATATATTTGTGAAGTTTTGATGGAATTGCTTGACAGGTTCGAGTAGCCCCCATACAAGTCTAAAAGCTTACTTTAAATATTTGGAAAAATAATAAAGTCAGATTCATGAAACTTGGCAGTCGGATGTCCAATTATAGGTCAGACATGTCCGTGAAGTTTCTATAGAATGATTTCACAGGGTATACAATAACGAAAGGTGCAGGGTATAATTCAATCGGTTTATACCGATTGAAACGTTTTTACTTGTTATTTATTAAAACAATACACGCATTTTAAAATATTAATTCGCTATCTAATTCGAAGTTGAACCCTTTTATAATTTCATGTTGTTTTGGAGACTTTTTAATATTAGTTCTTTCAATCCCCTTCATACCTCTCTTTTCCAATAAACTTTTTACCACACCAAAATCATGAAAGCTCTCGTATTCGTGGTCGCTTTGGTCATAGCAGTATGGAGACAAATCAGCAGGCATCTGATTTGACAAATTAGTGTCGCATGTTAAAGTTTTATGGTCCACACTTAACCTTTAAAGATTAATTGAAGAATACATTAAAACAAATAACTCCCTTCCTTGTGTTGACGAAAATTTCATAAATTGTTTTTTAACATTGCGTTGTTGTATGAGTAGTTTTTTTTGTAGATTTTTCAAGGGAACCGAGTGGGGCAGGAGTATCTCCCGGGCCACCGCAACCATTCGTGACTTATTGTAGCCTCCCCACATCCCTCCTATAATATCCCCGTTCAAAGTAAAAAATCGGAGACATCCTTAAGGGAGTTCAACAGAAGCTTCCGAACAATTAAGAAACCCTATCCAAAACGATTGCGCCCCCGGACAGCCAGTACCGGGCAGTCGCAAAGGATGTGCACGGCAGTTTCATCACTGCCCCCGCAAAATCTGCACTGGACAGAGTCCGATTTCCCCAGTCTATGTAGGTGATATCTAACCGAGCAATGGCCTCTGAAAAAATTCTCAATAGCGCGAAGCTGGCTCATGCTCATCCCCTGCAGCTTCGTGGCAAACTTCGCCGAGCATTTCAAACGGTTCAGCAGACGGTTGAGCCCGACTCAAGTCCCGGACCGCCTCGTCTCCACGTCCATCTATCGGGAAGCTGAACCCTGTACCTGTATTCGAAAGTGCATCGTGGCAGACAAGAATCCGAAATGGTTATTCTCAGAATCTGTATGAGAGAAAAGATCAAATAATGATGTATTCACCACTCTTAACCATTTTAGAATAAACATTTTGAATAAGGACTGTAATTTTAAATTTTTATTTTTAAGGTCCTTCGCGAATTTCAAAGGCAAGTTCTTCGACGTTGTTTATAAAATTTATTGAGTTTTCAAAAAAAAAAGTATATATATATACTTTAATTGCCTAAAACGCTTGTCTACAAAACTAGAGTACAAGGTTTACTTTGGGTGCAATAAATACCACCTATACAATTTATACAAACATACCTATACAAATTTAACTAGATTTAGTGTATAGCTTTCCACGAGACGTTTAATCACTTCTTTGAAAGTAAAAATTATTATCTATTCTTTTAGAGGCATAGCTTGAAATGACGGGATATTATTCAAAAGTATTGACGATGGAAAATTATAAAATTTCGGAATGATGTGGTAGCATTTTTGTAGCATATGGTAGCGTTGCGTCCAAGAGTATATGGATGAATAATTTTATAAACTTTTAGATAAACGAAATCGCTTTATGAAAGCTTTGATTTTTTGTTTAAACAAAAATCAAGTAAAGTTTCTTTTTCGGAAGATTTTTCAAAGAAAGTTTAGTTAGTATTTCTAATAAAAAATATGCTTTAATATTTTATTTTGTTTATTCTACCTAAAATTTGAATTAAATGAAATATAACATTAAGTTAAATGAAATAAAATTAACTATCAAAACTATTACATATTATATATATATATATATTATTTAAATCATCAGCGGGAAGAGATTACCAGAATTATGATTTCACTTACGAATGGTCATTATATTTTCCAAAACGTCTTGATGAACTTTACGAAAAGGAAACTGAAGCATTAAAAGTTAGATTGCGCGAAAGATTTGTTTTACCAATGCATAATCATGAATTAAGAGATCCGAAATATCATATAAAACATGTGATAGAAGCTGAAGTTAGACCTCCTGTTCATCCGGAAATTTCAATAATCAAAAATGATTCGAAAGTTGAAGGTGATTCTCCTTCAATCAAAAACAGTAGAACTCAAGCACCAACAAGACATATGTCACCGATAAATATATCAAAAAGGAAAAATAACTCTAGTGATATGCTCTCTGTCGAATATGAAAATGTCGACTCAAATAAAGAGGATACATTTGAGACTACGTATGCTAAAAAAAGGAAAAGAGTAACTGATTCGAAATCACCATCACCACCAGAGGTGGCAGATGATTTAGAGGGAGATTTAGAAAAGGATTCTATAACTGCTATGAGTGTTTTAAGGGTTTTAACAGCTTTAGAAGATAATTTGGGAAGTAGTCTTGGACCGAAAATTATTGATCTTATGTCTAAAGCTCTTGTTTTAGAAAAGGTAAATTATTTTATCACTAGTTTTTAGGATAAGTTAATTACGATAAGGTATTTTTAATTTGCACTTTAATACAATATTATAGTAGCAACTACATGAACTATTCAAGTTCAAGTCTTAAACTAATAAAATTTTAATTTTTATTTTTATGTATTAAAGATAAACTTTTTGTGTTAAAACTGTATAATATTTATTCGTAAGAAATAATTTAAGAAGAATTGAAAACAAATTTATGAACATGAATTTTTTGTACATTTGTCGTAAAATTTAAAAATATATTTTTCTAAAATTACAATATTAAAGTTCTTTTTTTTTTATAAATGTATAAGCTTGTTATCAATGAAAATGTAGAAATTTAAAAATTTGAGCTACTTATTATTATTTTAATATTAAAATATGTAATATGCCTAATCTAAGAATCAAGAATTAATTCTAAAAGATAATTGTTCATTTTAATCATTTGATTAATTTTTTAATATACAAGTATTCCAGAAATTAATCAAATTTTCAAGCCAATTATTCTCATCTTAAGAATATCTTAAGAATAAATTAAAATCATAGGTCACAGTTTTAAGTTAAAATTTATTTTCATTTGATATTTTTTTTTACTTACGCATTCTTTGGGATATCATTTCCTTTTAGTATGTTATTGGTGCTGAAAATGCATACAAATTAAAGAAAACGTAAGATAAATAAAAATAAATTTAAAACCAAAACCATATATGTATGTATAAATGTATTATAAGATTTCAATTTATATTCACGTACTTAATAAAATTTTGGTTTTCTTCTGTTATTATTCTAATTAGAAGAATCTGCAATTATTATTAATTACTTGTTTACGTGGGACTTACGATAATTAATCGTATATATGTATGATTGATTTGTATATATGTATGAAGTAGTTATGTATGTAAACGAAGAATGTTTAAGTTTTTTAATTACAATTTGCTTATTAGATAAAAATAAATTATTACATAAAAAATATGTTAATAAATAGTTGTTTTAAAAAAAGGGTTATAATAATATCACCTTTTACATATTTTTCTTGGATATTATAATACATAATATTATAATATTATATTTTTCTTATGTATTATAATATTATGTATTGTAATATGTAAAAGGAAAAATATGTAAAAGGAGACTGTAGATTTTGTAAGTTTATTAAAAATTGTTAAATATAATTTAAGATTAAGTTTTAAATATAAAATAATACATAAATTTTTGTAAAAAAGTATGGTATTAGTATGGGTAAAGAATATTAATATAAGAACTAATAAAAAAATGTACATAATCGTATTAAAAATAAGCGCGAATGCGAGCTGTAATTATATTTTACTATGGCTTTCATTCTTATTTGTGAGTAGAAACGAAAAAGAAAAAAATTATGTAAAGAAATGAAAACTTTTCGAAGGAAATTTTATGTTTTCTATTTTAAAACAAATAGAAAGTACATACATACATAATATACATATGTATGTTTTAATTCAAGTTTCGTAAAAGTATAATATAAATACATTTTTACAATATTTGGTAATGTTGCGGAAAATTTTGTGGCAATTATATTTCTTTTATCTTAGTATTTATGGAAATATGTACGTCCTTATGTGCATAACAATATCAAAAAAAAAAAAACCGGAAAAAAAATTGGAAAATGAAAGGAGCAAAACATTTTTAAATTTACGAAATTCGGAAATAAATAAGAAGGCAGCTTAAAATTTAAACAAAATTTTTCAAAATTTTGTTATCTTGTGTCTTTTGAAATGTTGCCATTACAACTAATCATGGTATATTATGGTCGTATTTCTAACTTTTTTTATGCATGGAATTTAAAATAATTTAATAGGTAAGTATAAACTTGAAATTATTATTTTTATGCAAAATAATATGGATGAATTTAATATGCACTTCCTCTTACTTTTGGATGAGAAAATAAAAAAAAAACTTAAATTATGCGTAAAAATTTTTGGAATCATCAGTGCTCACATATTTTGAAAAACTTGAATATGAAGAAGAATAGTGTTTGTTTAAAGAAAAAAAAATTTATAACGCTGTTTTATAAGAATTAGAAAATATTTTTATAACACTAATTAATTACATAGAAAGTAATGGATATCATATAAATTACAAATTATGTATAGTGAGGAATAATTTGGATTTTTAGATTTCAAATGGGGATAAAGTTTTTTTGAAAAAGTTTTTATCTTGCTGGTTATTATAGTGTTGTTATATTATTTAAATTTAATTGACGAAATTAAAAGGTGTACCGTAATTGCAAGGACAAACAGTAGTTGAAGGCGAATAAAGAAGCAATATTATGATGTTTCAATTTACCAACATCAAGGAAACGAAAATTATAAAATACGTACACTTTATTAAAGGAGAAGTGTGAAATCACAAAAATTTGTTCTTATATAATATATGCACATATTTTTTAAATAATTTTAATGTATAATTATATAAATTTTTAATATTTTATTACAAAATTATTAAATTTTTTTTTAATTGTATCGTAATTTATTGATATTTGAATCTAACATCAATATTTATTTAAAATATTATTAAAAATGTATAGAAAAAGTAATTATGTAATATATAATTTACAAAAATTTGATAAAATAAAGTGTTAAAACTTCAAACGAAAATTATAACTGAAAAAGTAATTGTTTGGTTAGTGTAGATTACAATTTATTGGATCTATTTTTTTGTAAATTATAACTATTTAAGTTTTGTGTTCGTTATTCTCTTAGTTTTATATATTTACGATATAATAGATACTGTTACGCATTTGTATAAGTTTAATGTTAAGTATTTATTTAAATTTACTAAATAACAAATAAATAAAGCAAAAAATTAAAAATTGTTACCGAAACCTTTTTCGTAATATTCTTTTTATCGTATTTCATGCCATCAAATTAAACTTCAATCTTTTAATTTCAACGGATTCTAAATAACTCTTCCATTTACTATTTGTTTATGATATAGATAAATATTTTATTAAAGTTAAAAAGTATATTTATATTAAATGCATTATTATTGTAAAAGAGATTTAAATTCATGTATATTATAAATTAATATTGAAACAAAAATATCACATTCAACTTTTTTAAAAGAAATATAGATAAACGTTCTTTGTTTACAAACTAAGTATGTAATTAAAATATTGTGATTATGTAATCTACTAATATATTCGGGAATATATTAGTAACCAATTTGACTTGGCTACCAATTTGACTTGTATACAACTTAACACATTTTAATTTATTTGTTAAAAGCTAGACAGCATTAGAGCAACCTTTGAAAACACAATTCGGGACTGTAATTGTCAATTTTATTTTTTGCAGAACAATAAAATTTTTAATGAAATTTATATGACTCTACTACCAGAAAACGGATAAAATTTATAAAAACAAGGAGAGCCAAATGTTTTCTTTAAATTTTATTATTTGAATTTATTTCAACAAATTTAGTATATGTATGTACTTTAAATGTTCGTAGCAGACGTAGAAATTAAAACCTTTATAATACTATATAATCTTTTCAAGAAGACGAATTTAATATATAAAATTCATTTTTTTTCGCTCATTTTCAAAAAAGTTTAATTTGATTGTGTGAAAAAATACTAAAAAGGTTAAATAAATATTAAAAAATTATGTGAGTTAAATATCCATTATATTAAGAATTTTATTATTTATTAAACAAATTTTATTTCGTAGAAATTATTTCAATATTTCAATAAACCGATTATTTGCTCTACAAAAATATATATTATGATTAAATCATATTAAATTTAATTAGATTTTTTAAAGAAAATAGTAGAAATACATATTAACTTTTACATTTTGCTTACATGTCCATATTTTTACATAACTAGAGTTGATATAGTTAATAGAACAATTCATGTACAATTAAAAGGTTTCATAGAACTTTTATAACGATTTGAAACTAATATAATTCTATTTTAAAATTTCATACACATTTTTCATAAAGAACGGCAACAACTGAAATTTTTTTGAAAGTAATGGGCAGATAAGAAATTTCAATGATTTTTCTTTATAAAAATTTCCTTTTTTTTTTTTTAGAAGTCAAAGGTACACTTCAGTCTTTTGTATGTTTTGAAAAGCAAAATAATCCTTCAAGTAAATATTTTAGTAGTTAAGAAAATAAAAGTTATTATAGTTTGAAATATTGTTTTAATTACTACTTTTCCTTTAAATATAACAATTTAAAAGAAAACGATCAATTATAATTAATTTTCAAACAAATCTATTTTTTTTTTTTGTTTAGACAAAACCAAATGCTGTTGATGAGAATTTATTAACAACTGACAATTGTCTTTTATTGGAAACATGTCGAGAGAAATTGAAGGGTCAAATCGTGGCTGGCCTTTACAAAAGTCAGCAATTGCGTGCAGTCAAAAGTGTCATTAAAAACATAACAACTTTAGCAGAAAAAGCTAGTGTGTTTAGAGCTAAAAATCCCGAAAAATCATCTGATGTTCAAGCTATTCTTAAGAAAGCTACAGCTTCTGTTGCTCCCCCGAAGTTTTCGTCAGCACCACGACCTCCTGCAAAAGCTATTACATCAAAAGTATCATCGCACTCAGTGCCAAATTCAAGAGCATCAAATCAATCAACAAACTCGGGGTCTGACAACATAACGTCTTCGGTATCATCTAATTCTGGTTCTAACAGCGCAAACTCTAAACAACTGAATATACCAATGATGTCAATGGGTCAAAAGAAGGAATTAGCTAAGAAATTAGCACAAGCTTTAGGTAAAAAACTCATATATATATATGTATGATTTGGAAATATTTTAACACACTTTTTTAAATTTATTTGAAGCTGCTCAAGGTAAAACTGATATTTCAACCGAAAGTTGTGAACAATTGATAGAAGTTTATACATTAATAGATAAAAAGCAACGGGAAAACGGGAAGCTCAACAGCCAGGAAAAAAGTTTGTCGGAGTGTTTACAAGATTGTGTAAAAAGTGGAAGCCTAACAACTTTAACAAGCATAATTCAAGACAAGAATAAAGCCGCTATGGAAGAATCATCCCAGCAACCTCATCAAGAGCAACAACAACAGCATTCTCAGTTTGGTGATATGACATCTCAAGTACAAAGTATATTGATGGCCATTAATCAGAATCGATTTCCGCAGCAACAATCGAGGAGTAATTTTGGGAATTTTTCACATCTTGCAAATTTTGATACTTCATTAAATTTTAACCCAGTTTTGCAATTACCTAGACCTTCATACAGAGGAACAAGCAGTGGTAGTAATTTGACAAGTAATAGCGGATCTCAAAACTGGGTTCAGGGTAGTATTTTAACCGGTGGAAATTATAATAATATAGGAACTTCATCAAATCCGTCACCAAATCTATCGTCATTTGGAAACTCATTTAGTGCTTCAAATAATGAAACCAACAACCAAACGAATCGCAATCTGTTGAATAACGATTTAAATTCAAATAATCCTTTTATGAGAAATATGTCAAGTGGTGGAAGTTGGCAGCGTTCTAATTTGCCTCCACAACAACAAAACAATTTCCAAAATTCTTATGGTGCCGGTTCCTTGTACGAGCGCTATAATAGAAGATAAACCAATTTAAAAAATTGTAATTCATTTCACAAAATTATTGTGATTTTTTTCAAAACAAAACAAAAGGGATATTCTATATTCTACATTGAATTCATATACATGTAAATTTTACTGAAATAAAAAAACGAATGTAAAAATCAAATAATAAAGAAACGTTTAAATTATCAATAATTTTTTAATTGAATATTATAATACATTAAAAATACATTATGTATTTTACAAAAAAAAAATAAAAAAACGTCTACATATGTATGTTTTCAAAAATATAAAATAAGCAATGTTTATATTTTTTTCATCTAATATACCTTAACTGTAAGAATTTCATTATTCAAACTACCCTCCCCAAGTATGGATATTTAAACTGGATTTCCGACATTGCATTTTTTACAATGCGACTCATTTTAGATTATTACAATTAATCTGATTTCAATAATGAAATAAGTAACTCATCTTCTGAAGTGGAATCTATTGTTATAGGAATTACAGTATTATCGTTAATACTAACGCAGGTTGAGTTATTTGTATTCGCCGTGTTAGATAGAGTTTTTATTGCGACAGTAGAAGTTGATGGTGTAGATCCAGAAGTGTATAACATTGTTGTGGAAGTCGGAGAGGGTGTAATTGAACATCATTTATCCCAAAGTCCCAACTCTTTCATTTTGGTTTGGAAATAACGTTCTAAAGAATTTGCACATCTGTTTTTGTAAGAATTTACATTAGGAGATTAATATGAAATTTTAGAAATCCTTTATACCTGTAGTATTCTGTATCTGGTGAGTTATATAATCTACAATTTGAAAATATTCTTGCCATATCAGCCATAAAAAGTCGTCTGGTTACGTAATATCTGTAAAAAAGAATTAGTAATCAATGTTCTCAAAGAAGTTGCTCTTAAAATTAGGATATTTTTCAAAAGTAGCAAGAATCGTAAATTTTAAAATATGTTCAATACATAATTTAAAGTAAAATTTAAATTATGTTCTTAAAAGTACAGAACTTTTGAAGAATATTCCATTAAGACGTTGATAGTTTTATGTTATATATATAAAAAAAGATGAACGAATAAACGTAATATATGTATGCACTTAATTAAATTTTACCCTTTTTTTAAACGATCTGTCATTGTTTTTAAATCCATAGGATATTTAATATGATCCTAAAGTATACACAAAAATTAAATAGAAATTTTTAAATATATATTAATATTCATACATAATAATCAGGAACCTCTGCGGCATTTACTGGTTTCAAAAAAGGCCATGCTGAAGCGTGCTGTTTAACTGATTGTAATATAGTTGTAAATTGTGCAGCTAATTTATCTGGATCAGCAGATTCTTCAGGACGAGAAGTTCTATGGGCACGTGCTTGTGGTCTCCAACCAATCTCTCTTAGACCTGGAATAGATTCAACTGGTATCGATCTTACACCTTCCTTAAAGCATTGTAATCCCGGTCGTATTTTTTGAACTTCCTGCTGACGTTGCGCTATTAACTCCTTAACTATTTCACGTTGCTTTCTAATTACCGAAATAAATTGTGTATAAACTAAACTTGGATGCAGCTCGCAGTGCATTAGTGTTGCACCCTCGTATTCTTTTATGTAGCCTGCATATACCGGTCGCGCTAATTTTATGTCTTTTGAGAAACCTTGTTTTTTAAAATAACCAATAGCAAATTCGTCAGCAAATGCTAAGAAATGTCTAATTCCTCGTTGAATACTGTAGTCTTTAAGATGATTCATTAGATGTGTTCCATACCCTTTCACTTGCTCACTCATTGTTACTGCACAGAATACTATTTCAGTAAAACCTTGAGATGCAAATGTCCGAAAGCAAATGCCACCAATAGGGCGGTTGTGTTTGATCAGGGCTAAAGTTTTATGTTTGCTAAAATGAAAAAATATTTATCAGTAAAAAATATCATAATTTGATTTTTTTGTTATGCTTACGCATCAAAAACAAGCTGACTTATATATTCTCTTGGCATTTCTGGAAGTTGGTGTGCAAAAACACTATGCAATCCTAATAACCATAACATGGATTGTTTAGTCACCGGTTTGGACAATGAATTTCCTACAACATGAAATTCTATCGCCCGTTGATTTTCTTCAGCTTTTACAATTTCATCTCTTGAAACATTAACAGGAAACAAAATTTCAGTCTTAGCAGCTAATTTAGAATCGTTCATCGATTTCATAGCTTGAAGTACAACTTCATCATTGATATCTTCTGTTTCAATTTCCTTTCTTGCCCGTTTATATGAATCTGGATTTTTTTTGTTTGCACAACCTGTTCCCATTCCTCCAGCTGCAGCTACGGCTTCTTGCTGACGTTTTCTTTGTTGCATAATATAAGAAATAGGTGGACGATATGAAGTATCCCATATTGGAGAGTTATCTCGCAATACTTCATGCTTCAAGTTTTCTAAAAATTTCGGCATTTGTGTCAAAACCGCGCGCTTTTCTACAGGAAATCGATCTCTTTCAGAAACACACTTTTTTAATAACTGTTGGGCTATATATTGATATACAGTTTTCAATAGCGTTCTTCCAAACACAAGCGCAGTTTCAAAATGCCGTAACGTGTTACAAAACGCAGGCACATGGCAAAAAACTAACCATCTTGTGTAATTTATTTTATACGTTGAAGCATCTTCATTAGTTAAATCAGTGCAACGGGCGCTTGGTGGTTCAAAATTCCAATGATTCAAAAAACTTAAAAATGTTTTAGCGGCATCGGTCATTACTAGTAACTCAGTCTGACTTAAATGATTATATCTAAATAAAAATTCAATTTTATACATCAAGTTTTTACATTGAGAGTGAATTAAATTTACTTGTAAAACACAAAATTCGTAACAGCTTTCGCAATCGATGGCTGTTCAAATGGTGGGTCTCCTAAGGGTCCTCTAATAACTGCTTGTTGTCTTGATATGATGCATTGCCTTAATAACTAAAATAAAATTTAATATTAAATGCGTTAAAAATAGTTTTTGGCAAATTACCCGAAATAAATATAGATAAACTTTTTTTGTGTCTTCATCTTCCACTCGTTGCATACTCATAAATAAATTTTCTGCATCAATTATAGCCCCCATTAATTCATTAAGCTGATCGTTACTCAGATCATTCAAGTGAGAGATATGTGATTCTAGTTAAAAAAAAAAATTTAAAATTTATTTACTTCATATTTTTAAATGATTTTTAACTATAAACCAAAGTTTCCAAAGTCATTATGTAATTGTTTGACAAAACAAATGGAGTATGTGCTTTAAAGAAGTCACAGCATGCCATTACATTTTTAAACTTATGCATCAAGCTAACATTATAAGAACCTTGACCAATAAAATGCAGAGAGTAATATGTATACACAAATATATTATGCATATGTTTTAAATTAAATGATAGCATATAGATACAAAATTCACTCAAATAAATCAAGCTCAAACTATATTAAAGAATTTTAATTATAGCTCAAGATTAAATTATGATTAAATTATGTGTAGCATTCGTTATGTTTGACTAACATTTTTGAAAAAAATCTAATACCTATTTCGCTAATATTTTTGGAAATTTTTCCATCAACTTATCGACCAAAAACGGAATAAGTCCGTGATTCACCCTTCTTGCATTCTAATATTTAACAAGACAGTTCATCTTCACGATATATTTATTTGCAAAGGAGTCAAGAATATTAATATTAGTTCAATTTTAAATGGTAATAGGTGATAGTTCAAAAAATGGAAACAGAATATGTAATTCACACATGCAAACATATATACGTCATAAAATATAATTTACTTGAATATTTTAATTTTTTTTCAATTAGAGAAGGGCGCAAAATACCATGATCTGGAATATTTATCTTAATTCAACATACCCAAAGGATGTTTACACTGCAAATTTCGACATTCTTCTGTGAATTCTGGACAATATCCATTTTCTACATCGCGGTGCCTATTCTCTTGCGGAGTTTTCCATCCACTGCAACGACAGTTTTCAACCTGACATGCAGAATACATTGATAGTTTTGCCATACGCTGTATCTTTGGTAAGTTGAATACCTATTAGAGATAACTTTTACATATATATACTGAATTTTATATCATAAAAACATTAAAATACATACTTTTTGCTTTCTCTGCTGAATTCGTTGCAGGCTGCTTTGTCGTGTATGTTCTGGAGGATTTGCATTGCTTCCGCTACTTGCGGAATCAACATCATTTTCTTCTTTAGCCATAATTGAATTTCTAGAGTTCTCACTCATTTGATAAATCACTATTGTATATAGAAAAATTGTGTAAATGTTTTTATGCGTTTAGCTATTAACAATATGAAGCCAAAAGAAAATCAGCTGATCTATGACGACAGTAAGTGAGTAAGTTTATACTGAACTATGTATATTCAGTTCAGATCATTGTAAGATATTTCGGTTATTTTAAACAAAAACTACCAATATCTAGTAATCAGTGCGATATTCTATTTTAAAAATAGTTTTTCAGTATATTTATTTCAATGCAAAATAATGTTGAAATAGATCATTTTACCAGAAAAATGTTAAGAGATAAGTGAAGTTCACTTGGTTCTCAATGTTTAAAGTTTTTGCAAGTTTTATAAAGTAAAATTTAGTGTTTGAAAAAATTTTAAAATCTTCAAGCTGTCAAAACATATGTTCTTTTTTATGCAAATTGATAAATCCGCAAAGAAGGGGATCAATATGCCGGTGAATTGGAAATATAATTGTCAAGTAAATGTGGTGAGAAATTCGTTGATTCGCATCGGTATTTCAACATTATTGTCATACTTAACATTTTTATCATGTCAATGTCAAGATTGAAACTTATGAATAAATAGTAGGATGCGATTTACCTCAGTCCAAATATACGACTTAATCGAAAGCATTGTTTGTATATACGAACAAATCTAAGATTTAAGCTGAATCTGATCTGATGAAAATCGATTAATCACCAAATTTTATTATAGATTTACTCTTAGATTTTGCCGTAAATATAAACGCTAACTTTTGTTGAAAACACAACAAGTGCGATTTTCCGCGGCGACATGCCGCAATTCATATAAAATACACATATTTAAATTAGGCTGCTCAAAATCAAACGAAATTACGGCGCGAATTTTACCGTCGAGGCTGATATAACCTAAATTCCTGGCGTTTTGTTTTATTTTGACAATATTTTTTTTGCAGTTGATTTTGTCGTTTCGCTGTTGTTCTAAGTTAGCATTGAAAATTATCAGCCGTTGCCGTTTACCGCTTTTGTTATGTTTCTACAATTATTCTTCACTTCATTTTTAGATTGACAATCCGACTAAAAAGATAAGGTTTAGGCAGGGATTTGGTATTTCTAATTCGTTGGGTTGTGCTACATAGGTTTTTGTGCATTGGCTGACAGAAATTTTTGTTCTGTCAATATTAGTTAATATGGAAAATAGTTTTCAATCAGCTTACGTAGATATCAATGGAGTACCTACTAATATATTAACATGGGGCCGCTGGCTGGAAGAATCTTTAGGAGATGCTGAAGAAATTATTATTTGCATTACTGGCAATCCCGGGTTGCCAGGGTTTTATACAGAATTTGGACATACGATACATAAAAATCTTGGACTTAAAACTCCAGTATGGATAATTGGTAATAATTATTCTTGATTTCCAATAATTTTAACATTGAAAATATATAAAACAATATTCAAAACATGCAGGACATGCTGGTCATGATGAACCGTCAAAAAAAAGCTTAAAACAAGTCCCAACTTTAAAACATAATGAACATTTATACGATTTATCTGGACAGATAGAACACAAATTAAGTTTTATTCAAAAATATGTACCGGAAAATAAAAAAATTTACTTGGTTGGTCATTCAATTGGGGCATGGATGGTTTTAGAATTAATGAAACATGACTCTATTAAACCTCGTATTAAAAAATGTTTTTTGTTATTCCCAACAATCGAAAGAATGGCAGATTCATATAACGGCAAAATTTTTCAACTTTTTAGTTTCCTTTCACCACTGTACATATATTTGTTGCATTTTATCTATTATATGCCAATTTTTGTTAGACTATTTATAATCAAAATATACTTTTGGTTATTTTCCATTCCTAAAATTTTTCTAAAACCAGCCATTAAATATTCTAAACCAACATCAATGGAAAAAGTAATATTTTTGGCAAAGGATGAAATGAAAGTTGTTCGTGAATTTGATGAATTGCATATTAAACGAAATAAGAAGCTATTGAAATTTTATTACGGCGCGACAGATGGTTGGGTCCCCGTAAAATATTTTAATGAAATAAAGGAAAAAATCGATGACCTGGATGCACAATTATGTCAGAAAGGAATTTCGCACTCCTTCGTGTTACAACATTCAGAAATGATGGGCAATATCTTAGCAGAATGGATCATACAAGATAAAAACTGAAATTTTCAGTTTGTATTGAAATAAATACTTTATTAAATTCATTATTAAATCAATTATTAATAGGAACAAGAAACATAAGATTGGGGATTGGGTCAAATGTAAAAATTTAATAAAAATCGTTTAATTCAATGTGAAATGGCGGTTTTTATTTTTTTTTAATGTTAAAAAATGTAAAATAACTACATAAGTATGTACATACGAATTTATCTTCATGTCAATTTGTTCCCATTGTTTCATAATAATTCAGTACAACTTCGGGAATTCTTTCCAGTAATTTTTGTCTTGACATATTTGCTAATTTTATAAAAATTTCCATAAAATGAATGACCATCTGTGTGTCAGAGTTTATTTCCTGTTTCATTCTGAAATTTAAAAGAATCTACATATATTTAATCCTTAAATTACCTCAATCTTGTTCATTTACCTTAAATTATAATCTACAAAGGAATTGATGTATTGACACATATAATCTAAGTATAGCTCCATTACGTTCGGGTTGAATTGTTTTAATACTGTTAATAAGCCAAACACTAGTGGGTTGCAATCAAGATGATCCTTAGAATTTTTGGCGACCAAACAATCAATAGTTTTAAAGTATTTGAATTTATGTATATGTGAAATAGTAAACAGAAACAATAAAAGAGAGACAAAATGCGAATTCTTTGTTATGACGAAAACTTGTTCTAACGGCTCATACAATCCAGTTAATAACAAATATGGATTAAGTTCCATTACAATAGGTTTATATTTATTAAAATTTTCCGAATTCTCACGTATTTCCAACATTAAAGCTCTGAAAAACATTTATTTATGCCAGATTTATTTCGAAATTTAAGAGAAATAATATGTTAAAAAAAACTTTAATCTTCAACATTTTATATTACTAGAACATCATTTCTGTAAAACAAGCTATCATTTTAAGTACTTTTATCGAATGTATTAAATAAAATTTATTTTGAGTAAATTTCAGTGAAGTTTTGAAGTTAAAGGTTCGAGTTATGAAGTTAAAATTAAAAGAGAAGAATCTTAAATCAATTGTATGAGATCATACTTAATAGGGTAATATTCTGTCATTTATATCTCACCTGTTGAAATTAGTTATAACAGATTCTAAGTTCTTAGCACTAAGTCTGCAACTTGTATTCAGCTCGAATGCTATATGCCTCCTTAATATTTGCATGTGACCAATATTTATAATCCAATCCAAAATTTTTGGCCACACTTTAATCCATCTTGTAGTATAGGTAATATAAAATTTATGGGGATTTTCGATGTACATTTTATTTTCCAACTCCCTTGTAAGATTATTTAACAGATCTAACCACATTTGATCTGATGTAACATTTTTATTAATTTTTTCAATATTTTGTTCTAAGTCACACGTAAACATGAGAGCAAATACTTTGTCTAATCCAACAAGACCTGATGGGGTTATTGCTTCTCTTATTTTTGTAAATATTTTAGCATCTAAAATTTCATTTTGGGTCTTCCTATCATACCAAATTCCTCTTAGATCTAAATAAATACTTTGGTTAGGATGAGTGTGTAAAATTAATTCGCGAGCCAATCTGCCTATAAAATTATTTGAAATGTCTCCAAGTGGTGTAGGGTGATTAGGTATAGGTATTGTACTGCTTTGGAAGGATGATTGCCAATCCTGTATTTTGTTCCGCAAGAATATATTACATTCCTTTTCAACATTGTAATTAATTATTCGTAATAACTACAAATATTTATTCAAAATACATTAAATTTAACGAAAAGTAAATTTAACCTCTTCTTGAAGAATTTTCAATCCTTTTATGTTCAAATAATCCTGTATATATTCAAATGACCTCATATATCCATCAATAACTTTTGTCAGGGCTTCTAGTTTACATTCCAAATCAACACTTTTAGTTTTTGGCGAAAATATTAAACCATTATGCAAAGCCTGTGATAGATTGACTACCAATTCTTTACGAATTCCATCTTCAAGCAATTGCTTGGGATCTAATTCGATTACGCCTATTAGGGTTTTTTTCATCATAAGGATCCCTTCTGTAAATACCGATATTGAATATGTCAGTTTTGAAACTTGAAAACGATCTTCAAGTTGAGCAAAATCTTTTAATTTATCTTTATCAAGGCGTGTTGGTAGTTCTTTTATAACGTCAGTTTGCAACTCAACAATTTTAGCTAATATTCCGAACATAGTTTCAGGTATAACTTGCACGACTTTTCTTAAGTAATTTGCTAAATCATTACTATAATATCTAGAAACTGAAACTAAATCTTCACTTTTCGCTTGATTTATTCGTAACAAAGGAATTTCCAAGGCTGTGGCTAATTTTAAAAATGTGGCTCGTAGTTTTATTACAATGTTAGGGCTTTTTTTAATGCTTTCCTGCATAATATAGGTATATGCTTTATCGATGATGCACCACGCATAACTCAAATCACTTATCAACTGTATGTCGATTAATACATCCTCTTTTAAGTTGATCAGCTGAACTAATTGATTTAAATAATTTTTTGTTTCATAAATATGTTGTTTCACTTGCATGTTGGAATGTAAATTATGAAATTTTTGCACGTCTTCCAAAGCTTGTATAGATTCGATAATAATGCGACCTGACATGTTTTGGTTTTCAATCGATACATGTGTTATTTCTTTAGAAACAACTTCAAACCTAAAATAAAATCTGTAAGAAAACAAAAATTTTCTTTATTAAAAAAGCTACCAACCAGTTTCTTAAACCAATATTTTCTTCAATTTTGCTTAGAATCTTTTGTTTTCCGGAAAATAGTTCGCTTAATTCAATTAATCTGCTTGAAGCTTCGGTCCGATAATCATTCCATCTTTTTTCTTTTTCCGACATTATTTCCTTCAAAATTTCTTTAACAATTAATTCTAATTGGCTTGTATTTAAAAGTAATTCAAATAGTTGAGAACTTTTAAAATTCGACTCTGCTAATATTTGATCTGAAATTTGTTTTTGTCTTTTACAACCACTAAATTCAAGTATCACAGGATTTGTGTGCAATAAGAACCACCTTAACGTTATGTTACAGTTTTTTATTAAATATATGATTTTTGTTATATGTTTTAATATATATTCTTCATTTAGAACTCCCTCTTGCAATAAATGTTCTGTCTGTGGAATTAATTTTTCAAGCTGCTCTTTATGACGGGCACATAAAATTTTTAACGAATTGTTTTCAAATATACCGTTGACTGCTTGTTTTGCACATCGGAACGAATCCCAAGCATCTATTAAATTAATTGTAATACCCATATAAATTGGTATAATCCAATTGTCGTAGAAAAATTTGTCTGTAATTTCTCTCATTTGAGATAACTGGTTATGTAAAGTTTTTGGTGAAAAATACAAGCAAATAAAAAGAATTCCAGCTTGATTAGACAAGGCAACGGATCGATGTTCCGAGTTTGGGTACAATGAAATCTGGTTATATATATCGTCAGATCTCAAGCGGGCAATTACCATGTCGACAAAAGTCTCATTAAATTGAAATCGACTACGAGGAACAATGTAATTTATTCAGTTAAATCAAGAAATCACAACCCTACCTGAAAAAGTTTTCTGGGTAGTTAGGTACGCGTTTCGCGTTTGGCAGTGATGAAAAACCAGTAGAACGTAATAACATACACACATCATCTATATTACTTCCCCCATGTGTTCTTGAAGCACTATAGCGTAAAAATGAAATCAAAAGCCTTTCTCGTACAACTCCAGGAATATGAAAATCAATTACTAAAAGAATAACACCAAATAAATAAAGCGCTTCACACTAAAAAAAAAAAAAAAAAAAAAAAGTAAGCATATTTGTACACAAATATATATACATCAATATATAATACAAGCAACTGTTTTCCTTCTGCGTCATGTAAAACTGATTCTATACTTTGCTGTATGAAATACCCATCATTAAGTTGATTAGCAAACTGATTCAAATTAAGAGCGTATTGATGAGTACTTTCAAATGCTAAATAAAAGCGACTCAATAACTCTAAATAATTTTCTTTGATTTCTAAATCCAATTCTTGTAAAACCTAAGTAACAAACATAAATATTGTAAATATATAAAAAAAAAAAATAAAAAAATTTACAGGATTGTTTTCTATTTTTTTATCTTGCACTTCTGATTTTTGAAGATAACTAAAGTCAAGAATTACATCACAGTATTTTTGTTGATCCGCTTTGGTTTCTAGTCTAAAACACTTATATATTTAATTATTTAGTAATATGTTTAATTAAACTATTACTTAAATATATCAGGAATATAATCCTTTAATCTTAAAGTTTCTGCAATTATAGAATTCCCCATTGCTACAATTCTTATTAAACTCTGACCGCAAGGATTATTCTCAGCCAAGAATTCTGTCATTTTTTATTGGAATTTATATAAAAGTTAATGCTAATTATGATTTGAGTCTATTAAAACTTGTAATAAATTTAATAAATTGAATTGAGTGTTAGCCGTAGCCCATGTTAAACATTGACACAACATGTAACTAATTATTTTATGCTAATGACAGATATGTCAGTATCGATATTGTGATATACATACTCAATTGGTTCGTTCAGATCAAGGTTCGAGATCTAGTACACTGGAAATTTCAATCTGCGTATGTACTGTACAGATTGAAATAATATTACTTAAAATCGTATTGAGTTTTGACATTGTGATTATAAATTAAAAAACGGCGTAAACATAACTTTTTTAATAAAATGAACAGTGATCAACGGTTTCAATGCTTTTTTTATTGCGACTTGTCATTTGATAATGGTCAAGATAGTAATTTTATCCGAAATAACTGACGTATAAGGCCTGGATTGGCAGAACAAAATATATTTTCTTCCAAAAATTGAAAAACAAATGAGTTCAAATTTTTAGATTCTGTTTGAATCATTTGACGTCAAAAATGGTTTTCACGCTAAAATATTTATTATTTTTATGGTGAGTAAGAAAAGTGTGCACTATTTTGTATAATAAGACAAAAATTTTAATTCGGTAGAAAATTGTAAGTGTAATAATATTAAAACCATTTCAGTCAGTCAGATAAGATCAGCCTTATCAAGAATTCCGTTCGTAGCTTTAAAATTTGTAAAATTATAAATGTTATATTGTTGTTTCTGAATTGCTAAGATTCTGATCCGGATATTCGTAATAGATTAATCATAAATTACGTTCGTAATAAAAATAAATGACAAAAGTCTACGAAAGAAATAATCACATATAACAGACAATTTAAAAAGAATGGCCGTTTTAAATTTTTTTTTAGGTTTTTTGTTTTTTTGATTTTGAGATCCTTTAATACAATTACCATTAAAGAGAATCGAATTTATATTTGCTAAAAAACTTTTTTTCCACTCTTAAAATGTATTCAAAAACTAAAAAAGAACTCTGCTTTTAAAAAATATCATTTTGTATGAAAGTTGTTTATTGTGTTCGCCAGATTTTATCGTTGATTAAATCGGAAATTTAGTATGATGTGTAACTGAGACGAAATATTTTTTACACAATAATCGACTTACAACTTTATGTAAGCAAAATTTTCGGTTTCCTCTTATATTCCGAAGGACTGATATTTGATAATTGACATTAAAATCAATTCGTGAATAAATATAACATACCTCAATAAAATAAGTATGTAACTTCAATTATAACAAAAAATATAAAACCAAATAATTCTCTTCCCACTCTAAAATTACATTATCTGAAATATAACAGTTACTCAGTTTCCTCTCTTGCTAAGTAAAATAGGACGATAGACAATCAGGCAGGGCCTATGTTAAATTAATTTGATATTCATTATTCATGGTAGCTGCGATTATGTTAGATTTCAACGAATGTTGGCTTAAGTTGACCTTTATATCGCAGTAATATAGCTTAAATAGAATTTAAATCGATCAGGTTTTTCTATCAAAAAACTTAAAAAAACACATTAATTTATATGATAAAATAGATCTTGATAGTAAAACTAAATTGTTGTTTTTTGAATCAAGCTTATTTTTAAGGCTAAAAATTTGAAAAAAACTTATATTCAAAGAAAAAATTCAACACAAAAAAAATTCTTCACTATTACATCACATTTTCAGACGTCAAAGCCATCCAACACATCTCGTTTTTATTAGATCACGATAACAATTTTCATGTCATTAAGCTTGGCGAGTTACATATAAATTAAGTTATAAATAAATAAATACTAAATTGCTTAAGAAAATTTGTAAAATAATGCAACAAACAGATTGGAAAAAGTGGTGTCGACTTTGTGGAAAGCAAAATGGTGCAGATGTTGATTTGAATTTAAAATTTGAAAATGCTGAAACTTTAGATGTGATTATCCAAAGATATTTTGGGATAATGGTACATATTTACACAATATTTTAATACTAAATTTTTGAAAATTTGAGTTGCAGGTATCAGACGAAATAGAGTGGTGTAACAAAATATGTATGGTGTGTCATGACACAATAACATCAATAATAAAATACAATGCTCATATCGCTAAAGTAAATGAAATGTTTGTTGAGCTTAGGAAGAACTGGGTTTACCAAAATTTTGATATTAAATCTTTAAGAGAAAAATATGGATTAAATAACCAGAGTAGTGAAACATGTGAGTTTAATCTAACCAAACCGCTTTCGTCGAACATAACTTATGGTATACAAATACAGTGCGGAATCCAAACTGATAGTACACAGTCTTTAATAAAGCCAGAGAAAATATGTGTACAAACAGATAATATAGAAACAGTAATATCCGAAAGTGAAACGCACGATATCAATTTGGACAATAAATCAAATCAAAACAGTTTATCCGATCACGACTTATCAGATTTAGAAGAAAAAAGATTTAAGTGTCCCAAATGTGAAAAACCTTTTAAACTTAAACGATATGTAGTTGATCACGTTCGTCGTGTTCATAAAAAAGATAAACCTTTTTCGTGTGATATTTGTGGATCAGATTTTGAAACTAAAAAAGAATTGATTGATCATTACGCAGCACACCCAGGAGAAAGAAAATACAAGTGTACAAAATGTGAGAAAGCTTTTAAAACCAAAAGAGATTTAAGGGTAATTTGATTTTTCGATACGCAATCAAAACGTAATATGTACTAATTTACCATATTTTAAGACTCACATGGTAATACATGATGGAACTGGATGTATATGTCAAATATGTGGCGTAAAGCTTAGTACAAAAAAAATTTTAAGGATCCATATGTTGGTACATTCCGATGAGAATAAGTACAAATGCGACTTTTGCTTTAAAGAGTTTAAAAGACCAAATGCTTACAAGAATCATTTAATTCTACATACCGGACTAAAGCCATACGAATGTCCATTTTGTAATTTAACTTTTGCAAATGGTTCAAACTGTCGAAAGCATAAACGAACCGTTCATCCAACAGAACTGGCCGTTCAAGAATCGAAAGGTAAAAAACTCTCTAGAATAATGCCGACAATAAAGCAACTAAATGAGCTAGCTTCGGATAATGTTTCATAAAAGTGTAGTTTATTGAACCGAAAAACTAATACAGATTTTACAGTTCATATATAGTTTGAATCCTTAGTTTATATTTTATTTTAGTAAAAAAAATCGACATGCATTTTTTAACAGTCAATTCGCGTATCAATACAAAATGTGCAAAGCAAGAAAAAACGAGTAAACTAACTTGATAGTCGTATAGTACAATTTGAAATAAATAGTTTTCAATAAAAAAAGAAATTATTTAACTTGTTTGTAATTCCATTTGACTCAAAATTTCTTTCAATTTACAAAATTTGGGAATATTTTGATTCGGAGTTCTTGGTTGATTTTTTAATTTCATTTCAGCATATTCCACAGGATGTGCGTGTTTTTCATGTTTCTTGCAATTTGAAAGATCTGAATAAGAAGCTTCACAAAACTGACAGTGATAAGGCTTCAATTTTGCGTGTATTAACATATGGGTCTTAAAATTTCTACGATCTTTGCAAGCGTATTGACACAAAATACATTTAAAATTTTTCCTTTCGGTGTGATTGTTACGCAAATGTTCCTGAAATAGAATTTATGCATAATTGAAACTCTAAAAAGCATGATAGATAATATTATGTTGAATTACCTGTAAAGCTGGAATTCGTTTAAAAGATTTTTCACATTTCGTACATTTAAAAGGTTTTTTATTACTATGCACAATTTTGTGGGCACTTAATGCATTGAATGTTAGGTATCTAAAACAAAATTCTAATTTAACACAAATATTCCTTATCTAAAAATTTTTAATACCCTTTGCCACATTCTTCACATATAAAGGATGTTTTTCCAATATGAACAATTTCAATATGAATTTTCAAATGTTTTTCCCAAAAAAAAATTTTATCACATTGAGTGCATGAAAATGTTTCGCGTTTTTCTGGAGGTAAATGAGTTAGCTCATGTTTCTCAAGAGCTGATATTGCTTTAAAAGCTTTACCGCAAAACTTACACGCTTTTGGTTTCGACACAATAGAATGTTTCGTTTTTAAATGGGAGGCCCAAGCACCCTTACTCAAAAATGTTTTGTTACAAATTTCACATTTTGCAACAGCCTCTTTCAAATCAAAAGTTGAGTTATGCTTATGGTCATTTTCCCTTTTTAAGTCTATATCTTTTTTGTTGCATGCAAATGCTGTGCTCATTTTGAACTCTTCAATTTTTAATAAGTTTTTGTCCTTACTATAATAATCGAATTGTTGCACAAAATTTTCACGTATCACAACTTCGTTGAAATTTTCATTTTTTTCAGCATTCTCTTGAATTTTATCGTCTTTATTTAATATCATTTTCAAGTTACAATTGTTTTCTTCATTCAAATTTTTGATTTCAACGTCTTCATTAGTTTCAACAGTACTCTTAATATTTGATATGGAATCTTCAGTTGCTTCAGAGTTATACCCTTTTATGTTTTCTTCATTTTCTGTTATTGTCTTCGTTGTTGCACTTTTTTTCATTTGCTCTATAATTTTTTTAAGTTCCTTGAAACTTGGAACATGTTTTGTGTAAGGTTGCAACCTCTCAGCCACACTGTTAATAAATTCTGCCTTATGAGAATGTTTTACATGCTTTTTACAGTTTGATTGATGAGCGTAAGAAGCTTCACAGTACAAGCAACGATATGGTTTGAGACCAGTGTGAGTTAACATATGTGCTTTTAAATTTCTTTGATGTTTTGTCACATACTCACAAAGGGTGCATTTAAAATTCTTTATATCAGTGTGTAAGAGTACATGTTCCTTCAACGAGTGATTATTTTTTAGTTTTACATTACATATTAAACATTGAACATTGCAACTTTTTTTATGGATCTGGAAACAAATTATTAGTTGAAATTCCCAACTTTTGTTTCAATATGCTTACGTTTAGTTTTTCTACATTTTTAAAGAGTCGCGGACACATATCGCATTGAAGGGTAGCTTTAATGTGGATGAGCTTATGTACTTCCTAATTAAGGCAGTTTGTTTTTGTTACTTTATTTTACAATAATACAATGAATTCATACCAGAGATCTACTTGAGGTTGTTTCCTTACTACAAATATCACAAAAAAACTGTTTTTCTTTCATTAAGAATGTTTCTTTATGAGGTTTTAACAAAATTTCATCATTAACTGCTCTCAGTTGTTCAATTTTCGGAACATTTTTAGAAACTCTAACAATTCCCATCACTTCTGCTGCTGCTAATTCCAGTGAATGTGCGACTTTTTGATGCTTTCTACAATTAGATCCATCTGCAAACGTTAAATCACAAAAAACACATTGGTATGGTTTCAATCTACTGTGTAAAATCAAATGATGTTTAAATGCATCAGATCTCCGAAATAGTTTCCCACAAAAATTGCATTTATATTTTTTGTGTTCAGAGTGAAAAACCATATGTCGACTAAGTAAAGCTGGGGAACTTATCGGTTTACTACATATGGGGCATATTACTTTATGACTTGCATGAGATTTTTCGTGTATCTAATAATTAAATTGTTAATAATTATTTACAGATTCAAATATACTTTTATTATGTATAAATTAATGTACCTATGTACATATTTACCTTCAAGGTTACTCTTCTTTTAAAAGATTTCAAACATTTAGTACATTTAAAAGGTTTCTTTTCACTATGTACTATTTTATGTGAATTTAAAGCAGCAACACTCACATATCTACATAAATAAATCACAATAAGTAAATATATGTAAATATGTATGCATTCTTTTACTTAAAAATTTATACATTTGCAAATATTTAGACATAGCGTAATAATTTGTACTTACCTTTTACCACAATCCTCGCAAATAAGCAATTTTTTTTCAACATGAACGAATTTCTCGTGACCATTTAAATCGTTTTTAGAAGCGAATTTTTTACCACATTTTGTACATAGAAACATTGCTCCTTTTTGCGGGTTAAATACATTTCTTTTATTCTTGGCTATAATTGAAAGTGTATTATTCAAATGAATTCGAGTTATGTATCCCCATACATATGGAAATAATGAATTTAAACTCTTTAAAATTCTTGTGGTCTTGAATATTACCATAAAATAAAACTTACGTTAAGAATTCATTTTTTAAAATTTTTTCATCTAATAATTTAGAAGTGCACCACCTTATTGGGCACTTTATTCTCATATAGCATGCATTTACATTATATAGCACAGCGTTTCTCAAAACCCATGACAATGCGACCACAAAAGCTAATTGGCAATGATACATGGCACCCGTTTTCTTAATTTTGTGCATTATTTAATGACTTCTACGTTGCTTATTTTTCTTTACCAAATTATCTAATGTTTCTCTATCGAATTAGAGAACTTAAAAACTTATTAAAATTCAATTTTTCATTGTCGTGTGAGATATTTTTATATTGTTTCCAAAATCATTTATGCCGCGATCCGTGTTTGAGAGTCGCTGATATAGTATTCATTATTATTTAAATATTCAAGTTTGAATCAACATACCTTTTTAAGTGTGAAAACAGAACCAAGACGGTGAACGGTAACGACGGACGATTTCTGTTGTTAATTTTCATTCTTGCTAGCCTCTTTTATATGTCTATATGAATTTTAATATTTCGTCAAGGAAAATCGTTGTTCTTCTGTTTTCATAAAAATAGATAATCAAAAAACGCTAAAATAAAAGGTACAAAATATTTATTTCATCATTCACAAAATATTTAAATATTTACAGTATATCGACTTGAGTTTCACATTAGCTGATAAACATTATATATTATTTTGTTGTTCTTAATTTTTCAAACCGCTTTCGACTTTCAAGTCGAGATAATAATTTTGTCAGTTCGACTTAACATGAGGAGTTCAAGTCAAGTAGCGTTTATATAAGCTCGAAATCCGCTTGCAGTCTTCAAGCTGCATATAAATAATAATATGGAATATTAATTCGTGAACATTAATTAATCGGAAATCGATTTATTTTTGAGCTGTACAAAAGCTTCCTGACTTATCTTGACATAACAAAAATATCTGTTAATCGTAGTTGCGGAAGTAAAAAATTTTTTTCCAAGTTAAGAGAAAATTAAAGTTATTCCATATATTTTAAATCATTATTGTTTTTAAACAGTCAAACACGGTAAATCAAAAGTAGTAAGAATGGGAAAAGGTTTAGCTTACTGATAATATATACTACAAAATCGATGATCTACTGTAAAAACAAAACCAAAACGGTAAGCGGCAGCGTCAGACGATTTCTGATGTTAGCCCAGAATAAAAGCGGAACAACAAAAACAACTGTAGAACATGATAACAAATAATGTCAACAAAATTGCACGTAAAATAGGAATTTGGGTAATTTTACAGCTTGCGATATTTATGCGACATACAGCCTATATGAATTTTGACATTTCGTCGAAAATTGGTCTGTTCGTTGAAAATTGCTAGTATACGTAAACAATGTTTACCATCAGACTTTGTCTGACGGAAACTCTATTTTCATCCGATTTGCTTTCAGATTTTTTTAAAAATAAAAATGGCGACATGTTGTAGTTTCTGGCAGCGGTCAGCTGATTCTTGTTATGGTTATAATTTTCGTAGCAAAATTTTTAAATTTTGACACAAAGTCTGAGTGCAATAAGGTAACTTCTGTCCGATACCAAGTAAATATTTTAGGTTTAGTAGAATAAAATGTGTAATAAAAATTGGAGGAAATGGTGCCGGCTTTGTGGAGAAGAAAATGGTTCAAAAGTAGATATAACCATAAAAATGGAAAATCACGATACTTTGAGTGTATCGGTTGTTAAATATTTTGGAATACAAGTGCGTATGAAATGTTATAAATTTTTATAAGTATATGTACATAAATATATGTGTATTAAAATTAAGATGATTTCTAGATTTCCGAAAACATCAATAAAACTGCCAAAGTCTGTTTAGTGTGTTATGACATTATTGACTCAATCATAAACTATAATGCACGCATAGAGAAAGTTAACTGTATGTTTCTAGAGCTGGAAAACTATTATCAGACAAATGAACAAAACCAGGATTTAAAATTTTTAAGAGAAAAATATAAGCTAGTTGATCAAGAGGACAAGGTAACTGGATTGGAAATAGGGAATCATAATCTCCATAAAAGAAACCTTTTAAAATTTAAATCGGTATGTGTCGTAGACGAAACTGTTGATAACAGGAACGAAGTAACAGAAGAAGAATTTTCAGAAAGCGCAATCAGTTTGAATGAAAAAAACGATGTTAATATATTTGAAAAGGACACAACACCTGCAAGTGAAAATGATTCAAGATATGATTTTTCAGAAGTAGAAGAAAAAAAGTTCGAATGCCCCAAATGTGGAAAATTCTTCAAATTCAAGAGGTATGTTGGTGATCACATTCGCAAAGTTCATAAAAAAGATAGACGATTTGTTTGTGATGTGTGCAGTATGGAGTATGAAACTAAAAAAGACTTAACTGATCATTTTTCTACTCATAAAGAGGAACGAAAATATAAATGCTCCAGTTGTGAAAAAGACTTTAAGAAAAAACAGGATTTAAGGGTAAAATTCAGTTTTCAATTAGTGTTTTTTAATTATTGCATATAATTTTAGAGACATGCGGCTGTTCATGATGGTATAGGATGTATTTGTCAAATATGTGGTCTTAAACTCAAAACAAGGAAGCTGCTAAGAAGCCATATGGTTATGCATTCCGATAAGAAAAAATTTAAATGCAATTTTTGCTTTAAAGAGTTTAAAAGAACGAAAGAATTTAAAAATCATTTAATATTACATACGGGTCTAAAACCTTATGAATGCCCGTTTTGCAAATTGAATTTCGCAAATGGTTCAAATTGTCGTAAGCATCAAAAAAACGTTCATCCCACAGAATTAGCAACTCAAGAATTAAAAGGCAAAAAACAAAATTCGAAACCCATTCCAACTATAGAAGAATTGAACACGTTAGTTTACCAAAAAGTCTCGTAAAGAAAATCCAATTTTGCTCAAATCTATTGCAAAATTTTTAAAGGTCAAAGATTAATTAAGTTGAACCATCTTTTCAAATATATATGGTGGCATATAAAACTTAAAAAAAAAACAAAGAATTTTTAATGTTTTATTCCATCAAATCAATTTTTTTAATTAACACATTTTATTTCAATATTAATAAAAAAACTTCATAAAATAAAGTATAAGAATTAACGAAAATAACAAAAAACAATTAAAAATTCTTAGGTGTCTCATGGGTAGTTTTGCCTGCTTTTACATTTAAAAGAAAATTTTAATATTTATGCATGTAATTTTAGAACATTGACTACTTTGTTTTAATAACGTTTTTGGTATGTCTCGTAGTTGACGGAAATACAGGCCTGGGTCCTAAGACAGTTCGCATCTGACGAATTTATACTTATTATGGGATCTATAGAGGGCCCAAAATAAATAGCCCACAAGATTAACTTTTTTCAAATTTTTACATTCTTTAAGTTTTGTGTTATTAAAACATTAAGAAATTGATTTAAAAAAAGCATTCCAGGTTCTGTTCATTTTTTTAAGATTTCAATAAATGCTACACTACAAGAAAAATAAGTGAATTTTTTTTTTCGAAGTATTTAGTTGATTTTGGTGTATTTTTTCAAATTTGAGAAAATGTACATTTGATATTAGCAAGTTTGCTAATTTTGTATGATATGTCTCCCAAAATGCATACATCTGATATAAAGAGTCGCATACAGTTCGTTCGGGTGCAGTACAATTGCATTGGAAAAATGCCTCTCACGGCACTAATGTGCACATTCCAAGAGTAACGACCTCTTACAAAAATAAGGCCATTTTCATACAAAAAATAAAGCAACACTCATGACCTTTTAACAAAATAAGTCCTTAATATCCAACTCTTCTCATTTTTTCCCCTGCAAATAGAGGCATTTTTCCAATACAAATTGTACATTTTTGTGCATTGGTTGTGCTGCATCCGGACGAACTGTATGGGACTCGATTCGTCTGAGTACTCTTTCGTCCGTCTTTCATATATGTATACTAAATTTGTACTTTTGTAGTTATGAAATTTCTGCCTTCCTTTTTGAGTTCAAAGTTTTTCAGGTGAACGTTTGAATCTACTAATAAAAGAAAACTAACAGAAATGGAAAAATTTTTCTGTTTTTGTTTTTTATTCTTTGGATTTTGAATGATTCTCATATAAGTAAATTGCAATATTGCAATACCAAACGGAAAAACATATTCTTCTCTCTTAAAAAATTTATTTCAAATACACATAAATACAAAAAAGAATCTACTTTTTAATGAACAATACGGAAATAAAGCACATTCAAAAATAAAAATTTTGGTGAAGAAAGATGAGAAATGTTAACAGACCCGATGGTATTCCCATACTACGACATAACGGTAACCCCATACCACGGTAATGGTAACCATATACAATTACGTTTTCAACGCAGTGATTTATATACCGCGTTTATAGCGGATTTTGGGCGCATATAAACCCTACTTGACTTGAAATTATTAAATTACGCCGATCTTTTAAAATTATTAGCTTGACTTGAAAATCGACTTTATATACGCTGATTGAAAGATTAAAAATCACAAATTAATATATAACGCTAATCCACAAATGTAAAACCAAATTTCAAGTAACTGCGTTTTTGATCATTCAGTTCTAACGTACTAAATGTGGCTTATGTTTAACAATAAAGTACTACACATGCCGTCAAAAAAATGTGTTTGATTTAGCGATGAATATGTTTTATAACTACAAAAAAATAAAAATTTCAAAAATATATTTGATTTCACGCAAGTAAAGTTAAATAATAGAAATTTCTCTTAAATTCTAATGAGAGTAGGTCTGTCTGGATTAAGAAAGTTTTAGTAGCAAAACGTCAGGTATAATACTTTTGAGAAATGAGAGAAAATGGCGACGTCAGTAATTCCTCAATGTTTAAATTGTACAAGCTAGTAACACTTAAGATCATAACATAATATTACATTGCTACAGAAAAACCCTATTAACAATCACAAACATTTTTATGTTTACTTTTTGATTTAACCCATTATTTTTCGTTTTTATGCTTTGATTTGACCGGCTACTTAAAATTTTTTAAAAAAAATGTTATTTGAAAATTTCGCAGATTTTTCCTAAGACCTTTATGTTCGTTACACATCATTGTATCAGATAATATCAAATGAAAAAAATAGAAACATACCCCCCTGTACCATTTTTCGAAACTCAGTTTATAGCATCCCTGCTGCTATGTTTATTTTAAATACGAAGTAAAATTATCAAGAAATTATTTTTAACATTTATTTTTTTAATAAATGTATTTGATACTATTTATGGCGGAAACCAAATGGCATAGCATAGAGTAAACTTTCAAGTGATATGTCGTTGTCTTTTTAAGAATACAAATTTAAAAGTTTAATTAAAATTAGGAAAAAAAATTATATGTAGGCTACGTGTATACATGTATGTAACATTGTTAGAAATTTGTGTTGTTTATTTTGTCAAATCTAAGGTTTAATAGAATAAAATGTGTAATAAAGACTGGAGGAAATGGTGTCGGCTTTGTGGAGAGGAAAATGGTTCAAAAGTAGATATAACCATAAAAATGGAAAATCATGATACTTTAAGTGTATCGGTTGTTAAATATTTTGGAATAAAAGTGCGTCAAAACCTTATATTTTTATACATGTGTATGTACATAAATATATGTATATTAAAATTAAGATGATTTCTAGATATCCGAAAACATCAATAAAACTGCCAAAGTCTGTTTAGTGTGTTATGACATCATTGACTCAATCATAAACTATAATGCACGCATAGAGAAAGTTAACTGTATGTTTCTAGAGCTGGAAAACTACTATCAGACACACGAACAAAACCAGGATTTAAAATTTTTAAGAGAAAAATATAAGCTAGTTGATCAAGAGGACAAGGTAACTGGATTGGAAATAGGGAATCATAATCTCCATAAAAGAAACCTTTTAAAATTTAAATCGGTATGTGTCGTAGACGAAACTGTTGATAACAGGAACGAAGTAACAGAAGAAGAATTTTCAGAAAGCGCAATCAGTCTGAATGAAAAAAATGATGTTAATATATTTGAAAAGGAAACAACACCCGCAAGTGAAAATGATTCAAATTATGACTTGTCAGAAGTAGAAGAAAAAAAGTTCGAATGCCCTAAATGTGGCAAATGTTTTAAATTCAAAAGGTATGTTGGAGAACACATTCGCAGAGTCCATAAAAAAGATAGACGATACATTTGTGATGTATGTAAAATGGAGTATGAAACTAAAAAAGATTTAACTGATCACTTTTCTACCCATAAAGAGGAACGAAAATATAAATGCTCTATTTGTGAAAAAGACTTTAAGAAAAAACAGGATTTAAGGGTAAAATTTAGTTTTCAATTAGTGTTACTATGACTATTCCATATAATTTTAGATACACGCTGCTGTTCATGATGGTATAGGATGTATTTGTCAAATATGTGGTCTTAAACTCAATACAAGGAGGCTTCTAAGGAGTCATATGGTTATGCATTCCGATAAGAAAAAGTTTAAATGCAACTTTTGCTTTAAAGAGTTTAAAAGAACGAAAGAATTTAAAAATCATTTAATATTACACACTGGTTTAAAACCTTATAAATGCCCCTTTTGCAAATTGAATTTCGCGAATGGCTCGAATTGTCGTAAGCATCAAAAAACCGTTCATCCTACGGAATTAGCAACCCAAGAGTTAAAAGGCAAAAAAAAAATTTCGAAATCCATTCCAACTATAGAAGAATTGAACGCGTTAGTTTACCAAAAAGTCTCATAAAGACAATTCAATTCTGCTCAAATCTATTTTAAAATTTCCTTCAAAGGATACTTTTTAAATAACCTAAACAAAATTGATAATAATAAAAATTAGTAATTAAACAAAAATTGATAATTAATACACGTATGTGTTTTATAAGCAAAAACAGAAAGAAAATAAAATTTAAATTTCTCATGTCCATCGATCTCTTTGTATATACATACACACATACACACAATTATATCGCAAACAATTTAACTTTTTATTTGCTTACGAACTTCTTATTTCTAAACAACCATAATTATAGGAAACTGAGTATTTAAATCTTCTACTATTTCTATTTCAGCTGGAAAACGCGTGGAAAACTTTTCAAATACCTGCCAAAATATTTTCACAACAGATTTTCACAACAAATTACTGGATTCTTCGATTGCTAAAAACACTCAGAATCGTTTTATAATGAAAAACATTCATAATCGTTTTATGTTCCAACTTTGCCAAAAAAAAACATTTAAAGTTTTTTAAGGTTTTTTTCAATATTTTTCTCCCAAAACGTTTTTGCCATATATTTTTATTATGTATATACTACTGAATTCTTCGAGTTACTAATTGTAACTAAAAATGTTAAAAACCGCTCTATCTACTCTAGTTTAGCTACAAAACGTATTTAAAATTTTTCAAGGTTTCACTAGAAATTTGCTAGAAATTTTTAGTATACTTATGCACTTATATAGTATGTATGTACATACATTATTGTCTAGTTCTGCGAGCTACTAATGCTGACAATTACTGTTAGTATTTTCTTATTCAGTATATCTTAGAATTCTTATTTATTTCTTCTAGTTCAGCCAGAAAACGCGTTTAAAGTTTTTCTAAATATTTTCGCAGAATATTTGTATATTTCTGCTTTATAAAATTTCTATTCTGTAATGAAAGGCAAAACAAACATTAGATCCATTTGGTATAAAACATGAAAAAAGAGAAAAAAGCGACGTCACTTATTTCAAAGAAAAAAAAATGACCAAACGGAAGGTGATAAACGTTAAATATCAGAATATTTATGATTAATAATATTATAATATAAAATATTTTCAAGTTATACAAAAAGCGAAAATTTTGATTTTGCATTATAAGTGTGAAGTTTAGAAAAATAAACATTTCGAGCAAAGGAAAACAAAATTCTAAAAGTAATTAATTTACCACAAATAACTTATCTACAATTTAGTTGAGAGGTTTACAATTTATAATAAATTAAGTTTTGTAACGTTAGTGGAAAAATAAAAATAAATCTGCTATAACTGCGGCCCGGGAAACGATTGCTTTTTCTCAGGTCACTATTTATATTTCGGGTCTAGCAATAAAAAACAAACATTTATCATTGGAAATGGTTTTATTGTTCTTCAAAATATTCCCCATGAAGATCAATACACTTTTGCAAGCGCTGAAACCAATTTTCGTAGCACTTTTTCCACTCCGATTGAGACACCTCCAAAACATGGTTTTTGAACGCATCGACTGCTTCTTCAGGTGTTGAAAATCGTTGTCCACGCATTTTTTTTTTGATGTGAGGGAATAAGAAGAAGTCATTGGGTGCTAAATCAGGACTGTACGGCGGATGACCCACCAATTCGACATTTTGAGTGCTCAAATAGTCCATTGTTTCAGCTGATTTGTGAGAGCTTGCATTGTCATGATGAAGAATGATTCGCCGGCGCTTGTTTGTTTTCCTTATTTCTTCGAAAACTTTCGGCAAACAGATGGTGGTGTACCATTCAGAATTGACCGTCCTACGTTCCACTAAAGGTACTGTGGCCACATGACCGGTTATACCAAAAAAAAAACGCGATCATTTGCTTCGATGTGCTTCTTCCACGAACAACTTTTGTTGGATTTGGCTCGTCTTGGAACACCCATACGGTCGATTGCTGTTTCGTTTCGGGCTCATATGCATAGATCCATGATTCATCACCTGTGACTATCTTATAAACGTCTTTTTTCAACATTTCTTTGCTCCAATCGACACGAGCCTTCTTTTGTGCAATCGTCAAATTTTTTGGGATCCATCGACAACACACCTTTTTCACGGCAAGATGTTCATGCAATATCTTATGTAAGCTGGTGGAACTAATGCCCAAGGATGCCTCAATCTCACAGTATGTCACATGCCGGTCCATCATTATCATTTCGCGCACAGCATCGATGGTTTCCGGCAAAACGACCGAAATTGGCCGACCTTCACGAAATTCATCCTGGAGCGAACGGCGTCCGAAACCAAACTCTTGGTACCAGCGATTTACAGTGGTTTTTGATGGTGCTTCATCACCAAAAGTCGAAACAAGTTGATCGAGACACTCTTGTCTCGATAATCCGCGCCGAAAATCGTAAAAAATCATCGCACGAAAATTTTCACGGGACAATTCCATTTTTTGACCGAGATGAATTTTTCAAGTCACTGTAAACAATACAATTCGCGCTCGAATGACAAAACGTTCTGAGTGAAGTTGTCCTAAAAAATGTCAAACTTTCCAATGGAAGTGTCAGATTGCACCTGGAAGCACTAGTATTGCCAGGACCCGAAATATAAATAGTGACCCTTTATATTATAATAATATTATACATTTAAATGTACGACTTTTTTAAAATAATTCAAATGCTTAGTTTGAAAAAACTGTCAGAAATGTCAAAAACAAAAAATTTCACAAAATGCTGCCAGTTGAAAAGTTTTACGATGCGAATTCACATATGCAGTAAGTTTTATAAATTGTGAAGCATATAAGATTAATTAATATAGCACAGACATGCAAAATATATAGATATATATGTGATTATATCAGATGTATGCATTTTGGGAGACACATCATACAAAATTAGCAAACTTGTTATTATCAAATGTATATTTTGTCAAATTTGAAAAAATACACCAAAATCAACTAAATACTTCGAAAAAAAAATGCACTTTTTTTTTCTTGTAGTGTAGCATTTATTGAAATCTTAAAAAAATGAACAGAACCTGGAATGTTTTTTTTAAATCAATTTTTTAATGCTTTAATAAGACAAAACTTTAAGAATGTAAGCACTAGCAAAATAGGAAAATATTGAATTTTAACTTTTTCTAATTAAAAATTTGAAAAAAGTTGATCTTGTAGGATATTTATGTTAAAAAGGGCCCTCTATAGATCCCATAAGAATACGTATAAATTCCTCAGCTGTGAACTGAGGAATCTCTTAGGGTCCAGGCCAGTATTTCTGTCAGCCGTGCTTTGACAGCTTAAACACAAACTATTTTTATATCCTTTTTTTATGTTCTCTCTTCAAAATTTTATTTCAAAAACACATACATAAAAAAGAATAATCTACTTTTTAATGAACAGTGTCAAACATTGTGGAAATATAGCAGATTCAAAAACAAAATTTGAAAGAAAAAAGATCAAAGGCGGGCAAACTCGATAGCAGTAAATATACTGCATTACTGCATTATTTCTAAACAACAATCTGGACATTTTCAATAAACAAAAAATGACATAAACATTAATAAAATAGAAGGATCAACACTAAAATAAAATTAGCTTATAAAAATAATTCTTGCAGATTTTCAGAAAAAAAAAAAATAAATTTATAAAAGCTACGATAAAAAGCCTTAATTTTGGCATTAAGATTTAAAAATCGAGTTAAAAATGCACAAAAAGGAATGGAAAAAATGGTGTCGTCTTTGCGGGAAAAGAAATGGTTCAGAAATAGATGTTAAACTTAAATTTCAAAAGTCAGAATCATTGGCTGAAATTATAATTAAATATTTCGGTATAATGGTAAATTAAACATTATTTTATATACTATATTAGAAAAAAATTGTAATTCTCCTATCTTAACCAAGAAAAAATTTCAGATAAATGAAGAAAACAGTTCGTGTACTAAGATATGCATGATATGTCACAATAAAATTAGCTCAATTGTAAAATTCCATTCGCATATTTTCAGAGTGGACAAAATGTTTGCGGAATTGGGAAGCGATTGTTTCAATCAAATCCTTGATATTGAATCTCTAAGAGAAAAATATGGATTAAAAGAAACACCCGAATTTTTTCATAGCGAAATGAGACCTGCAGATTTATGTTCTACAAAAATAGAAGATGAAACGGAATTCGAAAATAATATAGATTCGTCGTCCTCAAAATGTTTTTTAAAAAGTGAAGTTGTAGATGTTGACGAGACAAACGTTTCTGAAAAGTCAGATTCAAGTTCTACTAAATTACATGATGTGTTATCAAGTAATTGTTTCACAGACTCGAATTTTGAAAAAATGGACCAGGATGATATAGGTGAGAGCCAAGTTAATAAAAAAAAGTCCGAAACAGAGGAATGCACAAAATGTGACATTTGTCCGAAAGTCTTCCCTACAGCTAGAGGTCGGAAAACACATATGAGACAGGCACACTCAATAAAAATAGGTCCACCGCTTCATAAGTGTGATGTTTGTGGAAAACTATATAAAAAACTTCATCATCTAAACGTTCATAAAATTAATCACATGTCAGAAAAGGATAGAAAAGTATATAGTTGCCCAGAGTGCAATCAAAGTTTTACGAATGAATGGGCAGTATCTAACCATATTCGCGTTGTACACAAAAAAAAATTTATATGTGAATTGTGTGGTGCAGCGTTTGGAACAAATACAAACTTATCCGATCATCTTTTAACTCATTCCGACGAGCGAAATTTTAAGTGTCCCAAGTGTGAGAAAACTTTTAAATGTAGACGCGCTTTGAAGGTATACATACTTTCATTTTTTCATTATTTATATAATAAACATAATTTTTTTTAGCTTCATGTCGATATACATGACGATACAGCATATCAGTGTAAAACATGCGGCTTAAAGCTTAATACCAGCTTAACCCTTCGTCGGCATATGATGGTGCATTCCGATCAAAGCAAATATAAATGTAATTTTTGCTTGAAACAGTTTAAAAGACGTGATGCTTTCAAAAATCATTTAATATTGCATGCTGGTTTAAAGCCGTATAAATGTTCTTTTTGTGATTTGACTTTTACAAATGGATCAAATTGTCGAACACATCAGAAAAGAGCCCATCCAGTTGAGTTAGCAGCTGCAGAATTGAAAGGAAAACAAAAACATATTAAAAATGTACCAAGTATAAAACAGTTAAAGGCAATGAACGAGAAAGCATTGGTAACTGAAGAAAAGTGTTGGCCAAGTTTATATTTTGGCAAAGAACGCGAAGATGTTTTGTAAGCATGTTTATTCGAATTATTTGTTTAAATTACAAATTAAATATTGAATTATAGTGTATATGTAATATACACCATGCGTAAAATATTTTTATTCTTAAACTAATTGTAATTAAATAAATACAGCTCAAGAAGAAATCGTTTCACTAATGCAGCTAGACTTATAGCTGTTGTATTTTATGCGTTTTAAACAGTGGTCGTTGACTTACTTCAACCTAAAATTCAAAAATAGTTTATATTTTTTATAGCGAATAAAATAGTTTAAGTATCTAACAATGGAAAATAACACCACTCACTATGGTGAATATACAAAAAACATCTATTACACATCGTGTACACAGCTAATTCCCAATCACCAGTTTGGGTTCCGAAGCAATCACTTAACAATCGACGAAGGATTACAATACATCAATCTCATTAATAAGTTACTCAACAATGGATATAGGATTACGAATGTCATCGAAAATGGGCTAGAAAACGAAAAAACTTGCTCAACTCCATTCTTGGATGTTGCCCAGGCGTTTGATAAGGTGTGGCACAGGGGCATTATCTGCAAACTATAGGTTCTACTGAGTAGGATATGTGCAATATTAGAATCGTATTTAAGACATCGAACATTTAGAGTCAAGCAGAAAGATGAATATTCGGACTTAAAAGTTATCGAAGTAAGTGTGTCTCAGGGTAGCGTACTAGGCCCCATTCCATTTTTATTATATACTCGGGATATACAGTATATTCTATAGCTACTTTCGCAGATGACACGGCAGTCCTAGTCCAGGGTAGCACAGTGCAGGAAAGTACAGCAAAATCTCAAAAATCACTTTTTTGAACAAAGACAAAGTTATGTTATGGATGCAAAAATGGAGAATATTTGTGAATGAAGACAAATCTATTAATGTTAATTTTAAAAACAGATCAAACAATAATATCCCAATAGTACTCCATAACCGGTCCTTGCCGTATGTCAATTAGGCGAAATATTTAGGTAAACTTGGACTCGAAACTCCGGCGGAAAGAGGACATCAAAAGGAAAAGAGAGTAGTTGAATATTACAATTAAAATTCTAAATTGGCTACTAGGAAGATATTCGGAAATAAATGTTCACAACAAATTACTGTTTTGCTAACAAGTTCATGAACATAAAACCAATCTGGACTTACGGGGTTACCAATCTATAAAATCCATTTAAAGCAGGGTCTTGCGCGACATAGTTAAGGCCCCTGGGTACTTGAGAAATGGTACTATTCATAGGGACTTAAACGTGAAGTAGTAGAAATTCGCAAATACTCATTAAAACACCAAGTTAGAATCCAAAATCACCAGAACAACGAAGTGCGTGAAATAATAACTAACAGCGACTAAAAGACTTGGCGCCTGAAAAGAAGGAAGCCCACAATCTAGGGATGTAAAAGAGTAATTAGATAATTGGGGTTACTATCAGTGGATAGTATCAGTAGATTTTCTCCGCTCAACTTTTTGAGCGGAAGATTATTATAATTGCTCGTTAGGTAACCTCAGAACTTAGTTGCAATAACCAACAATTAATAAAAAAAGAAAAACAAAAACACATCGTATAATTTGCAGCTATTTGTTTATCAACATATTCTGTCTTTAGGCAATAATAACCCGGTTAGGCCTAGACAATGGGTACTAGAAATAGACCGACTAAGCCTAGACTGGCATTGCAAAAAATATTTTATCTTCTTTACATTTTCCTTCACTATAAAGTACTGGAGCACAAAATATTTTTATAATTTAAATAATAACAAATTCGTATTTATATATAAATATAAATAGTCCTTTACTAGCCCTTTCACAAACTGTTCATTTGAAGCCTCTATCTTTTTCGGAAGAGAAGTTATAAGCAAAAAAGCTTGAGCAAGTAAAAAATTCTTTAAAATCCCTGTATCGGAAAAAATTGAATTTTGTCAATTAGTTCCACACAAAAATTTTACCCTTTTCTGATGCCCTCAACCAGGTATGTCAAACTCATTATCATCACGGGCCATTTTAGGGTTTCCGAACATTGCTATGGGCCGCGCAATGAAAAAACTTATGCTACTATACTCAAATACACTCACTCATATTTTGTTAGTCGCATCACTCGAGGTGATAGGGTATTATTGAAAAGTGTTTTGGTTTTTAGTATAAAATTTCAACTTTTGGAAAATATTTTATGCTGAAAAACTCAAAATGTTTGAATAACAACTCATCGGGACAAGTGATACAAATATGAGTGTTTGATTTTTATTGTCAACATAAAAATAAATAAAACATACAATAATACAGCCATACAAAAAAATATAAAATCATTTTGTTTAAAGAAATTTAGCAACGTTTTTCTGTTACTAATCTTCGAAATTTGGTTGAATTTAATTCACAGTTGCAATTTTTAATATTTTTAATATTGATTGAACATGTTGATCTGTTAATCTTAATCTTTCAGCCCTAATTCAGATTAAATTATGTGCAATAATCGTTGTCTTTGAATAATATTTTGGAAAAAAGCTAATAATATGTATTTCTGGAAATTTTTCCATCAACTTATCGACCAAAAATGGATTAAGTGTCCGTGACTCATTTTGACATCTATTAAATTCTAAAAATCTTTCAAATCGGTTTTCAATAATTTATTCTAATTAGAATATTCAGAAAATTTCGAATTTACTTAACTAGTCTACTGTATACAAATATGAGAAAATTAAACTAGTTCAAGTATATAAGTATTTGATTAAAAAAAAAAACATTTCCACTTCCCAAAACGCAAAAATACAAATAATTCTAATAATAAGAAAGAAATGTCATCAGAAAAATATGTACAAAATATTTTTTCGACGATAAAAAATTCTAGGAAAACCTAAAAATGGGCCTTACCTGCTTTCAATTTGGGGTTAAAATATTTTTTGTACTGCCAGTCTAGCATTAATTGGTCTATTGCTATTAGTAGATATTATGTTTAGCAACGTTTTAGACGTTTCTTATGATAAATTGTAGATAGTGTATTAAATACCAATAAATAATAAACGTTGTTGTTATATGTAAAGTGTAAATAAGTAAGGAATATTAAAGGAAGTGTGAATATAAAAAAGTCAAGATGAATGAAGTATGGAAGAAATGGTGCAGATTGTGCGGTTGCAACAAAATCAAAGATTTTGATGTCAAGATCCACTTCGTAAGCATTAATGAAACTGTTTATACAGCTGCTCTGAAATACTTTGGAATATTGGTGCGTAGAAAACATAATTGTATTGTTAACCCAAACTATATGTATATAAAACTTGAACCAATTTTAGATTTCAAAAAATGATGATAACAGTAAAGTTTGCCATATGTGCGATAATGCTGTAAAATCTATCATCAAATATAACGATCATGTATTAAAAGTCAATGAAATGTTCATAGATTTGGAAAAAAACTACACTAATAAAAATGTTGATATAAGCTTTTTGAAAGAAAAATATGGTTTGTTTAATGAAGATAATCTTTTGCATAATCACATAATCAATGGAATTACTAACATTTCTACTTCGGAAACAAAAAATAACGTTCAAATTAAATCAGAATTCAGTATTTCTCCAAAAGTTAATAAAACTGAGGAATGTTATAATGAAATAAGCGGTGTTAATGATTGTTTTGAACAAGTTAAAGAAAGGTTCAATCAAAACGCTTGGAATAACATAGAAGTCGAATCTGAAAAGCCTCTTGAAAACAGAGTCTTAGGGGTGAACGATAGCACAGGTAAAAAAGAAAACTTAAAATGCGAAATATGTTGTAAAGTATTTCAATCCACTAAGGGAAGAACAATTCATATGAAAAAACAGCATTCAATTAAAAAAGGTCCCCCGTTTACATGCAATACTTGTGGTAGAATATTCAAGAGATTTCAGCAGCTTAACATTCACGAATCTATTCATTTATCAGAAAAAGAACGAAAATTTTACTTTTGTCCAAAGTGTAATAAAAAGTTTGTTAGTGAGTGGTACGTTCAAGATCATATAAGAATAGTTCATGATGGTGATAGACGTTTTATTTGCGAACTTTGCGGTGCTGCATTTGGAACAAATAAAAATTTACTAGACCATCATTTAACACATTCTGAAGAAAAGAAATTTCATTGTTCAAAATGTAACAAAGCATTCAAGTGCAAACGAACACTAAAGGTAGATACATAATTGCTTTATTCTAATATAGCAAAAGATTTATATATATAATTTTTAGTTTCATGTTGAAACTCATGATGAAACCGAGTATCCTTGTCACTTGTGCGGTTTAAAACTAAATACTAAAAGAATTTTACGTCGCCATATGCTCGTTCATTCTGATGAAAATAAGTACAAATGTAATTTCTGCTCAAAAGAATTTAAAAGACAGTACGAATTCAAAAATCATTTGTTACTTCACACTGGTCTTAAGCTTTACCAATGTTCATTTTGCGAATTGACATTTTCGAATGGTTCAAATTGCCGCAAACATCAAAGAGCTATTCATTCCATTGAGCTAGCAAATGCAGAATCGAAAGGAACGCTAATACTAGTAGAGAATGTGCCTAGTTTCAAACAGCTAATGGCAGCAAATGAAGAAGCATTAATAAGAAACAAATCTTAGTTCATAAAGGTTTTTTCAATATACAAACAATGGAATTAAATTATTGTTAATTTAAAAAGTAACATAAATTTGTATGGCAATAAAATTTTAACTTATTCGAAGAAGATTTTCCTTAGAACAAATCTTACACATCTAAGTTAGAAATCTAATTAGGTTTTGAGAATTTTTCAATGTTATTCTATACATATATACATATTTCATTCTTATTTTATACATATTGGATATATCATACTTAATTGTAAACATTTGAAATAAGCCTAAAGCGGCTTTTTACATTGTTAAATATCTATTTACAAATAGAAAATATGTATATACGAGTAAATTATGTATGTATGTATCAAAATTCTGTAATTTCAAAATCAAACTTGAATTTTGAAATTTCTTTACTAAAACACAATTGAATAACATTGCCCATCACTTCAAATGAGGAGTAATCAAATATGAATGATAGAATAAAGTATGACGTTTAATGTATTTATAATTCTTTAGATTTATTTATGGTATGTTAAATAAAAACTAAAATCCAAATAAATATTATTCAATTTTTATAGCATTTTCTAAAATTAATATTGAATTTGGTGTATTAGTTTTCGATCTTTCATACTCTGTTTCACAATCAGTCAATGCGCCATTATTGACTGCTCTGAGTTGTTCTATTTTTGGAACATTTTTGCATACCCTTTTTACTCCTTCAGCTTCAGCGGCAGCTAACTCAATTGGATGTGTAGTTTTTTGATGTTTCCTACAGTTTGAACCATTAGCAAATGTTAAATCGCAAAACGGACATTCGTAGGGTTTCAGTCCTGTATGTAGTATTAGGTGGTGTTTAAATGCGTCTGGTCTTTTAAATTCCTTTTCACAAAAATTACACTTATATTTTTTTTCATCAGAATGGACCACCATATGACGTCTTAACAAAGCTCGCGAATTTAATTGTGTTCCACAAATAGAGCATATGAATTTATGGTTTTCATGTGATTCTAGATGTAGCTGAATGTATATAACATTATCATTTTTTGTTGTAGTTATAAATAATTTTTTAATTGTAATGCATAAATTTCTTTAATTACCTTCAAAGTTGGCAAACGTTTAAAAGATTTTGGACATTTTGAGCATTTGAAAGGTTTGTCTTCCGTATGAACAACTTTGTGCGAATTTAATGCATCAACAGTCACATATCTTAAAATAAATTGCAAATTTATAACTATGTTATATACTACAACAGAGAAATTTAAATTTAACATACCCTTTACCACATTCTTCACAGATAAATGACTTTTCACGAACGTGAACAACCTTGACATGGGCATTTAGATTTCCTTCTGAGAAAAATTTTTTATCACATTGCACGCAAGGAAAAGTTCTTCTTTCGTCAGGAGGTAAATGGGTCACTTCATGTTTCTGGTGATCTGATATAGCTTTAAAGAGTTTTCCGCAAAATTTACAAGGTAACGGTTCCGTAACAAGGGAATGTTTTGCTTTTAAGTGAAATGTATATCCTCCCTTATTCAAAAATTTCTTTTTACACAATTCACATTCTACAACAGGCTCCTTACATGAATTATCTTCTTTGAATGTTTTCTTATATTTCTCTCGTTTTCTATGATATTTTTTGAGTTTTGTATTGTTTTTTCTATTTGCTCTTTCACAAGCTACACAATTTTCTTGGCCTACTTGAGGGCCCTGTTCTGTATTATTTATATTTTCGTTTGTACTTGGAAATTCTTTTAAATAATTGTCTTCTATTGCAACATCTTCGATTATAATACTATTTTCATCAAAGAACGTTGTTTCACCCCCTATGTCGTTGTTAATTTTATCGATTCCATGATTGATTTTGGTTTGATGTTCATTTTCAAATTCAGTTTTGCAATCAAACCGAGAGTCTCGAATAACTGACACACCATACTTCGTCCTTATTTCGCTTAAATCTACCACAATGTCAAATTTATGACTAAATTGCAAATCGCAGAACATTTCTTGAACTTTATGAACTTGTAAAAAATAATGTATTATTTCACTCAAAAATTGGTGGCATCGCTTACATATTTTAGTAGGAGCTTCATCATAATTATAAATCTAGAAAGTATCGAAATTTATAAATGTATATATGTATTTCATACAAGGAGTAAAGTTTTACACTGATAGAAAGGAATTTTTGAACTGCCTCTGCTAATGTTGAAAAATTTTCCTCCTTTATGAAAACATCTATTTGGGAGTTATCCTTTCCACACAAGCGGCACCAATTTTTCCATGTTTTCGCCATTTTTATTAAAAATAATTTTTAATAATTCAACTCAAGATATAGCATATGTACATATTAAAAATTTTAGCATATAGCAGTATTTTGTTAGCAACAAAAGTTTGTTTGTTTACAAATACTGTTTTTTTTTTTTGATAAAATCAAAAAGGGACATCTGTAATATTCATTTTTGTAAAAAAGTTTGGTGGGACGGAAGAACGCCAAAATATAATAAATTAATCTAGTACAAAGTATAACCAAAAATTTTACGATATAAGACACAATAAGATTCTTTCTCAAGTACGACAACTGTCAAATGGTTATTTCAAATAGGTTTTTTTTCTTAAAAAATCATCGACACCAGTATAAGAAAGTAAAAGTAAACAAAGATTTATGATTTTATATAAATGTATCAAGTTGAAATACATTTCTTATTCATTATTAAATATGAACGTACTCTTAATTAATAATAATACTAAAGAAGCTATCATACAGAAAAAAACATTTAATTTATATTGAACAACTTTGTTAAACTGTGACAGAGGCGTGTTTTTGGTTTTTTATATCTTATTTTATAAAGTACGTGTAAAGTTAAATGTCTGTTTATATATCAAAATAAAAATCAGCTGATCCCTGCTTCGAACTTTCCCAAAAATTAATTGTGCAATTTTAATCGACGGAATAATTTAAGTGCACCAATTTTGACGTGATGACAAATGTCAAATACATCGCATGTTTTTTCGGTAAAACTTTTCATACGGCCTGATAATTTTTTATCATATCAATATTTACAATCTATAGTATTCGATAAGTCGTCACGTTAAGGTCTTTTGGCTGAAATGTACAATAAATAAAATAGAAAGGTCGGTAAATCCTAGTAGATATAAAGGTTACTTAATTAATTTTATCCTAAAATTTTTACTTTGTTCAAATTTATATCATACATATCTTACTCGTTTCCGGACAGGCATCGTTTATATCTGTCACGTTTTTAAATTCATCGTAACAGCCGCTTTACCCAGGCCCTTGATATGTATCAAGGATCGGATTTCCCTTAATGAAATTCATGTAAGTTCTGTGGCCCAACCTTCTCCGTGTTTTCTCCTCGCCAAAGGGAAGTCATTTATTTCAATGAGAAGTGATTTGAAGAAGTAGTACAATTAGCTTGTCATGAAAAGCTTTAACTTCTAATGGTACAAGAATTTGCAAGTATGAATACGCGGTGACCGGAACAATGTCAGCACAAAAGTAGAAATCGTCCCCATTGTTGAACATTGAGTCGCTGGTCGAACCGCCGCCAATATATCGTAAGTGATGAGGGGTTTAGAATAGGCCATGTATACCTGCGGTATTATACGATTGCTCCTTGAAGTCCTGCCTACTGAGCTAAGATAACTTTGTCCATATGGGTGTTGCAGGACAGGCGATTATTCAGGACTGTCCCTAATTACTTCATCCCTCTACAATAAGTAATACATATGTTCGCCAAACAGAATTGACTGTAAGTTTCCCTCAATACAAACAGTATGTTATCCAGTAACACGAATGTTGCATGTTGTACGTGCTTTTTTAAGTGCATTGATGTTTGTAATTAATTTTATCATAAAAAATATTTTTTCTTTGCGAACTTGTTTATTTGTATCCCAATTTGATATTTGAAACTAAAAAAATGGTTGCCAAAGTTTTAAGTAAAGTTAATAAATAGAAAATTTTTTTCAAAGAATTTTTTGTTTCATATGCTCCATCATTTGCTTTAATTCGTGAAATTTTGGGACATTTTTGCTATGAACTTTTAAACCTTTCGCTTCCATTTCGGCAAATTCTGCTGGGTGCGCATGCTTTTCATGTTTCTTACAATTTGAACGATTTGCGTAAGACACATCACAAAACGAACAATGATATGGTTTTAAACCTGTGTGGGTTAACATATGAGCTCTTAAGTTACGTCGGCATCGAAATGCATTTTCACATAGGGGGCATTTGAAATTCTTCACATCAGTATGTATTGACATATGCTCCTTTAATGACTGGTTATTTTTTAGCCTTAAATTACAAATTAAGCATGGAACATTAAAATTTTCATGAGTTTTCATATGCACCTAAAACACAGAATGAGTAAGTAGTCTTTTTTGTTTGGTTCCATATAAATTGAAAGTTCTTACTTTTAATCTTTTTATATTTTTAAATAATTGAGAGCATAATTCACATTTGTGCGTAGCTTCCGTATGAACAAGTTTGTGATCTTCCTAAAAATTAATAAAAATTGAAAAAATCATCCTTATTATAATACTCAGATTTACTAAAGATCTTTTTGATGTTGTTCCTTTACCACAAACTTCGCATACAAATGGTCTTTCTTTTAAATGAACAATTTTAATGTGTGCTTCTAATAAATATTCATTTAGAAATTTCTTGTTACATTGTGTGCACGGAAATAAATTTCTTTGATCTTTAGGTAAATGGATTTCTTCATGCTTAGTTAAAGCCATTTTTTGTGTAAAAGTTTTGGAGCAAATACTACATTCGTATAATTTTGGCTCTTCAATTTCTGCATTCTCATGTTTTTTTTGCATGTGGGAAACATATGCCCCACGGTTTCCACAGCTTTTACCACATAATTTGCAAATAATTTTGTCATCAGCACTTTTTTGTCGATTTTTAGGTGGAGGTTCCCTTATGATATTATGCTTTTTCTTTAAATGAAGCAAATACCGCGATATTTGAGCAAAAACTTTTGGACATATCTCGCACTGAATTGTATCTACTCTAATCAATTTTTTTGTTTCTTTCTTTTTTTCAATATGATTGCTAATTAGTGCATCTTCATTGAAGTTTTCCATTTTGATTAAACTGCTTGTCATCATTTCATGATGATTAATCCAATTTTCATTTCCAAGTACTTGATCGAAATCATTGTCTAAAATATCGACTGATTCGTTTTCTTTAGATTTGGATAATTCTGGCTTTGTTTTACAATTCATTTCCACTATTTCATCTAATCCAAATTTAGTTCGGAAACTGTTTAAGTCGATTTTGTTTCCAAGTTTTTCTTCGTGATCCATTTCCAAATACATTAACTGTAAATTTTGAACTTGTTGCCCAAAATTCGACAAAGCTGTTAAAAAATTCCTGCAATCTAAGCATAATGTTTGGGGCATTCTTTCATCCTCCATCTACAATAATTAATGTATTATTTTTGACTATACATTTACATATACCCTTGTGTAAATTATTTTAATAACAAGAACTTACACTCAAAACAAAGTACTGTGAAATTATATTTTTTAAATAATTATCATTTTCATTCTTAACTATTTGATCTGCAGTTAGTTTATTTGGGCGGCCACATAAACGACACCAATCTTTCCAAATTTCTACCATTCCAAAATGTTATTTTCGTAAGGGTTTTTTTAAATAAATAAACAATTTTTTGCAATATTCAACCATCAATGTCAATTTTGACAATCCACCTAGCGACTTTCTTGCGTAACTGCGTAATGAAATCAAATTAAGTTGAAAACAGAACAAGAGCGATATACATATTTAAATGGTGCTAGCCTAAATTGTTAAATTACTAGAATCAAGCGAAATTATCGCCGCGATTAAATAATAAGAACCGCCGGCGGGTTTTTATTTTACCGCAGGCGGAATTTCAATTAATAAGGAAGCACAAAGTGTTTGGCAAACATACATAAGTTATACCACTTTTTATGCTCAGTCGAGACATAATGTAAGACGGTTTTTTTTTGAGGTAAAAACGAGAACGCCTGTTGACAGTTGTAAAAGTAATTTGGTTCTTTTTTATTTCACGAAAGAGTGAAAAAGAAAGATAAACAAGCTGGCAACCATCTGCCAACGGATTTTGTTTTTATAAAATACGTGAAATAGTTGTTTGGATTTGTAGCTGCTATTTAACAAATTTTGATTGATATTTATGTTTAAAAATGTATATAAAATCAGTAATTATTGATGGTTTTAAATCTTATGGAAGGAGAACAGAAATACATGGATTCGATCCAGAATTTACTGCTATTACAGGTTTGAACGGTACCGGCAAATCAAATATTTTAGATGCTATTTGTTTTGTTTTGGGAATAAGTAATTTGAGTCAAGTAGGTATTATAACTTATAGGAAATTTGGCAAAAGTTCAATTTGAATTTCAATTAATAAGGTACGAGCAACATCTCTTCAAGATCTCGTCTTTAAAAGTGGCCAAGCTGGTGTAACAAAAGCAACCGTTACACTAATATTTGATAATACAGATAAGGATCAATGTCCATTAGGTTATGAGAAATGTCTCGAAATATCTGTTACAAGACAAATCGTAGTTGGCGGGAAGAACAAGTACTTAATTAATGGAAAAAATGTTCAGAATAAAAAGGTTGCAGATCTCTTCTGTTCTGTACAACTTAATGTGAATAATCCCAGTTTCCTAATAATGCAGGGACGAATCACAAAAGTTTTAAATATGAAGCCACAAGAAGTAAGAAAAAATAAGATTTGTAAGAATATGATTTTTTAATGGTAAATTTATCTTAGACACTTTCAATGATAGAAGAAGCTGCTGGAACAAGTATGTATGAAAGCAAAAAAGTTGAAACTACGAGACTAATAGAAAAAAAAGATGTAAAAGTAAGGGAAACAGACACTTTATTGAAAGAAGAAGTGGAACCTCGATTAGAAAAATTAAGAACAGAGACAGCAGCTTATCAGGAATTTCAGAAAATCACAAGAGACATTGAATATTTAACACGGATTCATATTTCCTTTAAATATCTTAAATGTAAGGAAGCGTTACAAGAAACTGAGAAAAACATTCAAAAGATAGACAATCATATAACAAATTGCAAATTAAAAATAACGGAAAATCAATCTGAAATTAAAAAATGCGAAGAAATAGCTGAGATAATTCAACACAAAATCGATAACGAAAGTGGAGGAGAATTAGCTGTTCTAGAGGAAAAACTTTCTAGTAAATCGTCTCAAGAAGCAAAATCTAATGGTGAAATAAAAGCATTACAGGCAAATATTGATCAAGAAAATAAAAAAGTCAAAGCTTTAAAAAAAAGTATTGAAGATGATAATGATGCTTTAATCAAAACCATGAGTAAAATGGAAAAAGTTAAAGATCTTTTTCAAAGTTTGAAAGATGCAGATGAAAAAGATTCAAAAATTTATGAAGAGTCTCAAAAAAAATTCGAAGCACTTACACAAGGTTTATCAACAAATGAGGAAGGCGAAGCTAGTTCTTTGCAAGATCAATTAATAAGTGAACTTGTAAATTTATTAACATAGCATAAATTTATAATTTGAATATGTTTTTAGACGCAAAAAAACAAGTAAGTGAAGCTCAAACAGCAATAAAAACTTCTGAAATGGAATTGAAACATACAAAACAAATATTAAAGCAGAAACAAAGTGAAACTCAAGTGAACGATGCTGCTTATTTGAAGGACAAAAAATTACTCAACCAAATTGAAAATGATCTTGAGCGAATAAGTGTATGTATTTTTTATACTGTAATAAGCAGGGTACTTTATAAATATTTTCAGGCTGATATGTCAAAATTAAACTATCAAGATGGATTTCTAGAAAATTTGGAAGAAAAAAGTGACGCTGTTAGTCAGGAAATAAGAAATTTGAAACAACAGCTAGATAGGAAAAATGCATACCAGTATGAGCTGCAATACCGTGATCCAGAGCCAAATTTCGATAGAAATAAAGTTCGTGGAATGGTTGGAAAACTTTTTAAAGTTAAAGATAGTACAAATAATTTAGCATTGCAAATAACTTCTGGAGGAATGGTGAATTGTTATAAAATAAATTTTTGTCATATTTTAATAAAAATATGGTTTTCAGTTAAGAAATTTCGTAACTGATGATGATATAACGAGTAAAAAAATATTGGAGAAAGGTCAACTTCAACATAGAGTTGTTTTTATCCCCATCAATAAAATTACGTCCTATGTAATAGATCCGGCAACAGTACAATTTGCTCAAAATTTAGTTGGCAAACAAAATGTAGAATCTGCACTTAATTTAATTCAGTACGACAAACGATATGATCCAGTAATGAAATATGTTTTTGGAAGCACATTAATTTGCAAAGACATGAACATAGCAAAAAAGGTTAGTGTTATTTCAACTACATATTATATTCAATTTTATATTTTAATATAAAATAATCTAGTTTTTTTTTACATAGTGATAATTTCTATTTATTTGTCATTACATGTATAATAATGAAGAGTCTTTGTATTTCGATGTATATTCAGTGTCGCAATCAATTTTGATTTCTTGAAAAAGTTTCAATATAGGTTTTGCAATAAAAGCGTCCAATTCATTAAGTGGGTCTGTGTAGGCTATGTAACATGAATAATGTTGATTATTCAAAAATCGAATAGTCGCAACTAAAATAATTAAATTTATAGTAAATCACATATTCTATACATTTTAATAAATGAGTACCTCCTGCTGCAATTCCAGTAATAAAATTGGGAGATTTTATTTCTGTAATCCAATCTATTTCTGAATTTATACTTCGTATTATCACTAAGCTATTAAAAACGTCCTTAGTTTCTTCATTTTTATAATGAATTTTCGATTGTAAAGAAAATGTGTATACTTTTTCGGATATTTCAAGAAATTTTTTAAAATATTTTGCAACAACGGCAGAAATATTTAAATTATTTTCTAAAGAGAATAAGATTATTTGATTCCTGGTTTGCACGTGGTACATCAATACATTCTTATTTTTCAATCCCCCTATTGGCCTTTGACGTTTTATTAAGGCAGATTCCAAAAAGTCTTGCATACCGGTTCCTTCGATAACATAAAATGTAGATATGCTGGCGTAGCTTGGTTCATTTTTGTCTTCTGTGTACCATTCCCATTCAATACTGAAAAGGTTGAGTTGTTTAGAAATAATATTAAACAAATATAATTTTCGAACAGTGAAAAGTGTTTGTCATCGCTTTCATTTGTTTCTGAAATATCATAATCGAAATCATCCCAAAATGCTCTTGACGATGGTTCCAAAATTTCACCAAAATCGACCATTGTTATAATTATTAAATATTTTGTTTGCAATATGGATGGCAGTTTTGCATTTGTTTATTTAATTTTAATGATCAAAAATAATGTCTTGATAAACTATTTTTTGAACAGTATTGCCAGGTTTTAGTTAAAACTGCATAACAATAAATCATCATCAGTGTAGCCAATATTATTTTTCGTTTAAATCAAAAACAATTTCATTTCGCTTTCCATAATTCCATTTAGTACTTGTTTGAGCATTTTTGTACAGTGTAAATGGCAGGGGTGCTCCCCAGTGATGCCAATATTATAGAAAGTGCAAAAATTCAGAATCAAAGATTAATTTCGGTCTTATATTTTTATTTTTCATAATAAAATAAAATAAAAACATTAATGTTATAAATTAAACAACAAAAACTTTTTCAATGTTCATAAAAAGAGTCGCATACAGTTCGTCCGGGTGCAGCACAACCAAAATGCACAAAAATGTACAATTTGCATTGGGAAAATGCCTCTATTTGCAGGGGAAAAAATGAGAAGAGTTGGATATTAGGGATTTATTTTGTTAATAGGTCATGAGTGTTGCTTTATTTTTTTGTATGAAAATGGCCTTATTTTTGAAAGAGGTCGTTACTCTTGGAATGTGCACATTAGTACCGTGAGAGACATTTTTCCAATGCAAATTGTACATTTTTGTGCATTTTGGTGGTGCTGCATCCGGACGAACTGTATGCTACTCTGCAATATGTATGATATGTAGATATACCACTTCGTTCCTCAATACACTTCAATACTGAAAGATGTAGTTTTCTTCTAATTTCGACAAATTTGTACCATGAATTCAAAACAAGTTCCGATCGGAAAGAACTCTGATAAACTTTTTCTAAGGAAAAAAACTAATAATTTTGTCAATTATTTCTGGTCAGCAGTCTTTCTTCCTCCGCAATACTTTCAGAAAAAATAATTCAAATAGATGTTGTAGTATTTATATGTATGTATATTGTAAATTTGTTTTATAATAAATTAATAATAATAAAATTATTTTTTAATTTTTGCGCGACTCAGTTTAAATTTTCGAAAAACATCTTGAACTTTCCGAACAAAACCATCTGTTTTCTAGTGAAATATAAAATTTTAATATTAAAAAAAGTTTTATTTGTAATAAGAATGTTCGGAAATGTTTCGTCAGAATATTCAATAAGGGCATTAATTACTACATAATTATGTATAAAATTGATTTTATACATATGATAGATTATAATTGCTTTTATACATATGATAGATTAAAATTAAATTAGGTTAATGTTTAATTGGTTAAAATATTTTTTACAAGTTTTTTTTTTTTGCATAAAATCGTTTTGTATGTATATTTTTGTTGATTTTTAAAAATTAACTTATTGGAAAAAAGGAACTGCACCTTCAAGTTCCTCTTTTGATGTGCATAAATTTATTTCCGGAAGCACTTTCAATAAACTTCGCAAGAACATTTGTAATCGTTGCCTTCTTTCTTCTATAAATGATGCATTCTAAAAATACTTGAGGTTCGATTAGTGTATCAATAGTTGTTTACTTTACTTTACCATATTTCCTAATTTTTTTTTGGGGGGAAAATCTATTGTTTTAACTAGATGATTATGTTTTTTAAGCATGTTTTGATACAATTTGTAAAAGTCACTATACCGCTTAGAAATAATCCATGATTCTTGTTCCCTTGAGATTATGTGAATTTCATAAATATAATGTTTTGAACTTCTTTCTGTTACTAATTTAACTTTAGGTATTGTAACACTAAAATTTCCAAAGTCATTGTCAATGTAATTTTTTAATTTTTGCAGACGATGATTTTCTCTAAAAATAATCAATACATTAATTATAACGTTCTTCAAGTAAATAAGTGAAATTGGTAAAAATATTTACAAACTCAATTCAGCTACTCTACTCTCTAAAAATTTACAACGATCTGTCATTATTTTCAATTGTTCTTCCAAATTTTTTATTTTCTCCTGCTCATTTTTCCCAGATACATTCGATGATGTATGACTTACAGATATATTGATTCCAGAATAACTGGCACTTTTACTTAAGTCTGAAGAAGATTCACTTTCGAAGTATTCTTTTTCACTTGAATCACCCTCATAAAAAATTTGGCCACCTAAACTATGAAGGTAATCTTTAATCTTTGTTGTTTTACCGCTTTGAGCATTTTCACTATTTTCTATGGAAAATTTATCACAGTTAATTGAGGTATCTTGAATTAAATTGTTGTCTGCCTTGACTTCATATGAATCAGATTCTCCATTGTAATTAATTTTATAAGCATCGTTTATACTGTCTAAAATTTTTACCGCATCTTGAACGTCAATATCATCTTCAAACGAAAGGATATCCCTTTCTATGGCTGGAGCTTTTTTATTTGTAGTTGAAGGCGTTGGAGCATATATAACTGGTTCTTCTAATATTTGTGTTCTGCCAATATTTAAGCTTTTACAATCGATATTAATAGCAAATATAATAGTGCTTAGTCCATCTGCTAAGTTTGGTAGTAAATTAGTAACTTCAGAGTTGATCATAGGAGCATTAGGTTCGTAGATATCTTTAAGTGTAGAATCACTTAACCATGTGCATATGTATCGCTGCAACGAATGTTCGTTAAGGGAAGCGCGAATTAGTGCCCTTATTTTTCCGTCTTTGGTTGAAATCTAAAAAAGGTTTTGTAATGAATACATAGTAAAAGTGATTTTTCTTACTTATAATAAAGGATAAATTATTTTAGAAATAAGAAAGTATAATTATTTAAATTCGTTCTAAATGAAATGATTAAATTACCTTTCTGAATAATTTTTAAATTTATGACATTAAAAAATATACGTTAATCAATCATATTGAAATGAAATTTCCTTCGATTCGAAAAAGACTCTTTATTTGTGCTATCTATGTATATGCGCAACATACGCACATATTAGCACAAATAAAATGTTTTTTTGAATTAAAATGTTTCTTCATTTAAATATTTTTGGTAAAATTTCAGATTGTACAAAACTTTTTTATAATGCGAAATTTTCTTAATGTAAAATATAGGTATTAACGCCACTTACATTCCTTAAATTTTCAAATCTTTCTCTTTCATGTTTGGATAAGTGTTTTTTACAAAAATCCCAAAAAGAAAATGATTGTGTAACTGTTCCAGATACTACATCTTGCACACTTTTAACTAAGTCAGAAAAATCGCTGATAGGTTTTAAACGTAGACCGGAATTAAATATATCCTCCCAAAGATTGCACAATTTTAGAATAAGTTCATCATTTTCAGTCGCAAGTTCCTTTTTGTTGGAATATTTTGTCTGACACAACCTTACCACCTTAAAAATTAAAAGATGTTTTAAAATTTTTATTTTATTTTCATAAAAAAAATCCTAACATCTATTAGTTTTGTTAAAACATCTGTTTCAATGGAGGAATTCATTTTCAATTTAATTAAAAATATTCATAATACAAAATACATTTGTTATGACAAGTAACCAAGTTGTTATGTATGTATGTATGAATGTTGTTATGACAACTTGCATGCATTGTGGAAATGTATGATTGATAATAAAAACATGTGTTCATTCAATAGTCAATTGCAATCAATTTATAGAGGTCATGTTGAACCAAAAAAAACGATAAGACGAAAAATCAAATAAAATAATGCCTTTTCAAAAATTTTTTGATAATTGCTGATTTTGGAAAACGCAAGCATGTGATGTATTTTCTATTTTCTAGTTTTCAATAAAGCCCTGTGTATTTATCAGGCCACCAAGCTGCAATTATTTTCCGTAATTTTGCAATCGGAAAAAATTACAAAATCAATTATTAATGTTTTATATTTTCGAAGTATTCCGAATTCCGATTGAAATATTTTTTTGTGAACTTTTTGAGTATTTGTTGTGGCTCTCACGTTATTTAATAAAGTTTTAAAAGCGATTTAGATTATGATATATTTTATTTTTTTTTTCTTTTTTTTTAAATTTTATTTCTTATCATGGCTGACCGATTTTTTGTAATTTAAAGTTTCATATTCCAAAATTTTACCCTGTAATTCAGTATCCTTCCATTTGGAAGACAAGAAAGGTCTTTTGCGTTAAAAATTGCATTTTTTTTAATTTAAGTTTTAAATTAAAAAAATATGTAGAATGAGTAGAGCTAAAAATATTAACCAATTTTCTTCACACAAATAATTTCCGACATCTCTTCTTTTTAAACTTTATATAAATTTGGAATTTTTTATGAGTTATTCTCTGAGCTTGGTGGCCCGATAGATGTATATGGCATCTAAGTTTTAAATACTCATCAGTGGATGATAAACCCATAACCCCCATATTGAACCAGAAACCCAGAAGATTTACTAAATAGGAATTATTTTCTTAATTGCAATATCACTTAAAATAAAAAAAAATGTTGAATCAAATTTTCATTGCTTTAGGCGGTGGTCATTATAGTTATCAGAAAAATGAACAATTTTTTATATTCTGGTCTGAATGTTCGTTATAGACTTAGTAATCATAAGTATGGTCTTTTCGAATATTCATTTCTAACTTAGTTCTTAAGTGAAGTTTGTTTGTTCATTAAAAACTGTCACAACTGCAAAAAAAGTTTAAAACTTTTCACAGTTATTTGAATATTCAGTGAATGAAAGCTTTTTCAGAAATTTGTTTACAGTTTCTGTTTTATGAATGCTTGAGCAGATATTTAAGCTTTCTAAGAGCAGCTTTTTAAACCATAACCATTTTTAGGTCTTTGAGGGGCTGTAACTTTTATAGGAGAGAAGATAGGCAAAAATTCTCTTCTACGGAAATTATTTTGTAGTAAATATCTATCTACGTGTGTAAACATGATCACAGTTGGACGGGCTTACAGGCAGAGTGAAACTAATTTTTTTTTGAAAAATTTTTTGGAAAAATGCAAAAAACCGACAAAAATTTTTTAATTATTTGACATTTAAATTTTTTTAAATTTTAATGGGCTTTTGCTACTTATATTCTTATATATACCGAAACTGTAAAGGAATCGTGGATTTTCAAACTATTGCTTTGTAAGGAAATGGTGGTTTTTGCTACACACATTACTGTGGAAATTTAGTGTTTTTGCGACTAATAGCAAACTTTAAACTACATTTTCTACGGAAAATAATGCGAGTTGTTACTTGTACTGTATACTAAATTGTAGCATGTATGTAGCTCTATTAACAAATATTTAAAATATTACATTAATAAATATTTTTACAAAGATTACTTTAAAAAGCAGTATTTTCACTTGTTGAGGGGAAAAGTGCTGCATTACAAACCATTGGGTTGGCTCAACTTTTTTTAACAAAGTACCCTGTCCGAACTAAAGATATATTTACATTCAGTAAAACATATTTATATCAAATAATAATGTTGTTGTTGTTGTTGTTTTCTAATGGAGTTAAAATTTTTGATTTAAATCATCTTCATTCTTGCTGCCCCTTGCTCACTCCATAAAATGTAGTTCATTTTGCTTTAGACGGGGTGCACCACGAGGAGGCGAACTACTTTACACCCCTCAAATAATAATGTTTAATGGGCAATTTTTATTTTTTTCTTACCAGATACCTACGGAACAATTTTTTTCATTCTATTTTTCAAAAACGGTTCTATTATCATTTTTTTTTTTTCAATTATTAAATGAGTTTTATGTTAAAGTTATAATCCCTCCTTGAACACGGAAAGCTCCATTGAACTTCTAAAAAAGCAAAAATATAACAGTAATCGTCCTACTACATGAAAGACTTTTCTTATATAAATGTAGTTCCTCATATAAAAATAATGTGCCTTAGCTAAACTTTATGTTATAATTATTCGAAAATTGTTACTCTAAGATTACTACTAATTCAAATATTCGTACATATATGTACACATGTATGTATGTATAGGCTCTGTAATAAAAAAAAATTAAGAATTTTTCCTAATGAAAATTTCTCATAAAATTTTGTCTAAATTTATGTTGTTTATGTAAAAATGTTGTGGTAATATTGGTAAGGAATAAATTATTTCAATATACAAAATCTTCCTTAATTGATCTGAAACTCTGGCTCTTTTTATTAAAGCATTTATATATGTATGAACATAAGAACATATATATATACTATGTATTTTATGCAAATTAACATTTATTGCTTTTACTAATGCCATATATGTACATATATCTATCGGGCCACCAAGCTGAGATTGTTTTTCGAAATTTTGAATCGGAAAAAAATTCAAAAACAATTCTTAATGTTTTATGTTTTCGAAGTATGCCGATTAAAATATTTTTTTATTTTTTATGTGAAAAATTTTGAGTATTCTTTGTGACTCTCACTTTGTCCTTCAATAATTATTTTTTTGCTTATTTGTTTTCAATTTCTTTTTAAGTTCAAATCGTTACTTGAAATATCCTTCCATTTGGAAGACAAGAAAGGTTGTCTGCATTAAAAATTGCAATTTGCATTTTTCAGATGGAATTTACCAACCGATTTTTTTTAAATATAAATTTAAAAAAAAAATGTAGAATCAGTAGAACTAAAAATACTGATTGTGTGAATCCTTCACTTCTAATAATTTTCGACACCCGTTATATTTAAACTCCATATAAATTTGGAATTTATTTTTGATTTACTCTCTGAGTGTTTGTATTTGGTGGCCGGATAGATATATAGAGCATTAGTTTTTACATACATATGCGTTAACACTAAAAAACACTAAATTCAACAGGTAACATATCATAAAAACATTATGTGTAGAACTGTTACCCTTGAAGGAGATATTTGCGATCCTGAGGGTACTCTTTCTGGTGGATCACGTCCAAAAGGTCCAAATTTAATTCAAGAAATGGCAGACATTCGTTTTATTGAGGAAAATTTGGTGACAAAAGAGCAAGAACTTAAGGAAATACAAAGAGAAATGGCGTAAGATATTAACAAATTTTGTTTAAAATTTTTTCATAAGTTTTTGGTGTATTTCAGGCAAGTTCAAAAACTGGCTAAATTTTATAATAATTTGAAACGAACTTTTGAATTGAGGCAACATGAGTTGAACGCTTGTAAAGATAGACTGGCGCAGACAAGTTTTCAACAGCATCAACGCGAAATTGACGAATTAACAGAAAAATCAAGTATGTTTTCACTTTTTAAATTTCATTTACATTTTAGGTTTTGTGATCCAGATATTTGTTCTGCAACTATAGCAATTTGATCTCAAATTATATAATAATGTTTGTATTACGATTCTACCATAACACAATAACAAACAACATATTATTTGTTTTTGTATTATTATAATAATATAATTATATTATAATAACATAGAAGTTACTAAATAATTGCATATACATATGTATATTCATATATCCACATGAATAATTTAATAGTTAACAAATAGTTTCGGATTTATTTTACATAATTTTTCTTTTACTCCACAAAAAAGAAAACGAAAATTTATGTTACATGGGTTTTTTACTGTAGGTGCAATTAAATTTTTTTTCTGTAAAAATTTTCAACCAATTTTGAGTTTCAATCAAGTTTGACTGGTTACATATTCTGTTGATTGGTGAATGACTTGATTATAGAGTAAAAAAATTAATTCAAAATTAATATTTTAATATTTCAGGTGCTTTAGAAAATGCGTTAAGCACAGCTCAAGAAAAGTTAAAAACCCAGTCTATTAAAGCTAAAGAAATTGAAGCAAAATTAAAAGATGCTAAAGGTTTTCGTGAGAGAGAATTGAAAGCTGCTTCAGATGCATTAAAAGCGGCAAAAAAGCAAAGTGAGGAAAGTAAAGCCAAGTGGAAAAAACATGAAGAAGAGTTTGAAACACTGCAATTAGAAATACAAGAAATTAAGAAAAGTAAAGAAAATTCGGAACATTCTTTAGAAAAAATGGAACAAAATTTACAAAAATTACAGGATGAAATTGCGACACTTAAAAGTAATTCAAAAGGAGTTGAGAATGAAGTAGCAGATTTAAAAAGTCAGATAAAAGAACAAAAAGACAAAATTAACTCGCAAAATAGAGAATTAAGGCAAAACTTGGCAAAAAAAGATAAAATGATAAAACAAATTCAAGAGTTTCAACTTGAAATAAAAAAGAAGGAAAATGAAATGACTAAAGTTAAAAATGATAACAAGGATGGCTTCAACAAAGTTACTGACTTAGAAAAAAAATATGGTTGGATAGTTGAAGATCGTGACTTTTTCGGTGTAAAAAACACACGATATGATTATGCAAGAGAAGATCCAGTTGAAGCTGGTAAAAAGCTGCAGAAATCAAAAGAATTAAAAGAAAAAATGGAAAGAAATATTAATTTAAAAGCTATCATATCGTTGCAACGTGAAGAAGAGCAATATAAAGAAACGATGAGAAGAAAAAAAATTGTCGAGCAAGACAAAGAAAAAATTAAGAATATTATCCACAAAATGGATGAACAGAAAAAAGAAAAAATTGAAAAAGCTTGGAAGGAGGTAAACACAAACTTTAGCGGTATATTTAGCACTTTATTACCGGGAGCCCAGGCTGAATTAAGAGCAACTTTAAATAATAATACTATAACTGGTTTAGAAATCAAAGTTGGGTTTAATAATGTTTGGAAAGAATCTCTTGGTGAGTTGAGTGGGGGCCAAAGATCTCTTGTAGCTTTGTCCTTAACACTAGCGATGCTTAAGTTTTCGCCTGCTCCATTGTACATTTTAGACGAAGTTGACGCGGCATTAGATATGTCTCATACTCAAAATATTGGAAATATGTTTAAAACGTATTTCAGGGACTCACAGTTTATTGTTGTGTCACTAAAAGATGGAATGTTTAATAACGCAAATGTTCTATTTCGAACTAGATTTGAAGAAGGCGTATCAGCTGTATCAAGAACTGTTAATAAATCCAGAAAATAGTTTTCGATATAAAAGAGGTCGTCTTGAAAGTCTTGATTGAATGTTACTTTTATACATAAATTTCAAGGAAGTTGCTCTCTAAATTTAAATAATGAAATAAATTGTATTAAAAACTAATTTTATTTTTTTAATCCTAAAAGTATTATTAGAATATTTCTATAATAATTAGCCTATGTTCTTATATTTTAGACATTTACATTTTCGAATTACGGAATATTTTGATTAAAGATTTCCATATCTTTGATAAATAGGAAAGTGTTGCGTGGGAAGAGAATTTACACCATGGTGTTGATTAATTAATGGTTGTTGTTGTTGTTGTTGGTGTTGGAGTTGTTGCAAGTTTTGCTGTTGGGGAAGAGGGATAAGTTGTTGCACTGAATGTAAAAGAGAATTATGTTGGACATTAAAATGATGATTTGAGTTATTCTGCTGGTTTTGATTAGTTTGCTGTAGATTTAATGGCGACGATGGTCCACCTAAGCTATTGCTATTTTGGGATTGCTGGGACACAGGTCGCTGATTGAATGGCTTCTCCAGTTCGAATAATTTTTCACGGTGTGGTTCTTGGGGTTGCGTTTCAACTTCAATAGGTTGTGGTACATTGCTTTCTTCAATGTTTTCCGGGGATACTTGTGTTTCTTGAGTTTTTGTGCTCCATTTTTTAAAAATAGCGATTATATCACTTTTTACCTCTAATTTTTTATATTCGGGAATTTTTTTCAATTCACCAACAAATGACATTAAAAAAAGTTCGTCTGAATCCATGTGTTTCTTTTTTTTCTTACCATGCTTTGCTATTTCGCACATTCCCTTATAAGTTCTGGATTTAATTTCCATTGATAATTTTGTTTTGGGTTGTATATAGTTTTGTGGACCGGTGTTATCGTCATTGGGAATATTTTCTTTTTTAATTCTTTTTTTATATTTTCTTTTAACTTTAACTGTCGTTGTTTCCCCTGGTATTGGAACTTCTTGATTTGTTGCCGCAGCATTAATTTGTGATGTAGAAGGTTGGTATTGTTCGATTGGCTGTTGTTGGTAGTCCATATTATAAGTATTGTAATTTGACATATTTTCCTGTTTGAAATTAGTCACTAAAGGAACATTATTACCTTGTCCTTGTGGTAATGTTCCATAATGACTATCAGCTTGACTGGCTTCAATTTCCATAATTTCGTTGTCTTCTTCATTTAATTCTGGTATTGGAGAGCCAGGATGACGCCTGCTAATCTCTTGCAACTTTTTTCGTGTCGATAATCGCAGGTTTTGCCATTGCTAAAACACTATTTTTATAAGAACGTTTTGATGAATAATAACCAAAAATTAACCTTTTTCCATTGTGCTACGTCTTTTGGAGGTCCTATTGCATTCAGTTCCATAGTAATTTTTTGCCATTGATATTTCCTATCTTTACCTTTTCCTTCGATATGTCTAGTATCTTTCATATGTTGGATTAAAAGGCGACGTTGGGTTTTTGTTGGCCTATCTTCTAACTTCGTTTTCTAAAAAAAGTAGGTTTTAACATTTCAATTTTTAACAGGCATAGAAAAAATTACATTTACCATATTCTTTCACTTATTTTTCTTTATTTAATAAAGTTTTTTCTAATATTTACGAACGTATTGTTTTTTTCTAATAGTTTGACTTTGACAATTGAGTTTCTGAAAATGCTAAAGTTTAAACTATACATATTTGACAATAACACTGTCATTATTGTATAATAAATGCCGCTATTGGAAAAAATCACGGGACAGTCGTTCTTTAATATGTTTTCAGAATGTCATAAAAAATTTTTGATATGTCTGTTTTTATTCATAGATAGTTTTACCGAAGCAACATTAGGAAAAAATATTTCCAACTCTACGAAAGTAGAATTTCCTTACATTAACATGATCATGTTAGTATTTTGAACTCAAGCTTCCCTCAAAGTAGGCAAAGGTATAGCAAAACTCTAGTTTTTGCAACAAGCAAATCACTTTATTCTTTAAAACGTCAACTTTGCTTTTAGTTTATATATGTTTTGTAGTACTACAATTACATACTATTCTTGTAAAAAAAACGTCAAATAAAAAGTGCTAAAAAAATTTCCTCAGCTTATTCAGAGGAACCAACGAACAACATAAAGAAAAATTAGTTATATTTCGCTAGAAATACATCTATTGAAAATTGAATAGCCAATGAATCAACCTTATATATTCCATAAAGTTGTAGAATATCATTGCCACATTCTATCAAAGGCCTTACATCATAGTCCCAAGTTATTGTTTGATGACGTCAAAGTATAAGTTGAAATTTATAAAACTTTCACGAAACAAAACTTATTATTTTTTATTAAGGTTCCAGTTACACGTCGGTTACTTTTTAATCTACGATAAAATCTGATATTTATATATCAGATTCTATTTATACTTTTATGTCAAGTAAGTAAGTTTCTATTTTTTTCGTCAGATTTTATGTGATGTCACATTTCGATAACGCAACAGATTATCATCAGATTCAGATTTAATTTTCATTAGACCTAAGTTGCCTGTTACAATTAAACTTAATCTACGATTAAATCGTTTTTTTTAATGATTAACACATTTCTGTCAAAAGTCTGAAAATGAATCTAATGTGTAAATGCTCATTAGAATAATTTAAATTAAATTAGATTTTTTCGCTAGTTTTAAACAAGAAATATTGGCAGTACTTTGTTGAGAGCACTGAATGTCAAATAAAAATAAAGTTTGTTTTTGGTTTAATACATAAATCAAAAAGTTTGTGTTTATTTCACGTTAATTTGGTAGAGTTGAAAAATTTGCAAAGCTATTAAGTGTTAATTTACTACAATAATTGTCCTACATAGTGTATACTTTAAAATTAAATTCATTTTAATTATGTTAAGCTTAAAGAAGGAGGTATTTGTGTTCTTAAAAATTTAAAATTAATTGTCAGATGTTAGTGTTACATAAATAAATTTCCATTTTTTCTGTCCAAAAGGACCAAAGAGTGACTAGAGAGCAAAAAAAAAGGCTTTTGGAGCTAATGCGGGAATCAAGAGGAATGGAAGATAGAAAAGAAAAAGAAGAACATTGGCAAAAATGTCAAGATATATTGAATAAGATGGGTCCAGCTAGAAAGTCATTGATACAATGGAAAAAAGTATTTATAATATTCATTTATTAGAATAATAAGAATTGCAAATTTTATTATTTGTAGATCTGGAAAGACATGAGATGTGCGACAAAAAAGAAACTGTTGGAGATAAAAAGAACGAGACCTGGTTCCCCTTGCCCTATTGAACTTAGTAGAGAAGATCATGAAATTATCGATATTGTTGGTGCTGGTTCTGATTATTTTGAAGAAGGTGGAGAAGGAAGAGAGCTAATGTGTTTTGAATATGCACAGCCTAATGATGAAAATATTAGTTTAACAGAATTAGGTAATGAAAGTAGCCAAATCGAAGGGATAAAAGAGCCATTAGAAGAACCGACTATAGATCCAAATCAACCGAAAAAAATTAAGATCGTTTTGCCTCCACCCCCTCCGCCAGAAGATGAAACGAGAAAAGTAGTTTATAGCTCAAGTAGGGCTACCAATTCTTTTGGAATGGATGATAAAGTCTTATCAACTTTGTTAGAATCAATTGCTTCTGCTAGCAAATCTCAACGTCAAAAACGAGATTTACCAGATCCAGATAAGCTGTTTTTACTATCCTTTGTAAGTTCATTGAAAGCGGTTCCAGAGGAATACAAATTTGATTTAAAAGCCGATATAATAAATGTATTCAGAAAGTGGCATGACAAGTTGGGTTACGATCAACCTTCAACAAATGATCAAGGAACTTCATCAGATAATTTAGATTCGCTGCATAATCTTCATTCAAGTCAGCATCAACATCAACCACACTCTTCTAATCATTCCACTTTACATCAAGAAAACGGAAATGTTCCATATTAAATTTTAAAATCTAATATAAAACTAAGTTAAGAAGATACCCACTAAGTAACATTTAATATTTTTTCAGTAATAAAAACAATTTTACTTATAAAGTTAAAAATTTCTATACTAATAGTAAAAAAGTTAGGTTAAGATATCTTATTTGTTAACTTATCTGTATAGTGCATTGCATAGCAAAACTACATGTCGGAGCACGGCTGACTTCTTGTTAGCTATGTATTTGACAATATGAAAAATTTGGATTAGCGCAACTAGTTTGCGTTTGTTTTTTGTTTATATTTTGTACTGTATATGTTCCTTTTAAGTTGAAAACAGAACAAAAGGGATTTTTCGCGGCGAAATGTCAGAAATTGGAATACACACATTGAAATGGGTCTGCTTAGAACTCAACCGCCGATGGTGAAATATTTTAATTCCTATTTTACCGCTGGCGGTTTTTCTTGACGTCATTTATGCGTTTGAATTTACCTTTCCACTGTTCTGGATTAACAACGGAAGTTTTCTGCCGTTGCTAGCAATATTGTTTTCAATAGGCAAATTAAAATTTCGTAAAACATTTGCAATCAAAATTAATATAGAAAAATTTTATTATTTTTAAAAATTTAGGTGATGTTTTTCAGAAATGGAAGAATACAGGAATATAATTCTACTTATAATAAATACATATATTTGTGTATAGGTATTTTGACGAAATAGCGAGATTTTAGTGCATTATGACTGATGAATTAAGTGTCAAAATAAAGGCATTTCGGTATTTCTTTTGTGCAAAACTTTAAAATAAGATGTTTAAAGTTTTTAGATTTTACATACAAAAATATTCTGGAGTTTTTCAATATTTTGAATTTACATCTTTTTCCATATTTTCCAAAGTTCGCAAAGAAGCATTTTGACAAAAATGTGAATTTAATACGCAACGCATAGCAGCGCTACTTCCAAGACAGAAAATGTTCTCCGCTGTAAATAATTTTATATTGATAGGCTTGACGCATTAACTAAAGCGCATACGGCTTATGACATCATATATTATTTTGCATGCATTAGTTTTTCTTTTCGCGTCCTATTGGATTTGTAATATTTTCACTTCTTACTTTCACTACTTATTGAAGTCCTCAAAATAAAGATTTTTTTGTTAATCTATTTTGCAGCACTAATGAGTAACTGAAACCTAACTTACTACTAATCAGTTTACAATTTTCCAGTCATAAATGTAAAACTGCCATGAAACACTGAACACACTGATAATTCATCAGTGTTCTGAAACACTGAAAAATTAACATTTCAAAAAAGAAAATAAGCCAGACGAAAAAGTTGAAAAAACTTTGAAAACTTTGCAAATAGGTGATACACGTCAATAAACAATTTTAAAATAAATAAATTTTCAAACATAAGCAAATTTTTTTTTGGTTTGAATTTTAAATGTTTGAAAAATAAAATATTTTCTGACAGATTTAAGGTTTTAAAAATTTTATAAACAGAAAATTTTACTTTACAAAAGTTGAAAAAACCTTAAACAAATACATTTATAAAAAGAAAAATGAATAGCCACATATTAATATAATTAATGTAGTATCACCAATAAAAATATAATAAGCAGATATATTTAATTCAAATTTACAAAAAGTATGCTAAATATGATGTTTAATTTTTTTTGTCGGTACTGTAGTATTTAACCGAAATTTAAAAAAAATGAAAGTCTGGAAGGTTGTTTTTAAATCAATTTTTTAATGTTTTTATAACCTAAAATTTTAAGATTGTAAGCACCAGTAAAGTAGAAAAAGATTGAACTTTAACTTTTTCTAACAAAAAATTTGAAGAAAGTTGATCTTGTGGGAGATTTATAATGTTAAAAGGGTCCTCTATAGATCCTATAAATTCGTAAGCTGTGAACAGTCTCTCTCTCCTGGGATCCAGGCTTGTATGTGTGTCAGGCGTGATTAGTTTTAAAAATAATAGTATTCTATTCTATGAATTAGTTATAATATTAGTTTCTAAAATATGTATTTAAATGCCTACCTATACATAGTTACTTTTGTAAGTTACTGTTTACATATTATTATACCGTATAACCAAATCTTATGCCTTATGTAGCGTAACGTAAGTGCATATCAATGTACACGAATTAGTTCTTACGATCGCTACCAGGAATTCGCAAAATCAACAATCCGAAAGAATCAAATAAAATATTTCATATTAATACACCTAAATTGTTTGTTTACAGATATAAAGTGACAGTTAGACATGATATGTAAAACTAAACGTCAATGGTGGAACAATGTAAATATGTATATTGTATCTTATGTTGATAAATACTGTACTCCATAGTTGTGAAGCTATTTTGTGTTGAGTTTTGATTGAGAGTGAGAATATTAAAAACTCTGAAATTTGTTTTTTGTTTTGGTTTAAATTACAAAATTTTCTTGTCCTATTCTTTGATTTACATATGGTATGTGTGTTATATTCTATTTGGATTTTAATTGCAAAGCAATTTGGTTTACATCTTATATACAATAATTGTTTATGGTTTTAATGGAAATAGTATTTATGTATAAGTTCTATTTCCTTTTGCAAGTAACAAAATTTTTAATATTGGGCTATTATTTCAGAAATTTTATTATTACTCTTTATATAGAGTGGGAGGAGGGGTGGCTGTTTTATTATAGTATTAATAAAAGTATGGGCCTCATAAGACAATAATAAATATTAGTTGGAAAATATGTGTCTGTACATACAATTAGATATATATATATATATGTACCTACTTACCCACATTTGAAAAGAGTTTATAATTGAGATAGCCACTTATGTTACACATTATTTTGGATAATGAATATGTACATACATATGTATACTTTAAAGTGAAATTTTGGGAATTTTTACAAATTTAATTCCATCAGTGTTTGTTTCGACCTATTCCTAGATTTGCTAATAAAAGTGTTAATTCATTGAATAAAATATTAAAATCCGATTCAGATAACCAAAAACTAATTTAATAATAATGTAATTTTGATTTTACACATGCATTTTATTTCCAAAAGGATCACCGTGTAACAAGACAACAAAAGCGTATGATGCTGCAGCTGATGCGCGAAGCAATTGGATTGGATGAAAAGAAAGAAAAGGATGAACATTGGGAGAAATGTCAAAATATGCTAAATAAACTTGGGCCTCCGAGGAAAACATTAATTCAATGGAAAAAGGTACTAAACAATTAAAAAAAGGTTTAAATACTTTAAATACCTAATTACTAATTCTGTTTTAAGATATGGAGAGATATGCGATGCACAACTAAAAAGAAATTGCTAGAAATTAAAAGAACGCGCCCAGGATCACCTTGCCCTGTAGTATTAAATAGAGAAGACCATGAAATAATTGAAATAGTTGGAGCAGGATCTGATTATTTTGATGAAATTGGAGAACCAAGCGAATCGAATAATTATGGACTTGATGTATCTAATGAAGATAATATTAGCTTGGCTGAATTAGCACACAAATCTGTTAAAACAAAAAGAGAAATAAATATAAATGAAATGGATGCTTTGGATGAGCCCACGATAGAACCTGTTCAGCCTAGGAAGATAAAATTTATTCTGCCTCCTCCACCTCCACCAGAAGATGAAACAACTACTAGAAAAGTAACTTGTAACACAAGTAGAGCTACAAACTCTTTTGGAATGGATGACAAAGTTTTATCAACTTTGTTAGAATCAATTTCTGAGGCGAGTAAAGCGCAACGGGAAAGGCGAGAACTCCCAGATCCTGATAAATTATTTTTGTTATCGTTTGTCAATACCTTAAAATCGTTTCCAGAGGAATACAAATTTGACATAAAAACTGATATTTTGAATGTTTTTCGAAAATGGCACACAAAATTGGGCTATAAACCAATTGAAAAGTATGCAAAACCAAGTTCCACTAATGCTAATATAAATGCAATAACAGATAACTTAAGTAATACGGATTCCGACCAAAATTTACAAAATCAAACTCATTCCTCTAGTCATCCAACTATTAATCACGAAAACGGAAATGTTTCCTTTTAGATGCATACCTATTTTTATATTTTATATTATGTTATAATTTGGCTACTTATATGTATATTTAAATTAATTTGGTTTTGAAAAATTCGTTACACGATAATGATTAAATTTTTCTCTTAATTCTTTTATTTTAAGAAATCAATAAATTTTTAACACTAAACAAAATATATAAAATAATAGATAAATTGTTTGCTAGGTTTATTAAGTTGCGAAAAATATCTGGTTTTTTCAGAGTAGTTTTTGAATTATGTACTAAGTATGTACTTATGCCTGTATAATAATTTTGAGAGGAAATTTTGAAACCAAAAAAAAAAATTCGGTTAAGTTACGTTAACATAAACACTGTACTGAATTTGATACGAATATTGTACGTTGGTCTTAAAAAGAGGTTGCTGTATCACTGCTTTTGGAGGGGTTATACTTCTATTTTTGGGGATTGGCTTGAGAAGGGTACAACGTATAGATTTGAAAGGGGAGAACTAATGCTTCGAGTAAACAATTCAATTAGTCGATTGCCAAACTTTATCGCCTACAATAATAATTAGCATCAACCAGGTGGAGGGTTTTGTATCTAGAATTAAAGTTTCTTCCACAATTTTAGGAATTTATATTATAAAAACAATTGTTTTCCGACTGACTAATTTTCTCTTTAGAAAAGTTGTTTTCGTTGCAAACCTCAGGAGCATCGAATAACGATATTCAAACTTTGACACTTCGATATTCAAAACACGATTTGGCAAATTATAAAAACAATGTTCTTATGTATCCACGTTTGATGTGAGCACCTACACATTATGTTTATGTATACTTGCATGCTCATATTTTTCATAAACGAGTTCGTCTGAGTAGGTCACTATTAGAAATAAGTTTGATAGTGACTAAAATTTTACAATAGTTGCCATATATAGCACCTTAAATTATAGAAAAATGTAGTAACTGAAAAACTAATCCAATAAAATGTTAACAGGAACTCTAATAAAAATATAATGTACAGGGTGATTTAATTCTCATATAAATATCCTCGGGAGTGATTCCTTGAAGTTTGTTTTTTTCTCTAAAACTACCTCTAGACGTCCGGGTTTAAAATATCGATGCATGACTTGTTCTACCCCACAAATCAATTTAGTAAAATGTATGTAAATATAAATGTGCATATATACCTAGTGGACAGAAGCTTTTTTTTTTAATCTAATCTACGATTTAAGAGATAAGAAACTCTTTCAAAAGAAAGTATTTTTGAGTAAAAGATATTATAATATTTTAAGCTTTGATACAAAACACAGATGTTAATTTACTTATCATTAAAGCTTTTTCGTTTTATTATATTAGCGGAATAAGAAATTTTGTTTATCAATTTTGATAAGAATTACTACTTCTTCCAATTTTTGTTTGCTCTTTTGTATCTGCTTAGTTGACAACGATTAATCTGCGGGTATCATTTTCCAGTTTTAAAATAGTACGCTACCGCATAACATCTTTATTCGGCGTTTCCGAAATTGAATGTTTATAAGCGCTCTGTTATTTTTATAAATTAGTTAAAAAAAAAAAACAATAAAAGACAAGAAAAATAATTAAGAATTAAAAATAACGAAACGTACAATTTGTTGTCTAAAATAAAAATATCTTCTTAAAATTTGTTTTAAAACGCAGAAAATAATTAAATTACAAAAACCGTTTATCTTACTTTAATTACAATATAAAGAAAGTCTAAAAAAATTCAAAAAAAAAAATTAAATATTTTTATTTATGTAATTAAATAAATAGTTTACATACATACATATGTATTATACCTGTGTGCAATATTTACTAAAATATTTCTATTTTTACATACATGCTTTTGTATATACTGTAATGAAAACAATATAGCGATGATCTTTTATAGCGATCTTCTTTTATAAAATTTAATTGAATAATAATTCTAAATAATTTTTTATAAATTCATAATAAAAAAGGAAACAAGTCATAAGTGATAACTTAATTATTTATTAAAAAGAAGGAAATCTATTTAGGAATAATTATATATTAATTATATACATATAAAAACTATTTTATACAATAAAAATGCCAGAAGGTTTGTAAAAAAATTTTCATACAAAAATTATTTTTATTATACAAAATATTTACCCTTAAGTTGTATTATTTGACAATTATATACAAATACTTATATATAATATTAAGAAGAAAATTGAATCATATTTATGTATTTAAAATAATGATTGCTTCTTTAGAACGAGGCTTCAGTATTAGTAACAGTGAATAATAGATATTCAATATTATATCTAAAGTATGAAACTTAGATTATTTTAATTAAGATACTAAAAGTGAAAAAACGAGTTTTATTCTTTGCTGTTTTTTGTTTTGCTTTAAATTTAAATACCTATACTTTTATGTTTCTATGGATGTAGACAACAATTTGGGATCTTTTGGGTAATGTGACACTAGAAAGAAAATGTTCTCAGTTTCAATTTCGGTTTATTAATTCATTTTTCTGCCTTTTTCCACTCAGAAACGTCACTGTTGAAACAAGACACTTTGAGGCCTTTAAATTAATTTTAAATGGGATGTGGGAAAAGTACAATGTCTCATATATTTTTTAGGTGGATCAATTCCTTTACATTACAATCGATTCTCGAACACATTTTATTTTCAAAAATGGGAATTTCTACATACAAACAACCTTTTAAAATAATAATTTAAAAGATCCGGAAAAGAAAGCTGGTATTATTCAACAAGTATTTGATTTATTCATATTTATGTAGTTTATTTTTTAATCTTAAGTGGTTATGTATTTCAAAAAATAACTTGATTTACATCTTTATTGTTAAAGGAAATGAAAATAATAGTTTAAATACTCGTTAAATTTACTAATTTTAACATGGAATAAAAATATCTACATTTATTTATTGTTTTACCAAAATTAATAATTTGCAAATTTCAAAAGATAGCCATATTTAAAAAATAGTTATACAGAAATTTTTAAATATAATATATGTATATATGAATATGATACAATAATATAATAAGTATGTATGTATATGAATTATTTCAGTTCAAATGGTTCAACTTTAGCATGAAACAATTTCTTTTACATGCAATTACATCTTTCATATGCAAAAAATGATTGCGGTAATAAAACTACCGAAATAATGTTTTAATGTTGGTTATATTAAATACCCATGGTCAGAAATAATGTAATAATGTAAGTTAACCACAATCTTGAGATTTTTGACCAGATGGATTCCATATTAAATTGAATTTCAATTTTTGAAAACTAAATTAATTCAATTATTGCTGAAGTAAATATCTGACAGGTTATTTTGAGCAATGCATAATATTAATTCTATATATACTTTAAGTTTTGTACATACATACATACATATGTAAAATATGTAAAATTATGTAAAATTTCGGTGTTGATAGAGTTGTTAATAATATTAACAGAAGTGATTGATAACAGGTCATATTTTGTTTATACATTTTTCAATAATTTTTAAATTAAAAATAAAAATATTTACATAATGTTTGATTACAAATTTTTTGTATTGAGCAACAACAAAACCTTGTTTTTTTTAAGTCTAAAAGGATTTTTAAGTGATTAATTAATTTAATTTTTAAGTTTATTAATTAATTTTTTTGTAGTTGAGGCTCGAACCGTACTATGGTACTTAACTTTTTTTGGATTTGCTGTTAATTATATGATACGAATTAATTTAAATATAACAATTGTGGAAATGGTAAAAAGTACAAGTTTACATAAGACTGAATTATTTTCTAATCAAATGCAAAATGGATCAGTATATGATATTAAAAATCATACAAATTTTGATGAAATTATCGACGAAGATCTTCACGAGAAACATCTTTATAAAATAGAATCTTCAAATATAAGTTTAAGAGATAAAATTAAATTAGGAGAATTTAGTAAGGATAATAAACATAGAGCAACAATTGAATCGATGATATTAGATAAAATGGGGGTAAGTTATAATTTCTTTTATATACATATATATTCATTCGGTAAACTATTGAGAAATATAATAATTAACTAAGATTAACTGATATTGTTGAATCAAATTTTCGAACAGTTAATTCAGTTATATTTTTTTTCAGATTTCATACGATCGAGATGGGATGCATATAAATGAATATCAACAAGGTTTAATATTGGGATCGTTCTTTTGGTTACATTGGGTAACACAAATTCCAGGTGGTATTCTTGCCAAAAAATATGGAACAAAATTGGTATTTGGATTATCTAATGCTGTAGGAACTTGGATATGTTTTGTTCTTCCACTTTTGGCTTACATAGATTATCGTTTGTTAATATTTGCAAGAATTATTCAGGGTTTAATTTGTGTAAGTAAGAATGAAGAAAAAAATTTCTTAAAGCGTTAGGTAAATTTTTTATTGAATTGATTTGTTAAATTGATTGTCTTTTAATCTAACGAAGTAGATTTAAATGATAAGCAGATATTAAAGAAAAATCGATGTAAAGGTTGTTTTAAAAATTTTGTGACTTATATACGTACATAATATGTATAACATAATAAAGTTGGGTCAAACCAATGGTTTGTATTGTAGCACTTTTCCCTTCAACAAGAGAAAATTCTGCTTTTAAATACAGTCTATGTATACCTATCACACTATTAAAATTATTTTCATTCAAATACAAAACTATTTCTAGGATTGCATATATTTAGGATGACGCATATATGCAGTCTTTGAAATAAAGCAAAAATTAATATAAAAAGGGGTTAACACAATGCTCGATTTTAAGGGTTAATTGCGTGAGTTAAGAAAAATAATTATATTTTTTAATTTCATGGAATTTACCGTTAGCTTTTTGCGTTTATAAAAATTTGGAAAAGCTTGCGGTTTCGGAAATAGAAGGTGTCAAAAATTCAAATTTTACGAATTTCAAGAGGTGATAACTTGAGAGGGGGTGGAGATGGAAAAAAATTTTCTTCTAACAAAATGAACTATTTGTTAATATCTAAAAGCTCCTAAAATTTCAAGCTTCTACAGTCTGGGGTCTAGAAGAAAAACGACATCAAAAATTTGGAAAAAAAGGACTTTAGATAACGGTAAATTTGAACGGCCATTTTGTTTTTCTAAAGTTTAACTATAGCATACCACGCAAGGGGAAGCATGCCGCTGCCTTTCTGCGTTTGCAAAATTTCAAAAATGCTTATGGTTTCATTGCAACAAATATTTAAAAAAGGCCATTTCTAGGGTTTTGGGGGGGTATAACTTCTAGAGGGGGGGAGATAGGTAAAAATTTTGTTCTACGGAAATAAGTTTCTAGTGAAGATCTATGTACGTATTAAATTTCAGCTTTCTATCTTCAAAGGTGTAGAAGTTTTGTAAACAAAAAAAGTGTCCACGGACGGACGGACGGACGGACGGACGGACAGAGTGAAACTAATAAGCACTTTTTTCAAAAAAATTTTTGGAAAAGTGCTAAAAATTAAATTATATAAATCAATATCCGCTATTATCAAATTCAATTAAATTTTCGTAAATTTTATATTTACTTTAATCTTTATTTTGCATGTATATACTTATATACATACACATGTATTTTCTTTTTCCATATGAATTTATTAGTTTATTTTTAAAATTTTAATAGTTAATTTTTTTTTTGTAGGGATTAGCATGGCCGGCAATGCATCATTTAACAGCACAATGGATACCACCAAATGAGAGAAGTAAATTTGTTACAGCATATTTGGGTAGTTCGGTTGGTATTGCTGTATTTTATCCATTATTTGGATTTGTAATGTCATGGACTACATGGGAATTAGTATTTCATTTATGTGGTATTACTGGTACAATTTGGTATTTAGCATGGAGACATTTTATATATGATACACCAAGCTGTCATCCTAGAATAAGTGAAAATGAGAAAAACTTTATTGAAAAATCTTTAGGTTCAACTGTAGTATTATCAACCAATCATGGTCCAACACCATGGAAAGATATTTTAATATCAAAATCAGTTTGGATGAATGTTATTGCTCAATGGGGAGGTATTTGGGGTTTATTTACATTAATGACACAAGCACCAACATATTTCAAAATTATACATCATTGGAATATTAGAATGACAGGTTTATTATCTGGTTTACCACATTTATTGCGTATGATTTTTGCATATTTTTTTTCAATATTCGGTGATTATTTATTAAAAACAGAAAAAATGACTAGAACAAATGTTAGAAAATTAGCAACAACTGTTTGTAAGTTTATATCATAATATTTTTTTTTAATTAAAATTTTTAATTAATTTTTCTCATTTTTTTGACATAATATTATACATATATATATTTTTTTTATGAAGGTTGCATTATTAAAGGATTATTTGTGTTAGCGCTTGCATATTCTGGTAATAGTTCAACAGCTTCGGTTATATTTTTAAGTTTAGCTACAATGGCACATGGTGCAGTTTCAACAGGACCTTTAGCAAGTATTGTTGACATAGCACCAAATTATGCTGGAATTGTTCTTGGTATAAGTGGTATGATAACAGTATTACCTGGATTTATTTCACCAATTGTTGTTGGAATGCTAACATTAGGAAACGTAAGTATATTTTTTAATACATACTTATATGTATATAAGTATATTATTAAAAAATTAATTTTTTTATTAAATTTTTTTTTTTTACTATTTCATTTTAAATTTATTAGCAAACTGTTACTAGTTGGAAATATGTGTTTTTAATAACAAGTGGGATGTTAATTGGATCTGGTATACTTTATGATTTATTCTGCGATTCAACTTTACAAAGTTGGAACAATCCATCTTCAAATGTCATACTGTCAAATAAAGAACTTCAAATATTAAATTCAAATAAAAATTTAAATATAATAAATGGTTTTAAAGTTAATAATGATGATAATAATATTGAAAATGATAAATCTAAAGAGAATCAGAAGAGTTGCGTTAATAAATGCAATGAAACACCTTAAACATATAAAATTTTTTGTTATGAATTAAATAATGTAGTATTTTCAATTAGTTATTATAAAATTGTTATCAATATTAAATTGTATATAAAATACTTAAACGGTGATGAAAGCGAAAAAATTGTTGTTTAAATTTAATTCGATTAATTTAATATGAAAATATTATCATATAACATAAATCATTCTTTGTATTATAGATTATACAAATAATCCAAGTAAATAAAGATAGAGAGAATAGTTAAGTACATATATAATTATGATTTTTTTTTATATTACTATGTTTAAATAATAGTTTGTTTTTAATTAAAAAAATACATAATTTTTATTGTATTTTTTTTGTAATTAACGTGATTTAATTTAGGTTATATTTCATATTAATTTCATGCATATTGTAATAGCAATAATTATAAAATTTACATATAATATAAAATTAGTTGTAAAAATCTTTTTGAAAGCTGCAATTGTATGAAATATATTTTTTTTTAATTTTTTTTTTATTATACTTATATTTCTTTCAAATTTAATACATATTTAAATAAATTTTCTAGATCAAATAAAATAATGAGAGTTTCAGGGTTGAATTTCTTATTTTTACACGATTTAAAGTCTGTAAAATAAAAAAAAATTGATTTTGTAAAAATATTTAAATATTTACTTCAATTATCTTTACTTATATTCTGTATATTAAATACAATTATTGTACGTATTATATTATGCATTTAATGGTGAATGTACATATGTATATAATATTGTAAGGTTATTTTCTTGTACATAAGATTTTATTTAATGAAATATTGCCTAAATTATAATTTGTTTTGTATTTTGTTATAACTTTTATTTATTTACTATGTATATAAAAGGAAAAAAATTAAAAAATTAAAAGTCATTAAAATTTCATGCAATCACAACGTGAATTAAATTGTGTTTGTACATAATATGTATCATGTATTGTGTATTATATACTTATAAAAATACATGTAACAGTAAAGAAATTAATTAATTTAATAAAATAAAAATAATAGAAAAAAAAACTTTATCTTAAGTTTTTGAAAAAAAAAAAATAATTAAATAATGTTACATATGTATTATATGTATTACATATATATATATATATGTGTATATATGTATGCACATATGTATATACGATACAATAGTTATATACTAGGTATTTATTTATAAAATACAAGAATAATGTGTATTACTTTTTGTTTGTTTTTATGTTTTCGTTTTATTATTTAAGTTATTTAAATAAATTTAATAATAATTATATTACTATAAGATAGAATGAATTTTGAAAGTAAAATAAAAAGAAATATATATATATATATATATATATACTTAATATATGTATATAATATAAAAGTATTAAAATTATTTGTTTTATTTGTGACATCGCATTTACTATATATACATTATATGTAAACGGATCGCATTTGTATTTTTCTTTATTATTTCAAATTTAATGCATAAAAACACTTGTATATATATATAATTAAAACGCTCTTGAGATTTAGATTTCTTTGGATCTTGTGATAATAATTTCTCTTCTTCTACAAATTATATATGTATATATTTAAAATGATAAGATTAAATGGGCAAAATATTTATTTTTTATTATATTATATATATGTAATATACTTTCCTTATTGACTTTACTTTATATTTGTTTTGAATTTATAACAAGTTATTTACTAAAATTAATAAAACAAGATGTTGATGAGTATTATGATTCTCATATAATAATATAGACTTTTTGGTCAGGAAAAGTGTTTATTTGATTATATGAATTCTTTGTATATCTTTTTGCATAGAATAGAATAAGGTTTTTTTTTTTAAATATTATATTTTAGTATTTAATTTTTAGTTAAAACAAATGATAAAAATAATAGCCATTATATGACAAATAAAATATAAACAACATTTGTTTATTTTTTTTTTTTTTAAATAATGTTTAGAGAAAATTTATAGGGCATTTTTGTATAAAATATATTAAATAATCTGTATATAAATAATTTACTATCTATTTTATTTTGTCTATTTATATTGAAATTATAGCTTATTTATTTATACTTATAATTATAAAAAATCTTTTATCAAAATGTATGACAAGATTTATGATATGCGGTTGTTTGAGTAAAAAAGAATTTTCTTTCTTATGCATAGTAATTTATTAGTTTAAAAAAAAAATATTATAATTGTGTATAATAGTATTAGAAATTTCATTTATACGGGTGTTAAAAGAGTACAAGTTAGGCCTTTTGAATTTTTGAAAATTTTGTGTAACTGCCATATTGTTATTATTAAAAGAAAAAAAAATTTCAAAAATAATTTTCTAACTGGTTGTAGTTTTTAAATTAAAAATGCTGGGAAATTCGGTGTATGCTTGTTAAAATAGCCTATTGCACCAGTTTGCTAGTGCATATAGTAATTTTGCTAGAACAGTCAACAATTCTATTTTGTAACATGTTAAATATCTTTTATAATTGTGAATAATATGATAAGGGTTCTTAATTTTAATGTAATGTGTATATATAAATAATTATTATTCTTTGAACTTTTAAGTTTTATATTATATGACAAGTAAACATTTATTCGTTAAGGGTTTAGAAATAGATATTTAAATCTGTATTAATTTTACATTTTTAAGTATTATCAAATTATTAGAATAGATTTATTTAAACTTAATTAATCAATAATTTATTTATTTATTTATTAACAATAAAATCTAAGAGCCCCAGCTCCTTCAAATATTAGTTCAAATTTTTTTATATACTATAGAAGAAAATTGAATTAAAAAAATTATTTAAGAATTTAGAATGAATTTTAAATAATTTTGTATTTTTATAATTTTAAAATACACAAAATGTAACTCTATCTTTTAATTATGGGGTCTATAAATATCGAGAATGTTATTTTATCTCCTATATTGGCAAAATTTTTAATAACTTATTTTATGAAAAGTTTAAATTTATACATTTATTTTTAAATTTTTGATTTGTTTAATTAAAAATTAATAAAAATATTAATATATACGTAATAATGTCAATATTATGTAGATAATATTACTTATTTTAAAAATTTTCTCAATATGTTTTGTTTTGTATACAAATTATGTATATTTAAACATATTATTTCATATGAGTTTATAATTGGAAAAATATTTAATGATATGAAGAAGAAACACGTGAATAAATAGTAATATAAAACATAATTTTTTTGCTATATATAATGTAAAAATTAAAAAAAAAGAATACGAAAATTTATACTTACTAAAAAATTAATAACAATAAAATTTTTAATAATTATGCGTAATTAATTCATAGGGAAAGCGAAAACGATTGATTAATAATTTTTTTTTCTGTCTTAATAAAAAAATGAATATTTTTCCTTTGTGTTATTGAGATAAAGTTCAATAACCACAATATATGCATAAGGAAATAGCTAGAGATAATTAAATAAATTAATGATACGCTGTTACGAAAAGAAATTTCTTTGTTAATTTAAAATAATATTTTAGCATAATATTATCTATAAATACTTAATATTTTATTATATTTTTTCTATGTTAATTATACTCAAAATTATTATGAGTATAATATGAGTATAATATTATTCAGAAGTAAATAATTATTGTAAAAATTATATATGTAAGTAGCTGTAAAAAATTCCATTCATACAGCAATGTGATGCTATGATGAATTTAATTTGCAAAAATGAAAAAGAAAACAATAAAAATCAGTTCAAGAATATACAACTTTATGAAATGATATTATGCAGTACAATAATATTATTAAAAGTACAATATCTTAGTTTAATAAATAATTAATAATACTATTTTTGTACTTAATTTTAAAAATTCTGTACTTCAACACAACAAGGCTTTCCTGAAATAAAAACAAAAAATAACAATATCGAGAATCTCTATGTCAGAAGTGCTGAAAATGGGTCTGAAAAAAAAATAACCGCAGGGAAATTAAATCACACAAAGAATTCCACACTCTTATGATCAGTGGGAGTGCTAATATTATTTAATTCACTGATGAATTTTGCGTTGGTTTTCAGTTATTAAGCGAACAAATGTCCATCTATCTAGACTTCTCATTAGGACATTTTGTTCATAAATTCGTAGTGTAAACCCTTAATTGACACAGGAAAGTTTCAAAATGTGCTCTGAAATTTCCTTTTTTTTTTTAAATCTCCGTAATTTAGGGAGTAATTTCCAAATATGAAATTATCAATTATCCGCAAATATGTGTTTTCAAAATTGTTAAAATTTTTCCTGTAAGGAATTTCTACTATCTTCAAAAAAATTTTAGCTTGAACTCTGACACGATTAGGGTTTATAGTATAAATTGTCATCCTGTATAGGTGTTATATCTCGAGAGTACTACAATAACCTTTGTGTCATATAGTGATTTTCGTTTATTCGTTGCTATAAAGTTTGAATTTTTAGAATTGTGAGTGAAATTGTCGGCTAATATCGGGATGATTTGAATTATTCAATATTAAAATTCTAAATTTTCATTAAGTAGCGGTACTATTAACATGTTCTTTTTGGTTATTTTTTTTGCGAAATTGAATATAAATATTAAAATTTAGTTACAATAAAAGCTTTTTACTTTGATTGTTTCACATAATAGTATTCTTTTTGGAGATTTTAGAATGTATGGAAGGTATTTCTTGTTATGATTCAAATGTCATTGACTTATCGAATCATGTAGTAAACAAATTATATTTGTACTTTATATAACGTATGTGTGAATGAATATAAAAAAGCTTTTGTATCAAAAATTTCGTTTTATTGTTGTTATACAATTTATTATGTGACGAATAATATACAATAAATCTCAAAATTTGTTATAAAGTATAATTTGGAGTAATTGTCAACAATGAATGAGTATGACATGATAACGTAGTGACAATGAATCATTTTGTGTTTCTTAGTAAATTTTAATTTTTTTTTTAACTTCGTTAATATTTTTATAATTAATTTGATGGTGAAAGTTATTTACAAAAATCAAAAAAACAACAAACCATTTGATAGTTGAAAAAATTACTATTATTATTTATTGTATTTAGGATACGCAAATTCAAAACAACTGTAACAAAAAATCTGTAACAAAAAATTCTTGTTACAGATCTTCCTTTTTAGTACTTTTACAAAAAAAATTTTGACTAAAAGTGCTTATTAGTTTCACTTTGTCCGTTTCGTCCGTCAGTTCACAAAACTTTTACACCCCCGAAAATAGAAAACTGAAATTTCATATGCATATGGATCTTTACTAGAAATTTAATCCAGCTTTTAACAGCTTTTAGATGCTAGTAAATAGTTCATTTCGTTAGAAGAAAATATTTTTCCACTTCTACGCCCTCTCAAGTTATCCCTTCCTCAAATTTGTAAAATTCGAATTTTCGGCAGCATACATTTTCGAAACTCCAAGATTTTCCAAATTTCTATAAATATACAGAAAGAAAAAATGCTATACTTTACAAACCATTGTTTTGATCAAACTTTATTTAAGTAACAGTGTTTCTTGGTGAATGGCTCCTTTTAAGTTCTTCAAACTATATAATATGTTATTTGATTGTAAGAAATTAATGCATTTATTTAAATATTTTTCAGGCTTATACGTTGAGTATGAAGAGATAAAAATCACGCAACTAATTTATTATCATCAAAATTTATCAAAATTT